GAGGAGAGAAAAGGTGTCTTGAAGATTCAGGTACAAGCAAGCCAGGACGAGCGTTGGCAAGCATCGTAGGCGGTGAACTCTGAGCGCTGAGCCTGGGCGCGACAATTTCGATCTCCGCGTTGAATTTTAAGGAACGCAAGAAGCCAGTTCAACTGGGGTAACGCGGCCGACCCAACCGCCTTCCTTTCTTGGATGCACCCAGCCGCGCGGCTCCGGTCCGCCACACGCCTGCGCCACGCGAGCGCGGACTCTGCCTTCGTCTCGACGCTGCCGCCTCGAGTCTCTCAATGGTGTTGTATGAGGTTGCATGTTCTATCGGACAACTCTGAATGTATTAAAAGGATCCCATACAGTGGATAAATATGAGTGTAAACAAAGTAATCAAAGGCAGTCTGTATTTGGCCTGCATACTTATCTGAAACTGGAGGGTTGACAAAATACGCCATACCCACACTCGCCAGGCACGGACAACTTACGCCACCTTCCGTTTTGGGCACATCTGCGTCTGCTTGTCGAGGACTTATCCCGCCCAAAAGAAACATTCTTTTTTCGTTTATTCTCGCGTTAAATCTCGGTGGATCGCGCGCTCGAGCTAGGTTCCGCGTCAGCGGAGACCTAGCTCGAGCGTGCGATCCACCGGTTAGGTTGGTTAGGTTCTGGTTAGGTTCTGGTTAGGTTAGTTAGGTTCAGTTAGGTTCAGTTAGGGTTAGGTTCCCCCCGAGCGTTAGCGAGGCCGAACATAAAAAAATGCCCGAACGAGTCTTTAGTGTGCCCACCTGAGAGGATCCGGCTTGGGGGACCCCCCGAGCGCAGCGAGGGAGGGGAGGATCCTCGAACGGTGGGTACTCTTCGGGCGCAACAACGAAAAACATTGTTAAACAATATCTCAGTCTTCCCAAACCGGTGACAGAAATGAGCAGTTAAATTCTCTGATAAGTGTCGATGTTGCCCACTGTGGCGCATCTCGTCGTGTGCCTGGTGCCCCTGCCGAGTATGACTGTGGCGTATGTTGTATATACTCACTGGCTCCAAGTACTGTTTTGGATCTCGTCGGGCATATGTTTCTAGAAGAACGGTAGACAGCGTAGCGTCGAGATGTGATATACTTGTCGTGTCCTGAGCGCGGCAGAAAGCGGGCCTTGTGACCTCGAGACGCCATCGTCTTCGTGTACAGAGCCTGCTACGCTTTCACCCCATTGTTGCAGAAAATTTGGGCACAGCGACGGAAGTTACTTGCTATAGACGCAAGACGACGTTAAATCAATGCAATCAATGTCTGCTAGGATGACTCTGACTACGGCAACGTCGGTTCTGTCCGCAAGTGGGTACTGTCCCTCAGGAGCACAGAAGTCAGGCATAGGTACCTTGTCACATGGTTTGTGGTCGATCCCAACCTTCTAGATATATTGTACTACGGCATTTTGTCTGGTGAAAAAGTCCAGTTCGTGACACTGGATGGCGTGGAAGTGGCGGTGGCGCGAGTTGCCAAGGGAAGTCGTAGTGTGGTCGCTATTGCCCTTTGTCCGAATTAGCACACCGACTGTTCTGGGAACAAATCTTTCACCCTCGTACCGTTCGCCCTTTTAGAACCACACTCATCGTTTTCTTCTTCAGACTGAAACAAGGCCGGAAGTTCGAGAGCAAGGGGCACAAAGCAGCCTTGCCCTCTTTCCATGAATAATCAACCATTCGAAGCCAACGGCCAACGATCCTCTCAACCCCTCGGCTTCGACGACCTCCTCAATCCTACACCCCTCCACCAACACCAGCAACAACCACACCAGCACCAACCGTTCCTGGACTATTCCATCCCTCAGCAAGGACAACCTTACGGTTTCTACGAGCCACCGCCACAGGCGCCACCAATCCCGCCCGCAGACCAACTGTTCGCTCACCCTCTCGTCAACTTCAACAATCACTTTCCGCCTTCTTTCATTCAGCCTCAACACCCTCCAGCAAATCCGATCAACTACCCCAATTTTCTACCCAACACGGCTCCGACACGCCACTCGCACTCGCATCACAATCCCAATCCCGCTCACCTATCGGCTCCCAATCCTAACTCACTGACAATCCGACTCCCACCCATGACGCCCTCCCTCCGCCGATCGACCCGCAACCGGACAGACTCTTTGCACAGCCAAGCCTCGGGCTCGGTTTACCACGACGAGTCTAACAACTCGATGGATGTGGACGGAGACGTGCATGACGAGGATGCGGAAGGCGAGGAAGACGACGTGGAAGAGTCGAACGCTGTGCCGGTGGAATATACGCATTCGCGGAGTGGACGTAAGATTGCGAAGAGGTCGTATGTGGAGAGTGAGGATGAGGACGAGGCGTTGCCTGGGACTGGTGCTGGAGGTCGTCATAGTGGGGGATTAGACGCAGCGGAAGAAGACGGTGGTGGGATATTGAACGGTCTAGGGTTGGACGATGATGAAGAGGAGGAACAACCGAGGAGGAGAAGGAGGAAGTTACCTTCGGAGTTGAAGCCTCTTAGTAGTGATGAGGCTGAAGGGTCAGCGAACGGGACTGGAAATGGGAGACGTTATTCCACGAGGAGCAGGAGCAAGAAACCGGACCCGGACGACGCACACGAGAATGGCCGTGCGAGCCGCTCGACCCGTCGTTCGGCACGGAGACAAGAAAAACCCGCCCCTGTCGCGTCCTCCCGCGCCTCTCGTTCACGACGGTCCACACGCGCCAGCGCTGCCGCAAGTGGAGGAGGCGGTGGCGGAAGCGGTGGAGGGAGACCAGGCCTTCGTACACGACGTAGTGCTCGTGAAGAAGACGACGCAGACGGCTATGTCGATAATCCCGAACCATCCGACAACTCTGCAGAACACTCCTTCGAAGAGGTTCCGTCCTCTGAACCTGAGCCCGAAGAAGTTGAGATCGAAGTCGATGCGGACGGCGATGTGGATGGTGAAGGTGAAGTCGAGATCGAGGAGCCTGCGAATGGGAAACCGTACTCCCTGAGAAGGAGGCAAAAGGTTAACTATGCAATCCCGCCGCCACTTGAAGAGGTTGCATTGCCGGAGTCGAGTGGAAGGGGTGGTGATGGAGGCGGTGGGCGAAGGAAGGCTGGGGGTGGTTATGGGAGGAGTGGGACGAAGAAGGGCCCGGGCTGGAGTGCCTCTGGGGCGGAATTGGGCAGATTTTTGGGATTGCCAGGAGATGATTCCGTGAGCGTTTGCTTCTCGAGGTGTGAATGACAGCCTTTTGGGACTGACATGGTTATTCGCGGTTAGGATTCGGACGCGCCTACGAGACGCAAGGGATTCGGTGCGCCTGCGTTCGCCGGTGCAGGTGGCGTCAATGCTGGTGGAAGTGCGATCCTTCCTGGGGATCTGGCTGCTGCTGCTGGTGCACCATCGAATTTCGGCAAAGTTGGGGACGCTGCCCTCGCGGACGCAGATCCTCTAGGTGTGAACCAGAACGTAACTTTCGACGAGGTTGGCGGCTTGGACAATCGTACGCGGCTTTCACCTTCACCTCATCGTGTCAGGCTAATAACTCGTTCACAGATATCAATGCCCTGAAGGAGATGACGCTTTTGCCGTTGCTATATCCCGAGGTCTTCCAGAGATTCAATCTCGTCCCGCCTCGTGGTGTTTTGTTCCATGGGCCACCTGGTACTGGTAAGACGCTCCTCGCAAGAGCGCTGGCCGCTAGCTGCAGAAGTAATGGAAAAGGAATATGTACGGTCAATAATATAGCCTCGTATCATGCAGCTACTAACCCTCGTTTACCTTTTTCCCTCTTCGTGTCCGTCCACCACAGCCTTTTTCATGCGAAAAGGAGCCGATGTCCTCTCCAAATGGGTCGGTGAAGCCGAACGCCAACTCCGCCTCCTCTTCGAAGAAGCCCGCAACTGTCAACCCTCCATCATCTTCTTCGACGAGATCGACGGCCTCGCGCCCGTGCGTTCCTCGAAACAAGATCAGATCCACGCCTCGCTCGTCTCGACGCTCCTTGCGCTCATGGACGGCATGGACGGTCGTGGGCAAGTCGTGGTGATCGGAGCGACGAATAGGCCGGATGCGGTCGATCCTGCGTTGAGGAGACCGGGAAGGTTTGATAGGGAGTTTTATTTCCCGTTACCGGATCTGGGGGCGAGGAGAAAAATATTGGGGATTATGACGAAAAAGTGGCAGGGCTGGGAAGAGGGAAGGGAGGAGGATGTGGAAGGGTTGGCGAAGTTGACGAAGGGGTATGGGGGTGCCGATCTGCGGGTATGTTCTAACCATATTTTCTTCACAGCTACCTTGGTCGAAAACTAACACTGACGACTCTTCGTAGGCGCTGTGCACTGAGGCTGCTCTGAATGCGGTGCAGAGACGGTACCCGCAGATTTACAAGTCGAACGATAGGTTGCTACTTAAACCAGAGACCATCGGTATCGAGCTCAGAGACTTCATGATCTCAGTCAAGAGTAAGTTTCCTATTTTCTGTCGCTCTTGCACTCCATCTAAATTCGACGCATATTTTACGTTCAGAAATTGTTCCGTCGTCCGCACGTTCATCATCGTCCGTCGCCGCACCACTGCCAACACAATTCGTCCCATTATTGTCGGAGGCGCTGGACAGAGTCAAGGAGGTCCTCACGAAGGTTATGCCACTCAGTAAGAAGCGCACAGCGTTGGAAGAAGCAGAGTGGGAGGATGTGGAAGGCGACGGGACGTTGGCGCGGGAGCTTATGCTGCAATGTACGTTAAATTCTGTGTTTGCTACCAGCGACTCTGGTTTGTTGTCTACGACCGTTGCTGACATGCCGGATCTATTCAGCCATGGAAACGCTCCGTGTCTACCGCCCAAGGATCGTGCTGCATGGGCCATCCGGGATGGGGCAACAATACGTGGGGACTGCCACGCTGCACCATCTTGAGGGTTATCATGTTCAAAATTTGGACCTGGGCACTCTGATGGGCGATGCGACCAGGGTGAGTTCATAATGCCCCCTTCTTGATACATTGATTAACTCGCTCATGTATGCATACAATTCCGAAGACTGTTGAAGCGGGCATCGTACAACTCTTCGTTGAGGCCAAGCGACTACAACCATCGATCATTTACATCCCCTCCCTCGCTGGTTGGTGTGCCGCTGTTCCCGAGACATCACGCAGTACGGTTCGGGCCATGCTCGACACACTCTCGCCTACCGACCCCATCCTTCTCCTCGCCGTAGTCGATGGCCCATTCCTCTCCCTCCCTAGAGATGTTCGTGCGTGGTTCGGCTCCACACGCGAGAACCGCATCGACTTCCGATCACCGACTCAAGCACAGCGAGATGCCTTCTTCCAAGGTCTGCTGGATGACGTCAAGAGGAAACCGATTGAGTTCCCAGACGGAGTGAAGAGGAAGAAGAGGGTGCTAGAGGAGTTGCCGATAGCGCCGCCTTTAGAGCCTAGGAAGCCTACGGTGGCGGAGTTGGCAGTGCAGGAGGAGCAGGATGCCAGGTTGATTACGTTGTTGAGGTATAGGCTTGGTCCCATTTTGACGGAACTGAAGAGGAAGTTCAAGAGGTTTACGAAGCGAGCAGTTGTAAGTTTTTCTAACTTTCTCTTACTCTCAGAGTGTAGTGTCTAATCAGCTTACTTCTTCTCAGGAGGAGTATCAGTTTGATGACGACGATTTGGTCACACCGCCGCAAGAACCTGCTGCCCCTGCTCCGCCCCCTGTTCCTACCGTCGAGGCCGTCACTACGACAATCGAGATCGAGACGGAACCGAACGGAGTCGTTGAACACATGCACCAAGATCACACAGAGGTCACCGTTCGTCCCCCTGAGACTGTCGAATACGAACAGGCTCAGCAGATGATCAGCTTGCCGCCGCCACCAGCCCCCGAATCAGCCCCAGACCCTAGTCTTCCACCACGGCCCAAGTTGTACAATATGGATCTCGAACGCATGCATCTTGAGCTGTACAAGAACAGGTACCTCACTCCTCATGACTTCCTGGACGATGTCGGAAAGATGGTGCATAACGCCGAAGTCAGGATGTACGAGGACCCGGAGAGGCTCCATAGGGCTCAGGCGATGTATACTGCTACCGAGGTCAGTGTACAGGAGTTCGAGCCTGGGTTCAGGTTGGAGTGTGAGCGGATGGCAGGGAGGGAGAGACAGAGGAGGCAGGAGAGGAAGGAGCAGAGACGAGAGCAGAAGCGCCAGGAGGAGCAGGCTGCGGCCCGACGGAGTGGGAGCGTGCTTGACGGTGACCACCCCGGTGTGCGGAGAAGTGGGAGGAATAACGGAAAGGAACCGGAGATGACGCTTACCGACCCTTTGCTACTCGAGAGGAAGCTCAAGCGCCAGAGGTCTCGTGGAGGCAGTAATGATTCGAAAGAATCAGGGGAAGACAACGTGGATGGAGGGCGGGGTAACAAGAGGTCAAGGGTCGCGAGCGAAGATCCTTTGAATATCGGTGCCGGGCCGTCGTCGTTGGACCAAGGCGCGAACACTCACAATTCGAACGTGCACTGGGCGGACGATGCATCAGCTCCTGCGCTTCCGCAAATTAACGACACGTTCGGCGCCACCTTACCCAACGGAGACGTTCTTGCCCTAGAGCCCGATAAGGCCACGACGCCTCTTGCACAAATGAGCGGGTTTGACCCATCATTATTGAATCCTGCCTCCCCCGCACAGCCTCAGAGATACTTCACTACTCCTCGAGACGGACAAGAACTCCCTCCCATCCCATCTTCCTTCGATAATACTCCTCAGCCTACACCATCGCTACAACCTTCGACCAGTTCCAGCCAACCAGCCTTCCCTTTCCAACAACGAGTCGACCAAAACTATCCCATGCCATCCAACTCGGCTACTCCCCAGCCTCAGGCATCGACTTCCACTGGACCTCCCTCAACCGCAGAACAGCCGGCTGCTTCGCCGTCCCATCAAATTGACCCGTCCCTGGGCATCTCCGAAGTCGAACCACAACTTCCACATGAATCCATGGAGGTTGACCGGGCACCGACACCATTGCCCGACTTCCATCTTCCAGAGTATGAACTCGACATCCTGCGTCGCGAGCTGAGAGACGAGACCAGCTCGTTATCGGTGGAGCAGCTGGAGCAGTTGAGGGCCATGTGTCTCGGCACGGTATGGCGCAGAAGATCAGAGTGGGATAGGGCCGAGATGGTAAAGGAGTTAAGAGATGTCGTCAGGGAGTTTGTAGAGGAGGTGAGGATGGACATGGATGAGGATGGGATGTGAGACGGCATTCAATTTTGGTTATGTTATGACTAAATGTGGCGGAGTGGAGTGTACTTGCATGATTATCTCGCCGTCGATTTCTTGTTCTTTGCTGCCTGAGTCTGTACTTTAAATACCACATGTTGAATTGTTCCCATTCTCTGCTTTCTTTCAATGATGTACCTGCTCACGTAGTGTCTGTGTGGTATCTCAATGGCAGAATGCCCGAAATTCTACCTCAACATTTACATGGGTTGCGCCAATTCCAGGGAACCAATCAAAGCGGAGTTCAAAGGCCACGCACTCGCCGCCCGACACCTCCGTCAGACCTCGTCAGCCTCTTCGCCAAAGGGAACCACCACTTTCAATTTGACTCGTGCCCCGGTCTGTCTGTAACTCTCTTCAGTATGGCAGACACAGTGAATTCCGGATCTGATGGAATCATGGAGCTCTTGGAGCAAAAGGATGAGGAAATCGCAAAGCTTAGGGTTCGAGTAGCTGAACTTGAAGACATGTTAATGAAGTCGAGCGAGGACGTTAGGAGTTTGACAGCAGAATCGGAACTTGCAGTGAGTGCATGTCCATTGTTGTCACAATATCAGGAGAGATACACGACCACAAATTGACGTACGTCCGTCGTCTAGAAACGCACCAGGAAACGGTATGTATGATTTAGATGGCTTCATCATTCCTCGGCAAAAACCTTCGAGCTCACCGGCCCATTCTAGTGCACCCAAAAAGGAAGAGGAAGATAACAAACCAGCGAAGCGCGTGAAACACGAACATAATGCCGTCAGGCCACCGTCACCTTCGAGCTCTGGCAAGCGACTTATGAGTGCGGCACCACTCGCAGATCATCCGATCGCTGAAAGGTACTTATTAGTGACTGGGCTACCTATATCATCGAGGCCGTTCGTGTCTCATCAGGAGTAGTGCCGCCGTTCGTGCAGCTTCTGAAGATATAGTCGATGCAATACTCGAGCCGGATAATAACGACGATGATCCCATCCCTGCTTCTCGTGGGCCACCTCGAGAGGTTTCTGAAGAAATCACAAGTTGCGTATCTCTACACAACTATTGTATGGATGGGTAGGCAGACTGACTCGACGAGGTGTACTCTTAGTTATCGATGCTCCAGCTTTATCTCGTCCTCCTCGCGGCGTCTCTAAACCAGCACCTAAAATCAAGCGGGAGACCATTGACGTGGACTCTCTTCCTGATAATTCTGCTCCACAGAAAGATGAGCAGGTAGGTCCATTCGCTATATTGCCCGTAGATTGCCACATTTTTAACACAATTTTCGCAGGCCTTCGTACGGAAGTTTGAGGTCAAGAAAGACACAGAGCTCGTCGGGACATCTATCACAAGCCGCATCGAGAAGATCGCTTCCCGTCCAGTCCCTGTGACGTTAGACCCTGAACTTCGCTGGAGATCCTTTTCTCGGCAAACGTTCCTAAGCCCTTGTTTTGGTGGCTCTCCTCAAGACCCGTGTCCTGGAATCGCAGCGCAGAGGGTCGCAGACCACGGCCACAAGTACTGGTTGTTTGTTAACCCCCTGTTCCATCCCAATGCACCAAGCCAGCCAGGAGATCACGGAGCGTGGTTCGAGTTTGATACCCTTGCCAACGAACTGGACGATTTGAGCCATGTACGGCATGGATTTGTTCGGATGAAGGCCGACGAATGGCTCTATGTAGGGGAGTTGGAAGGTGTTTTAACCGAACCTTTGACACCGACGGAATGGATGATGCAACCACAAAAGGCTCGTTCAAATTTCTTTGACATAGTAGTAATTGTACGACTACTAATGACATTGAATACAGGTCAGACAGTCGTGGTGCTCCAACCTCGCAATAAAGCCTTGGGGCACACAAGTCAGGGCGGCTGTTCATCTTGAGAAACAACTCCATCGAAAGCCTACTGCGAAAGAGCTTCAAGTCGCAATCAAGAATAAGACGATGGACTACAAAGACGTCACCCCTGCTGAAATCATGGCCGCGTATGACAACGACAAGCAGGTAAACATTTGCCTCGAGATCAATCGTGTATCCCACTCATCGGTCTTATTGCTGTTCAGCGCTTTGCTGTCGTCGTTTTGAAATGTGTGGGATATGATGAAGACTTTCAGCGGGAGCTTGTTCGGAAGTTCGAAACATGGGTACCGCCGTCTTCGACCAAGAAGTCGAAGTCTAAAGGGAAGACGGTGAAAGATACCAAGAAGAATGAGAGTGGTAATGTTACTGACGAAGACAATGCTCCTGAAGAACGGGTGTATGTTCCTAGGGGCACCACTAGCAGGCCCAGAGCTCGTTAATGGTACACTGATTTTTGGCAGGTTTCATCTGCAGGGAGGTCGATACACATTTTTCTGTGATTCGATCAATACGAGTCGTTGAACGTCAAAGCTTTACAGATGCAAGATAAGATACCTCATTTAGATGACGTTTATATAGAAGCGCTCACGGTGCTACCTTCGTAAAGATAAGTACTTGCCCTGAGGGTTGGACTGTGAACCCCGGTCTATGCTACTCATCCGCCGGCTACACACGTGGACTAATCGTGAGTACCGGCATTCCCACCAAGCGCCATGTCCATTGCAAATTGGCGGACTTTGAAAGATGCCGGGCAAGCCGCACGCCATTTCGACGCGGGCCACAGCAAGACTCACCGATTTGGCTGGGTGGCACCTATGTACGAGACCAGTGCGCGTCTAGGGCAAGGTACACCCCACCTGTAAATCTCATAAATTCTGAGATATTATTTTACGTTCATTCACTTCATTTGGTTGCGACAGAATTTTTTCACTCTCCTCGAGTGATTTTATATGAGTGTACAGTCCGTCGTGTAGCTCGTTCACGCTAAAATTAGAAACTTCTGTCGCGACCAAACGGAAGAAAAGTATTTTAGATGATTTTATGTGTAGCTATATCGAGTGTCACTATGCACATTGTTGCCTTTGTTGTGTTGCATGTTCAGTAAGTGACAGCCTGCAGCCACTCGGCTACGGCAGTAAGCGAGACGCGGCACAGCGGAGTTTGAACCAGCCCGCAATGGGTGAGTGCCGGTACTCACTAATCGTAAACCATGAACATGCATATCCCTGATAAGCACTCGTGTTCATTCTCCAGCTAGATATACTGATGATAAACCTCGCTCACCTCGGCCTCGGTCAACGGTCAGCGTAAGCTCTTTCTTGGACGTCTATCTTTGGACAACATTCCACATCAGTACAGGCGTCCTCTGACCATGATCTCGTATACGCTTTACATCGACGGACACCAATCTCGAGGATACTTCCAACACCTCCGCAAATACGCGAATTACTGGATCCTACAAGCCGAGATTCTACGGGGCACGTTCTATTTTTATCGGGTTCAACACTTCCGGGAAGGATCTATGTGAGCACGTGTGCCGTTCGATGTTTTGAAAGGCTATCGTTCATCCATTCTTGGCTCAGAGATACCTGGAACCGGCCCTATCGGTTCGTTCGTGGAAGCCGAAATGGGCGAACTACAAAGTAAGCTCCACTAGATCAACGTTCCCAGTCAGGCCTTTTCTTGCGAAGAAGAAGAAGAACTTCTGACGAGTTCACTACCTCCACAGCACCACCACCAGCAATAGAAAGTTGTGGTTGGATCTCTTTGGCAGTAAAACAATATTCGCCGCTTTCTATCCTCTCCCATTTAAACCTGCTCTTTACAGATGCTACAGAGGTTCCAATTAACGTTAAACGATTGGTCCGAATCGCTTCGGCGATTGAAGCATTCTGACTTAATGCCAACTTCGCTTGGTATTTTCCGACGCTCACTCGTAGGGATTTTCCACCGCAACGATGATTGGACGGCGAAAAGATTTATTTTCTCCAGATCCTCCGATACCCGTATGAGCTCATTCTATCCAGGAGTTTATGCAACAATGGTTCGTCAAGTCAGACAAACTGCTACTACCCTTCCGCACGAGTCCGTACGACATTCCAAGGCCTGACCTGACCTGTAGCTCACAAATTGTGTGTCTTGCACCCGTCACCAGGTCTAAATCTGACATTCGCGCTCGATACATTGATTGACCTAAAAATCGGAGCCTCCTAGCCTTGCTCTTACATTCTCCTACAACAATCCCTCTTCGACTCAGAATTTCCGCACCGACTTTCCGATCCTAAGGTGGCCTAGCCCCCACGGACAAAGTACCCGGGGCCGTCTTCTTCACCGCCTCGAGCCCATCCATCAAGTCCATCCACCCTTTCAACCTCGGCGACAAAACTTCTCCCTCAGGCGTAGCCCTCAAGTCCGCGAGGAGCGGGAACAAGAAGAAGTCCGCCCATGTGACCTTCTTGCCGAAGACAAAGCCGTCGGGAGCCATAAGCTTTTCGATTTTCGAGAGGAAAAACTTGAGCCTGTCTACCCCTTCCTTGATGTTCGACCTGACCTCGGCGTCTGAAAGCTTAGCTTCGTCAGTGGCTGCAACGCGCTTTTTGACGCAGCCACCCTCGACGATGGGAAATCCTATGACAGACGGAGACAAGCATAGAGATCAGTAATCTATCACGCCGTAAGACCATATAGCTCGACAGCAGAAGCAAGGAAGACGAAGCAACGAGAGTTACCAAACGCGCCAGAGAGACTGACAAACTCCCACATTTTCTCCGGGATGATGGCATCAGCAGGTGCACCGTTGGCGACCGCCTCCTCGACGTCTAGATGAAGGGTCGGTTCTGGATGGATTCGATCTATGTATCGCGCAATGGCTTGGGACTCGCGCAATTTCAGATCGACTTTCTTGCCGTTGATGTCGTGGATGACGAGGGTGGGAAGGAATCCGAAAGGATGGTACTCATCCGCGGTCTCGCTGTGAGGTGTGACTCTGACCTGGTTGTACTCGACACCTAGTACGACATATTGTCAGGTGTATCGTCAGTAGAAGATCAGATCGCGTCAGGCCTAGAGGCGTACCTTTGTGCACCAGACCAAGTGTGATGGAACGGGTGAAAGTGCTGAAGGGAGTGCCGATGATGGTGTATAGAGGAGCCATGTCGTCGAGAGGCGGCGTTCTCACGGGCTGCCAAAGGCTGACGCTTATAAGTAGGCCCTGTCATGTGCATAGCGCCCGTATGCTTACATTTAACTTCTCATGCCCTTGGGACCAAAGCTAGGAAGTTAGGCAAAAGTTGGGCGTACAGGAGAAGATGGAGTGGGACAAGGCCTGAGCGGAGATCGACCCCTATTGCTCCTGCTTTTCGAGCCCGCGGCGAAGTTTCAGACTCCGCGAGCCTAAATTACGTGAAAGTACCGGACTCCGGCTCGCATCTACTTGCGACATTCCACCCCGAATACGATGCAAGCATTCGCCAGGACTCATCTGACTGCATTTGACGCAGCCTGAGAAAGGAGCAGGCCGTGCATGCAACATCCTCCCGAAGACATCGGAGGGCTAGAAAACGTTTGTCGACGTGACCAGGCGCCGACGGCGGATTGAGATGCATGACCCAAAGTGGCCACACGTTCTTAGTACCCATGTCATGGCGCAACGATTTCCCTGAGAGAGATTTGCATACTGCCTTTTGATGGAAGATGTTCAACCTTGAAGTGCACCATCTCAGACCATCTCGTGTTCACCACCAAATCAAGCTAGCTAGTACATTAAATAGGCTTGGGAAACAGCTGACTGCCGTTACGAACATAAAACAATACAGATCCCCTAGGACAGCACTTCGGAACTATTGGGCATACAGACTAAGCGGCGCCAGAGTCAGTCCGACATGACGTGGAAATCTTACGAGAGAACGCACCATGCAAAATTACAATGGCAGATCAGCGAGCAGCGGAAGAGGAGCTCAGTTTCGAGAATGGGCAGGCCGCCGGGATGTTTTCGTCCAACAGGAAGTACTGCTGCGCCTCTCTAGAGCCCTCGTCGCCGTAGTTCTTCAGTTCCGGACTGACCGGGATGGGGTCGTACTTCTTGAGCAACCCTCTGACCTTACCCAACGACGCAGCGCGTTTAGCTTCGGAGCTGAAGAGGACGCTGTAGAACGCCAAGATAAATATCAGATCAGATCACAATTGACGGGGACGATGGCCCGGGAGAGAAACGGAGACTTACTCGAAGATCCACTTGGGTTGGAAAACGATAGTGACCCCCGGTGCATGACGCGAGCGACGAACCTGATGGGCAGGTGTCTGAATGACACTGAACATCGCCTCGCCCGCGAAACAGAGGCACCACTTGTCCGTATCGATATCCTTCGGGATGTTCTCCGGCCATGGCTTGGGATCCAGCTTTGCGATGCCGTCAAGCATCTTCCAGTACGCGTCGTTGTACTCATCCATCGGCCTCGGGTTGTTAGTCTTCTTCGCAAGGAGAACGAGGGAGGTGTTGGGACCGTGGTTGCGAGAGGTCGGAAGGTAAAGAGAGAGCATGTGGGCGAGTTGTTCAATGTGGCGCTGATCGGAAAGGTCGTCGGAGTCGATGAATGTGTAGACTTGATCGTCAGCTTTGTAGCCCTTCGTGGCGTAGATGCAGGGGAAAATGAGGTCATCGTCGAGGAGGACCTTGGTGTAGTCGTCGTAAGCATCGCGCTGCCAGGAGCCGGGCTTGAAGAGCTCCTCGACCTCCGTTCTAGGATCGTTCATCAGCGATGCAGAATGTAGAGAATATTAGTAGACGCATTTACCTTGTGAGAGGACGGTTAGGGATTTTGCTTGCGGTGTTGGCCGTCAACGCGCCCTGGTTTTGTACCTATAATCATAAAACAAATGTCCTTATCAGATATGCTGAGCGCTGAAACGATAGTGAATTATGGGCTCACAAAGAGGCGTGAAAAGGGCTCTTTGGTAGAGCCGAACAAGGTACCGAGGGCGAATCCAGCAAGGGAGGCAGAGATAGCGACAGAGCCGGTACTACTGGTGATGGTGGAGAAGAGGACGTTGGAGGCCATGTTTTACGATGTCGAAGAGGTAGTAGAGGAGTGGTAGGGAGAAGTGGATTCCGGGTGTAAAAGCCCTCGAGTTGTGCTGTACTTTCTGGGCATCCTTCTGGGTCTTTTATATGCTGGTCTTTAAATGATTCAGAAAAAGAAATACGTTGTGAGAATGCAGAAGTGCCACCCCTCGCCGGCGCCCCCCGGAACAGACGTGCCAACGGTCACATAGCCACCTAAGTGATCAACGACCGTAGTCCGCGTGCGCGGACATAGCACGAAGAATGGTTCAAGAAGATGTACAGGTGATGCCACAAAGCTGCAGTGCAGATGGCGCGAAGCAGCCGTATTCGCAATACGAAAACTTTGTGTAAACGCTCAAGCTGGTGTCGAGCATACCGAGCGTACGAAAAAGACATCACGTCTTGACGCCCATGCTGTTGTGTGTCATTTTTTCCGGTCATTTGGTTTCGAAGACGAGGCACTGCACACTGAGCACAAGTACTTTTCGCCCATCTAGCAAAGTAGGGCTGAAAGGACACATTTCAGACACATAGATCACAGAAAGGAGGCTCAGATCGACTGTTGATTGGCTGAGGCCCTCACATCTGGGCTTCTGCACGTCAAGGACTCCTAAACTGCTACGAAAAGTCACTCATCGAAACCGCTGAGGACCTGACGGAATGAAATTTTCAGACCCACGATGTTCGTGCGCTGCTGACGAAGTCCGACCCTGCGCATCTATTCTGGAGAGCACGTAGTTGCTTCAGGCCATCGTCGAGTCGTAGAGATCATGAAAACCCTAGCAGTAGTGGGACCTACCGTTATGCTCGATATATTGTCGAAACGTAATCCTCTGTGATTTGCGTCTTCTTGGAGCATCCCGGATCAAATCACGGGTGCCGAAAACCTGGGGCTGACATTCGAATCCGCACTCCCGAGTGCCAATGCGTGCTGCGTGAAAAAAATGGCGTTGGTCAACAAAACAACGTATAACGGCACTATGAACTCCTTTCATATGCTGCCGCGGCCAGATGTCTCAAAACCAGGGTGGATCGGAACAGACGGCCACACAACAAAGAAAGCTGACGAAACCATATGCTGGCATGAAGATCAACTCTCATATGCTCGTGAGTATGAGCATAAACGCGCAGCAAGTTGCGGGGCGTTTTGGGGGAGGGCTGCACTATGCATCTCCACATGTGAGCTATGCATATTCAGCTTTTCCGAGCATGTTGTGAGGAGCTTAGAAGCCAAATACGCTTGCAATACGCTTCCTTCAAGTTCGTATGAAGGGACCCGGCGGGAGTGGGGGTAAGTATAGGTCATTGAGGAGTTATTTTTGGTCAGAATTCCACAGACAGGAGACGAAGAGTATGGTCATGCGTAACGATACAGTTGTGGCATCGTAGCAATTGGATGGTCGGAAGCCGACTCGGAATCGCACTTCGCAGAAGACTTCGATGGGAATCAAAATTATGAGAGCAAGGTGGAGAACATACTTTGCCTTCGAAGTCGAGGACAGCTTCTCAGAGAAGCTTTGACTTCAGTTTTGGCTTGAGCAAGGTCCCTGGTGCACGAAGGTAGAGGAGAAAAGACGGCACCATTAGAACGTGACTACGGTGAACACGCATCAGCAAACATTCCCACGCCGGGAAATGCCGGTATAACGTGAAGTAGAACATCTTCTTCCCCCTGATGTCAACGACACATCCCCTTTGCTCGCTTCATCACCTCCTAACAGGCCGACAGTAACGGAACAGAACGTAAGTCAAGCCTGAATCCAATCAAAGCATGACCATTGCAGCTGCTGATGGAAGCCCGACGGAAACAAGATGGAAAACGCTTTGCCAGCGGTGACACACAACCCGCTCATCCTTGGCTCGATCAGGCTCGATCCTATATGGAGCAAATTCACTACGCTTAGTCTTCGTGTCGTTTCGACCCTGAAGGAAATAGTTTGCACTGTGGCTGTTTCAAACGAAGCCTTCAGCCCATATTCGCCCTGGCGATCTGCACATGACCCACGCGCTTTTATAGAAAGTCATTCGGTACCATGAAGGACGGACACTGCTCTGCCTCGGACTTCTCACACAGTCGCCAGCATGAGAGCCTCCACTGGATTCTCTCTTCTTGCTTCACTTCTGGGGGTTTGTCTCGCTGCTTCCAATGGGAAACGGGATGACAGTACAGAGTCGTTCGACCTGTTCGCGGGAACTGATGCCCAGGATGCGAAATTCGAGTCGTCGGCTTCGGACATGCAGTACACTTTGTCTGGAGGTATCCCGTAAGCTATCTCTCCAAGTGCTCTGAAGCATACTGTCGCTGACCGTAGGACGTCTGTTTTCCAAGGTATCCGAACCCTTTCTTCTTCGACAGGTTAGGAACGACTGGACCGGTTCTCCTGCAAGCTACCAACCTCGTTCGTTGTCCTTTCCTACCAGTCTCTTTACCGGAGCAGTTCGTTAACACCGCTGTGATCATTTAGATCGAACAGCTGGCGCATTTTGTTCGTGAACGAGTGGTATGTCTTCCGAGAACCTTGTGTGTACGGAGACACTCATTTTGTGTCCTTTATTTCTTTTTTAGCCCGAGAGAACGGTGCATGCCAAGGGAGCAGGTGCCCATGGGTATTTCGAAGTCACTACCGACATTGGGGCCCAATACAGTTCAGCCGCCTTTCTTTCCGAGGTTGGAAAGCGTACACCTGTTACTGGCCGCTTCTCCACCATTGCCGGCAACCTAGGGAACCCAGATAACGTCCGTGACTTGCGTGGATTGGCATTCAAGTATGCATGCCCTTTTTTTTTCATACACTCCCTGGCAGCTCACGGATGTGCCACTTAGGTTCCGCACAGAAGAGGGTATACTCGACTGGGTAATCCTTGAGTTTATATTTGTGGGCAAACGTGCGAGCCTAACGCCTTTTTTTGGGGCGTAGGTTTTCTTGAATCACCCGGTGTTCTGGATCCGCGATCCGACTAAGTTCCCTCGTGAGCACTTTTCTTTCGGATTATAGGCACCTCTCCTGAATTCCAGAGCCACTCTAGACTTCATCCATTCCCAAAAACGTAACCCGCAAACCCATCTCACCGACCACAACGTGCGTACCTCGTACGTTACATGCTTGCACCTTAACTCTAACGAAGAATGCACTGCAGAATTTCTGGGACTTTTTGTCGGCAAACAACGAAAGTATCTACCAGGTCATGCGAACGATGACCGATCTAGGGACACCTTATGGTTTCAGGTCAGCTATCGTTATGCTTTCCAGCCATCTTTGCCTAGACTTATGTTCAACGCAGACACATGAATGGGTTTGCGGGAAACACTTTCCGTGCCGTCAAGGTATGATCTATCGCCTCCTTGTTTTGTTTGGCAGAGCTTAACTTCTACACGTTATTTTCGAAAGGATGATGGAACATGGAGCTACATCAAGTGAGTTACACGATTACGACCTGTCGACAAGTGTTATGATGCTGATGTTGCTTCGTCGTTCACAGAATCTCTGCCTATAGCGATCAAGGCATCAAGAACAACACCCAGGATGAGTCTACTCTCCAAGCCGGCATTAACCCCGACTTCGGTATCCAGGACCTCTTCGAGAATATCGAGGCCGGGAACTATCCCAGTTGGACGTTCTACTGGCAGATCATGGATCCGAAGACGGCAGAGACCTTCAGATGTACGCCTTTATTTTGTAATTTGTGGCTTGAGCAACTTCGATGGCTGACATACTGTCCACGTATGCAGATAACATCTTTGACCTTACGAAGGAGTGGCGGACAGATGTCGTACCACTGCAAGAGATTGGCCGCTTGACCTTGACCCAGAACCCGTGAGTCTACTCTATCGTTTATTCTGTGATTCCAGGGTGCTGATGAATCCTGTTCAGGACGAACTACTTCCAAGAAGTCGAACAGATCGGATTCGATCCTGCGCAGATGGTATGTGTGCTTCCCGTTCCAACTCGAGTCAAAGGGCGTGATATTGAAAATTATTGTCTAGCCTTCTGGTCTTGAGCCCACCGAAGACCCTATGCTTCAGGCTCGTCTCTTTGCCTACGGAGGTCCGTACCCTTTCTCATCACGTATATTATGTTGCACATTCTGATGTAGCATATCTACTCAGATGCCCAGAGGTATCGCATTGGGATAAATCACAAACAGCTTCCCATCAACGCGCCGATTAACCCAGTCGGTACGTCCTCGACCCTCACTCAAAGGGGTCATTCATCCCGTTAACATCATTCTATCATAGCAAACTTCCTTCGTGATGGTGCCATGGCGTTCAACAATCAGGGAAGGCGGCCAGACTATATGTCGACCATCGACCCCATCCAGGTCGAGGCCCGCCCTTACAACGACGACAACCACACCATCTGGACTGGGGGCGCCGTTAAGTACGTCAGCACGCCGTCCGAGATCGACTTTGACCTGCCCAGGATCTTCGTGAGTGCCTGTCCCTCTGTCTGACCAGCATCTCGAGCGGCCTAACTGATTTGTTATTCGACGTGCATGAAAGTGGGCGAACCTCACTACACAGGATCAGGACAACCTCGTTTACAACGTCATCGGACATCTCGGTCAAGCTAACAACGACGTCGTTAAGTCGAGAATGTTGGGCATATTCGCGCACGTTAACCAGACTCTGGGAGAGAGGATCGCAGCCGGGATCAACATGACCCTTCCCTCGACTAACTCGAGCTCTTCGGATCCTACTGGTACGAGTTCTGCGAATGCGACCGCTACTAGCGTTATCTCGAACAACCCAAGCCTTGGGAACGAGACATCGTCTATCTAAGCTTCACTATCTCCACGCAGTAGGGACGCGGATGGTTTTGACTTGATTTCATGATTTATACCGCATTTATTTCGTTCCAGCTTCTTTTTATTGCGAGGTTTGAATATCCCTGGGCCGTTCACGTAACGAATTCACGAATATTTCACGTGCATGTAGATGTACGGTTTTTTCCTCTTCTTTCATAATACATGTTTCTTGGACCTCTGAGTATCAACCTCAAGTTCGTTCAGCTTTGTGCTTAGACTTGGAGCGTAACAAATAGGCCGCATATCTATCAGTTGGTCTACACTGTCCGTGGCCGGTTTTATGAACAACGACTGATTTCACCGCGCTCTCAGCAGTGTCCCATGTAAATCCGTCGTCCCTCCCGCCTTCGGGTTCAACTACTTCAACGCCATTCAACCTTTCTCCCCGTAGGCCTGATTAAACTATCGTAGAGGAACACAGTCAGGACGGACCGAACACACCCGGCAATGTGGCGTGCGATAGTAGCTAAGTCACCAATATATTTTACACGCATTGATTTGTTCTTTTTCTCTGCTGCATATACTTACCACGGCTTTTATTCAGCGCGAAGGGTCTATGCTGAGTGACCTATAGGAAAGACATATAAGTAAAATTCCGGGGTATCTGGAAGTTCACCCAGTTGAGTCGCCTCTGATCCTCTCAAAGCTTAAAATAATTAATATCGGGAACCTCATCCAGACTTGTCCCGATATCGCAGACTAGGCCACGACAGAGGTCCGTAGTTGCTTGAAGAGCTAAAATAACTTCCTTCATATCGAACGGATTCCCATCGGCGCCACAACATCTCTGCAATAGGAACAAGCTATCCTCCTACGTGCAAACCTTGACTGGCGGCTATCGATTGAGAGGTCTATATAATGCCTTCAGGCGCCATGTCGAACGGGGTTGGGACTCGACATTGTTTACCCTCGCCCAAAACCTACCTACCCACACCTTGCGCGTCCTAAATGGGTAGACCCCCTCGACCGCAGAGTTTATTCACTCCCACAAAGGAAGAGGTACGCGAGACAGCCCTGCGTGTTGTCAACATCCTCGAGCAATATGGACTCTCTTGCTGTATGATCGGAAGCGCCGCGACCTCCGCCTGGGGCGCGAGCCGCACACCTAAAGTACGTATTGTATTCCTCCATTTTTCTGACTCTCCGCAATGCCAGTGATAAATGAAATCTAAACGAAGCACCATTATTATAATAATGCAGGACGTCGACATGGTGATCATGACCCGCTCACACAGCCAAGAAGATATCAAACGCCTCATTACAACCTCAGACTCCACCTTCTATCTCGTATCCTCCACCAATCCTCGCAACTCTTACAAAATACTTTGGCATCGATATCCATCTATCTCTCGCGCAGGCCTCGCGATCAAGATTGACATCCTCGTCCCTCCAACTCTCAATATTCCCTTTGTCGAGCCACATCTTATCACCACTCGTGACTCACTCCCGATCATGCCCCTCCTGCCCTTGTTACTGCTGAAACTGCAAGGTTGGGACGACCATCGACTCTCTGCGTATGATAACCAGAGGATAAAGAAATATGTATACGCGGAAGATGTTGAGGAGCTTCTGGTTATCGCATTGAGAGAGGGGGTTGGAAGGTACGATGACACATGGCTGCCGAGTACCTTTACGACGCGAGGCGAGTTGCGGATAAGCTCGTTTGTGAGAGAGCATCCAGGGACGAGAGGCTCTTGGAGACAAATAGGGTTTCGATGTTGAGGGCTACGTCTTTGTGCCATTGTAGTAGATAATGGTCCGATGACGGAGCTCAAGTACAGCTCCTTCGATGGTCTATTTGTTGAGTTTTGATCAAGTCATCCGTGACCATATTACTACTCTAACGACCTCTGAGTATACAATGCCATTTCCGAGCACTGTGTCCCGGCGCCTCCATCTTCCTATCAGGACTGCGTTACAATTCATTACTTTTAGCTGCGCTTCTCATTCTTTCCAGTCTCCTTTGTTTCTACCCTTTTACTTGATACCCAAGTTGCGATGCATGTACATTCTGTTCCACGTCTTTGCATTTCCAAATTCCAGGTGCCTAGTACTACTTACGCTTGGCCCCAGGCCTACGCCATTGGATTGGGACGTACTGGAATACTCTGGGATTTCTCCCACTATCCCTACACAGTCGTCACTCTCAGCTCTAGACTTACGATTTCGGTCATGCACGGACTAGTGCAAGTATGTACTAAATGGCCAAGAGGTGACCTTAAGAAATATTGTACTCCGCCGGTGATATCTCTTGCAGGCTTTCATGCTCGGCGAGTGCCGAAGCTCTTTTCTCCCTCTTTTCTCCCGGTCTTTGACTTCGAGCTGACACGATAACTTCAAAGATTTCAGATGGAACCCATACCCATATGTCTTGTGAAAGTTGGAGAATTGTTCTGGTCTTGCCTTGTTCCAAAGGGGCCGCTAGACTACGCCATGCTTTTGTGGCGCATATCGGCACAATGCCCGCCGTATGATGCAGCTAACTAGGGGCCTTCAACATGGCTAGCGCATCTAAATACCAATTTTCCAGCAGATACGATCCCTCTTCGAACTGTTCTCGAGCTCCAGAGGCAGGGGCTCCTTCCCCAATTTACAAGGGATGTGGAGAGATTTCGCTCTGCAGTCAAAGGTCCAACGCGAAACATGGCAGTTCCACAGGTGCGTCCTCTTCTTTCTTATTATTCGAGAGATCGTTCACAGATACATGCATAGAGCTAACTTCCGTGGATTCAAAGCACAAAGCCGGGAAGCAACACTCCAATCAAAGTCAGCAAGCAAGGTCGCCTGTATCGTCCCCTTCGCGAATGGTTCAATGCGCACCGCGAATTTATTCTCTCTTCTTGGGCCTGGGGAACTGTCAAACGCTTCTTTCAATTGTCTCGGTGTGTAAGTACTTTGGGTATGACTTTCGGATGTTGAGATCTCCAGCTCTGATGGTAGTCAGGAACAATCCTGACGCTCAGCGTCATTCATGGGATGTCCCACCTGACAGGTCTTTCCGCAGTCTTTTCCCTCTCTCTGTGTTGTCCTGCCGCTCCCTAGCGCTCAGCGCTCTTCGGGACATCATCATAGCAACGACACACCTGTTTTCCTCTGGGTACACTCTCGAAGTGTTCTACAGCTTTGGGCAGCTTTGGGTACATACATGAACTTCTCATACTCGCTATGTTCACTTCGGTGCGTTGAACCTGTCCTAGTACATGTAAGTGCGAACAGTTCAAGTTTCCCTTGTCGTGAGAACGCGTCAGTCGACGTCGCAAGTCTCGATCTCGTGGACGTTGCGTTCGACTAGTATTTAGACGGCATCAGTTCGCTTGTTGCTGAGCTTTGTCCTGACGATTCAGGGCCCGGCCAGGCATCGTTTGGTCGAGACCTTGTGCACTAGCACCAGCGTTTTCACTTCTTTCACTTCTACCGTCACGGTCGTCCTAATACACGTCGTAGCCTCGGTGCTGTCGTCCTCTAGCCACCATGTTCATACCATCTTCGAGGATGAACAAAGACACGCTCCTTGAAGCTATCGTCTTTCTTTGCGCCGTCGTCAATCTGATCACGCTGTTTCGTCGCATGTGGCCCATGGCGGAATTTGGGCCCGTGGACATGGACCTCACGAGTATATACTGTGCGCTTTCTTTTGAATCGCTTCATCACGTATCTCTTGACGCTATATCTCTATCTCATAGCGTACGTCGGCGACGACTATCCCGAACACCTGCCCTTGCTATCCCCTCTCTACCCTGCTTCCTCGCCCAGCTCTTCACATCCAGCCACAACCTTCCACCCGTCCACATCTCCTTACCCCATCTCCGGTCCCGACGCTTCCGAACTATGGGAATCCATCTATCCTCCAGGCTACGGGTTCGTCCGCCTCGGTCCGCAATCGCGATTATTATCTGTGGCGATGTTTCACCAGTTGCAGTGTTTGGACAAGATGAGGAGTTGGCTGGACTCCGGTGAGGATGAGGTGGAAAAGGACGAGGAGGGGTGGGGAGATCAGCAGCATTGTATGAATTATCTGAGGCAGGTGTTCTTGTGCAGGGGGGATTTGACGCTCGAACCGCTTGATGTCGATATGGAGCAGTTGAGGTCGGGAGGACTGGGGGCAGATGGTTTGGGTGGGGAAGACGGATTCGAAGGCTTGGATTTGGCGATGAAGAGCGGAGAGGGTGTGGAGAGGACGTGTGCGGATTGGAGTTTGCTTTATGAGAGGACGGGGATGAATTATGTGGAGTGGAAGGCGAGGTGGAATACTAGTTCGCCTTGGTAGGTATAGAGGGGCGAGAGCACGGGTATCGTCATTGTATGATACATGATGTACAACATACATAGAGAACAGGAAACGCAGGATGCACAAATATTTCGCGACTGTTTAGATTGAAGGGAGCTGGACAATGGTGATGGCTACGGACGAAAGGAACGAAAATAGAAGAAAATATCAGGAACGACTTCGCTGACGGATGGTGAGGTACATAGCAACGGAATAAAGTACGCACCCATCCTCGGCACCGTCTCCGGCTGTTCCTGCCAAAACTCAAGTGCACATTCATCATCGCCTTCTTCAGCACAGGCTACCTCAAAAGTGCTCAATGTACCCGTTCCGCCACAACCGAATGTCTCACTCCCATCGGAGCGAACCAATCTTTTCTCCTCCCCAAATTCGCCTACAATTGTCCCTAGCTTCTCTATCCTCCGCGGCCTCGTCCATCCAGAAAGTGTCGTCAGATCAAGCTCGGTAGCTGAGGTCTCAAGAGCCCATATGTCCAGTGCGATGTGTCCCGAGGAAGGTAATATGTTCAATGTCCGGTTTCGTGAGGCAAGGGTGGCGTTAGAAGAAGGGTCGGGAGGGAGAGTAAGCGCGAGTGTGCAATTGTCGAGGTTATAGTCGGCTACACGAATTTGTGCGATCATGGAGACCTAGGTAAAGTTTGACGAATAAGCGTAAGCCGCGTCCGAGTTGCCTTGCAAGATCAAGAATAAGCTTACCTCTTTGTTGATTATGACCTTCGACTCTTCTGGCGATACGAGCCCATTGAAAGTGACCCTTGCTCTCCCGTCGGTACTCCACACCTTTCCTATTTCTTCGGGGTTCTTGCTCACAGGCTGGAACACATGCGGGAAAACATCTAACTTCTCGGGAAGAACTGCTCGCTGAATGGTCGAATTGAGCCGCTCAAGGCCGATATATATGTTCGGACGGTAGAGAGACGCGGTGAGCGCGAGTCGATGAGCGCGGGATGTTGGTTCCGAGTGGATGTAGGATGGTAGGTGTGGTTTCTCGTAAGTTGGGAAGAGGGAGAAGGAAGGGGGTAGGAGGGAGGCGAGGGTACAGAAGACGGTGAGCCAGAAAGAGAAGTAGGTCCACGACGAGATCGGAGAAATGCCAGAGGGTCTCTTCCAGCGTCCTGAGTTGTGTGTAGTTAGAATAAAGACGGGAAGATCACGTCTAGACAAATTGAAACATGCTCTCGGATTCGTCAAATTCGAGGCCACTCGGGGTAAGCGGTGTGAGTGGGGTGAGCGGCATGCCCATAGAGTAGACATCCTCAGAGAATGCAGTATTGGGACTGTAACTACTACCAGGAGTATCGTCGTCGCTATGTGCGCGGAGGAGCGCGTATCCTTCAGATGAATGACCTGGCATCGCCTAGATGACGGCGAGCTGCAGAGTTGGTACTGAAAGATGATAATTATGGAAGGGAGAAAGAAGACGGGCGCTGTCAAGGTCGACAAGTCTATATGAACTGGGCGACATGGTGATGGAAGGAGGTGAGAAAGTCAGGTTCGACCGGATCATTTTAGTGGCGAAGGACTTCTGTGGCGCCGGTCTATAAATAGATCACTGCTCTGGAGACTCAATATTTAATCCTGGCTTACTTACTCCCAACCTCATTCTACGGGGTCATATTCAACTTCAAGCAGCATCTTCGTCTCTCGGATACTCTGTATATATTTTACCTCTTATCTACGCCTTGGATTTTCTCGGATGAACTTCCTCATCCAAGCCTTCTACACCCATTCACCCGATCACAGATCTGCGTCGTTCTATGAGAGACATGTTGAAGATGGGTCCAAAGATGCTACCCGGAGAAAAACCTTGCTGTTAGTGCGACATGGTAAAACATACAATTTCTGCAAGTTCTCTCTGAGTCGCCACCTTACAACCAGGCTCTTTGTCGACCTTCTCGCACTCCAGCATCATCGCCAACTTGCTAGGCCGTTCACCAACTTTTAAATCGCTCCTGGTATCTCAGCGACGCATTCGATCTCGACTAGAGCCCCGAGTGGCAGAGTCTTTACGCCTACACAGCTTCGTGCAGGCATCTTGTCTTTCGCAAAGAACTGCCACAAGTCATGAGCAGCTGCTCCAAACAACCGAGAACAATGCCGGAGGAAGAGCACGGTGTGTGATGATAGTTGAAGGTCAGAAGTTGTAGGAGCAGGAGACGCACCTCAACGTAAATCTCGTTCATCGGGCCAAAATCTCTGTCCATCTCTCGCATGTAGAGGTTCGCTTTGACGACATGTTCGAGTCCGGATCCGGCGGCTTTCAGGACTTTGGACATGTTTTCTAGGGCGGCACGCTGTTTATTGATGTCCGTTGAACGAGAATTCAGAGGGATTCGTGTGAGTGATCAGTCATGGTCTCAAAGCTTTGAAACAACAATGGAAAGAGAGGAGATATGTACGATCTCAGCTTGTACGCCTCCTTCCACGATCTTGAAATCCTTTGTACAGCCAATGTTGCCAGAGACGTAGACATAGCCGCGCGATATCGTAGCTTGAGCTAATAAATACCAGGTTAAGTGTGAGCCAAATTCCAAAGAAATTATACAGATAGAGGAGTGCGGTACGTACAGAACGCAGGCAGAGGTGGGACAGCGTCGGGAGTGAACACGAACTCGGGCATGTCGATTGAAATGATCAAGGCGTTGAGGTCAGTCCAGTCGGTATAGTTGAATCACGTCCTTGTATCGAGCAGCAATACGGCTAGGTATTTATGCACTGAAGACTTTCTCCGAGCTTGTAGAACCAGTGAAGTAGAGGCAGGGAAGGATCTGAATCAGTAAGCGCTATTCCGCTCACGGTCACTGTCATCTGGTGATGACCTAGTGGCCGAGGCTGAGTACTAATGTTATCAAGCAGTATTCTGTACCAGTGAAATATTACTGTACGGGCGATGCGCTATCTAATGGCGACAAGTGAATATCATGGACGTCGAGGTTGTTCAAGACCATCACGGTTTGTTCTGAGTTGTTGCAGTTGTGGCGTAGATCGAGTGTGGGAACTGTGGCTCTCTGGCTGGCCATGGTTCAGTCTGAGTCCTCGGATCTCCATCATCCCATCATCCAACTGCACTCCTCCGCAAAGAACGCCTTTATGTTCTTACCCTTCAAGAGATGCAATAAACACAATATATATGGACAGCTAGATCGTCGCCACTCATAACATAACGAGTTACAGAACAATCATGCGCGTTCAAGGTCACTTGCATCCTATTTTCGCTCCATAAGCCAGGTCAGTTGATAGGTCAGTCCAATCTCAGCTCTCACAAGATCGTCAAGTGTCCCCGGTCAGGAGCTCATACGAACGTCTTAGAACGGCTGTGCAATCGAGTCGCTATCATAGGTCTGTCTCACATCTTGGGAGACGCTCGTCACAGTCGACCGGGAGTGATCCCATCAGGGGCTCTCACACCTAACGCTTCCAGCATCTCACGGTCAGAGAGGATATATTTATAGGGAGGAGGGCGCCTTTGACCTTGACTTCAACGTTGAACGAACGAACGACGTCTGGAAGGAGACGACGTAGAAAGTCTTGTCGACATCACGAGCTATAAGTCTCAGGAGCCGAGGTATGTCCCGGAACATGCTGCATGACATTAAACCCCTATGCCCCACACTCAGTCGAGCTTGATTCTGACGCTCCACGTACGCTCTAGTAGCGCACCTTTGCGAAGTATATCTACCACCTGTTCATCCCCAACCTCCAAACACCCCCAACTTCTATCCCAAGTTCAACCCCAAACATGACCTCCGACTCGACAGCTCCTTTCCCAGCTCTTCCGAACGAGCTCGTTCATCATATTCTCACCATCAACGCTTTATACTCCAAGCGCGCATGCTCCAGCATAACACTCGTCTCATCATGGGCTCGAGAACTTGTGCTGCCCATCTTATGGGAGGACGTGAAGATCGACACTTTTGATCAGGCGGAGGTGATACAGCATGTGGCGTCGCACTGCAAAGTCATAGCAAAGTCAAGGGAAGCAAGCGATGACGAATCAGAAAGGAGAAAGCAGAACTGCCCATTAGCGTTCGTCCGGAGACTATGGATATCCACGACCGTCGCCAATTCGAAATTCGGCGCAGGGTTCGACAACACTTTCTTCGCTCAATGCCACAGTCTTCGCGACATCACCCTCCCCAGCACACTCCTACCTTCCCTTTCCTCCCTCCCTCTCCTCTCTACTCCCACCTCGGTTGCGTACGCCTCATCTCAATCAGACTTTCGCATCACGCTGCTCGGCGGCGGACTTGAATCACCGAACCCTTCCGCTGGCTTCACTGCAGCCACGTTTATGCACGTCCTCAACCGCGTACCTACCAGACCAGCGTCCATCTTAAGTTCAATAACCCACCTACATCTCCTCACATACCCCCTCCTCTCGCTCTTCCTCTCCGAATCCGGCGCTCTTCTCAGTCAGATGCCAGCCCTGACACACCTCACGATCCCATTCTCGCCTTCCGATATGTGTAAGAGGGCGGTGGAGGTGGTGGTCCGAGAGGTCAAACAGCTGGAGGTGCTTGTCTGCGCGATACGCACAGAAGAGTTCGGAAGGACGGTAGAGAGTAGGATAGGTAGAAATGGTGCGATTTGGAGAGTGGCGATGACCCCGAGGATTGTGGACTCCGTCAAAGCCCTCCGGAAACGTGTTCTCAGAACGGACGGGATGGGGAAGAGAAGGGAGGTGGTATATTGGGCGAGCTTTGAACCCGCTCTATTTGAGGCCGATTGGACGCAGCATGGGCGACGAGACATTTGGAGCAGGGCGATGAGAGAGGTTCAAGAGGCTGAGGCAGCGGAAGCAGAGGAGAAAGCCCGAGTGTCGGTGGTAGATGGGGATACGAAAGGCAAGGGCAAGCGAGTATGGGTGGATGGGATGTATAACGAAGAAGCCACGGTGGAGGTTGTGGATGTGGAAGACGGTGATAGCGAGGACGCGTGCACTCTGGGAGCAGAACAGAGATACCCCGAGCTGGCCATGTGAAGAAGCATACGAGGTAGGCTTTGAGTACTGAGGTTGTATTTATCTGTTTTTTTTTTCGGTGCTGCGGGAATGTACTATTCTCCTCCGCCATTCACTACTAGCTGTTTGAATGTGCCCTCCTTTCGGTACTCCGTATTCTGTATTTCCGTCATTGTACTCGTACCTGCACATATTATTTATCTTCGTCTCCCCGTGGGCTGAAGAAAAATGTGATACATACTCATACGAGTGCATCCTACTCTGAACCTTTCTTTGGCAGGCTTTCAACGTTCAACGCTCAACCCAAGCAGATGATGAAAGAATGAACTTTTTCTTCGCCGCCACACGGTATCTTCCCCAGTGGCGTCGCGGCATCGCTCGATCAGTTTTCCTTCTATGTAGTCGTCGAACACCTGTGTCTTTCTCTCATGTTTTGCTTGCAGATTCCCTCTACTTACTGAGTTACGCGCACTCAACTGATACCAAGCATGGTCCTCGACCCGACAGCACCTTTCCCAGTTCTTCCGAATGAGCTTGTTCAACAGATCCTGACTATATACGCCTCATCTTCGAAATCGTCCTGTCTCGATGCGACACTCATCGCTTCCTGGACCAGACACTTGGTTCTGCCTATTCTGTGGGAGGACGTGACGATCGTGACTCCTGCTCAGGCCGACGCGATACAGCTTGTGGCGTCGCGCTACAAACACTTGACAAAATCTTCAGACGTAGAAACGTCCGATAACGAGGGAGCAAGGCCCAAGGCCAGCTCCCCGTTATCCTTCATCCGAAGGCTCTGCATCTCTACCGCCATCGCTGCCTCCGATGCCAGCACAGGTGTCGATGCCTCATTCTTGTCTCAGTGCAACGACTTGCGGGATATCGCCCTCCCAAGCAAACTCTTACCCTCCCTCTCTTATATCCCTTTCATAACACCTCCCAGCCCGTCTGGACATTCTCTATCACGATCTACATCAGACCTGCACGTGACTGTCCTTGGTGGGGGCTCACAACCGACTTTTGTCCTTGATTTGCTCATGCTATATCGTTTTTCCGCCACACTCCTCGCCGCCCCCATATCATCACCAAGTCCGAACACGCCATCCTCTCCTATTTTTCGCCATATAACTCATCTACAAATCCTACGTATCAACATTTTCTCATCCTTCCTAAAGGGTACTATCCACGGCTCTGGCTCCGTCTCCGGCTCTCTCTTCAGGGAGATGAAAGCTCTTACACACCTTGCGGTTCCGTTGCCCGTTCCGAAGACTTGCGCGAGGGTGGTGGTGGAAGAGGTCAAATTGCTGGAGATGCTCGTTTGTACTACCTTCGGTGTGGATGGACTGGATAGAGCGACGAACCCTGGAAGGATCGAAACCATCAAGGAGCTCCGAGAACAAATCCTCAAGAGCGTTGAGGGACCAGATGGGGTGGAGATGAGGAAAGAAGTGATATATTGGGCGAGTGTTGATCCCTTCAAACTCGAGGATGAGTTGATGCGGCCTACTTATGAAAGGGAAGAAAGGGAAGATATATGGACGAGGGCAAGGAGAGAGGTCCGAGAGGCTGAGATTGTGGAGGCGGAGGCGGAGACTCAGGGAAACGGGAAAGAAAGCTCCAGTCGATTTGGTAGACGCGGATGCGGAATAGGAGAATAATATCACCTTTACAAGCGCCGCGTCGACTGCAATGTATATGAGGACGGGGGTGGTCGTGTAACTTGTGGACAGCGATGGTGACGGCGAGGATGCGCAATGTACACCTGAAGAAGAGTAGTGGTTGGGTGCCACTGGGACTCTAAGGAGGAAAACCCTAGTATGCATTTATCACTCGTGTATGTTGCTGTGGGAGTTTGGGGTATGCTTTCCGTTTCCTACAATTATCCTTCGCTGGTTTATTCTCCCCGTACGACAGAGTTAGAAACATATCTGTAGGCCGCCGTGTCGATTCTGAGCCGGTGAATTTGGGGTTAGGGGCACCATGACAGGTCCGTGGCTGAATCTGGCCAAACTCAACTCACGGATACTACTCGCAAGGTAAGTACTCGAGTTGAACTCGACTCGTTATGTATAGGGACTCATAATAGCTCGCGATCTTCGCGCGCATTCTCATTGACATATGTAGGTATAAGATCGACTTGGAAATGAGCAAGGCTGACATTCTACTAGATTTACCACGTCTAGTACAAAGATGTTCCCTTCAAATTGTCACAGAAACTTCATTCGCTTGTCACTCATCCCTGGCCCGGAGTTTACGAACGCCCACCAACAATTGCACCCTTCAACTCTGTCTCTCGTCATGCGATAAAGAAATCCATATCCCTCATCCTCTCGCCGCCTCTCGAGCACATGGTCATTGCTCCTTATATACTTGCTCTGTCCCAGTCTGTCGTCGCCTTCCCAGGTACTCGCTCCCAATTATGGGTATCGAGGAGACACGTATGGTCATGGTGCGAACAGGTACAGATGCTTCCAGATATACCTGTTCGATGGGCGGGAGATGCAGCCCACTGTGATCCCGAAATATCGCACGCTTTCGCCGGGGTGCTATTGTCCGCTGCCGGCGAAGCACGTCGACGATAACTCCGTATAAAGGGTTCCTCACCAATACCACGTCAGTGAACACATCGCTCAGTCTTTTGTCTTGTCACGGCTACACCATGGCGCGAAATGTCATACTGGGGCTGTTCTTGGCTGCATTCGCTTTCTCAACGACTTTCACGAGTGCGAGGGATACGTCGCCGGCTGCGCTGAGGGCGAAACACGCCAAAGCATTCGAGAGGCAGGCGACGGCATTGAGGCGCGATGGCGAGTTCGAGAAGAGGGCATCTGGACCGAACATCAAGAACATAACGTTCGCAAATCCGAAGGCTTCAGGTGCGTCACCGTATCAACTATGTCTTGATGTTGATCGAGACTGACGAGGAAGCCGTCGTGTGACCGTCGTTGTCGCAGAGTTCTGGGTCAACGGAAGCTCTATTCCACTTGTTGACTTTGATGTAGGAGATTCGTGGGCTGGCCTGTTGCCAATCAGTAATGCCACGGACGAAACTAGACAGGTATGGGTGTTTTAAGTTGGTCCTGCGATAATAATAGGGCTTGCGCTGACAGCAGCGGCTGTGCTCGACGCAGTTGTTCTTTTGGTTCTTCCCTCCAGGTCCTGAAGGAAGTCTGGACGACTTAATCTTCTGGTGCGTTGACCCTTTTCCTCGGACTACGGAGTCTTTTGTCCTTGCTGATATCAGCCGAATAGGACCAACGGAGGTCCTGGATGTTCGTCTCTCGAAGGATCTTTCCAAGAGAACGGGGTACGTTTTCGAGCCTCCTTCCTTGGAGAAATATATTTCTCGATGCTGATGCCGTGTCCAGCCATTCACTCAATCCTGGGGCCAAGCCAAACCTACCGTCAACGACCGAAGCTGGACGAACCTTTCAAGCATTCTATTCGTCGAGCAACCCGTGGGAACCGGTTTTAGTCAGGGAACTCCAACCGCTCGAGTGCGTCTCGCTGCATCTCACCTCGTCACCTAATTTATGCTGATGTCGTGTATCATGCTATACAATAGGATGAGAATGACGTCGCGGAACAACTTGTCGGGTTCTTCCAACAGTTCCTAGAGGTGTTCAGCGAGCTGAAAGGGAAGAACTTTTACCTTTCTGGTGAAAGCGTGCGTTTGTTTCCATTTTCTATCCTCCGCATCTAGTTGACGTCCGGACTTTGATTGACTTTGCGCCTAGTATGCGGGGATGTACGTTCCTTGTGAGTGTCACGATGTCGAATACTTCAGTGGAACTCTAGCGTTTGTGTGTGGCGGTGGCGCTGATGGCTTTGACCAGATATCGCGAACTTCATCTACGAGAATGAAGGGATGCTAGACCTGAACTTACAGGGTTTCTGGATCTCTGATCGTGAGGAACACAAATTTATTTCGCTTTTGGAACGGACAGCTCTAATGCTACGACTGTTCACTAGCCGTCATAGGGTGGGACGTGGTCCAGACACAAATCCCTGCCGTGGACTTCGTGCACAAATATGAGCATGTTTTTGCTTTCAGGTACGTGGCTGCCTTTACTCACTTTACTCGCTTGCTGAGTTTTTTTATGGTGTGCGGAACTTAGTCAAAGTTTCATGTCACAACTGGATGCCACAGCCGCAAGCTGCAACTACACCGGATATGTCGACAAATTCGTCACTTTCCCTCCGAGCGGGCCTCTTCCCCTCCCTGGAACGTCTACGGAAGCAAACCGTGGTTGTGACGTCTGGGATATGATCTTCGACGAGGCGGTAAACATCAATCCGGCGTTCAACATCTACAGGATCTTCGACACTGTGAGTCCTCGTACTACGACCTCCAGGCTATCATGACGCCTGCTGCTGATAAACGTTCGATTATCCTTCCAATCACATAGTTCCCTATTCTATGGGACGTCCTCGGCTTCCCAGGCTCGTTCCCACAAGCTCAGACCCTCCCGCTCTACTTCGACCGTACCGATGTCAAAGAAGCGATTCACGCCCCAACGAACGTGAGCTGGTCCGAGTGCGGCGACGTTAATGTCTTCCCGCACGGCGATGCTTCCTTGCCTCCCGCTGTCAATGGTATCCTTGCAAATGCCATTGAGAAGAGCAATCGGAGTGTAGTTGTGCACGGGCTGGCAGACTTCATCCTAATTGCAGAGGGAGCAAGGATTGCGCTTCAAAAGTGAGCGATCTACTCTCCTCGGATAATGCTCTGTGAATTGACAACATTTTTACTACATCTTCGCGGCTTCCCTCTCGCAGCATGACTTGTGAGTGTCTCAGCGCCTCTTCTTCATTGCATTGCTGTCCATGTGAGGCCGCTTTGGCGCTGATAGGATCGGCTACGTTGTTTGATTCACAGGGAACGGGTTACAAGGTTTCCAAACCCCCATCGCTAACGATTCTTTCGTCGTCGACGGCGTCTCGCTCGGCAATACACACACGGAGCGCGGGTTGACTTACTACGAAGTAGTCCTTAGTGGCCACATGTACGTCTCTATTTTTCTTGATATCTCCTCTGAGATCCTTCCATGCTATGTGGTTTTTATTTGTACTGCATTCCTTGCAACAAGGCGCTCGTTTTTGCTCTTATGGCGACTTTACGAGTCTTATTATTATCTCGGGTTGCGCTCATTCTGCGCCTTTCTGCGCTCCTAACGGTTCACCGTGACGCCCACGCCCATGTTCTTGTTCCCCATCCGAGCGATATTCATTCATGTGTCGTGTTTCTTGTGGAGATTTACTGATGCAACGTCTGTTCCTGGAAACCTTCTCGACTATCCAGGATCCCGCAGTTCTCACCAGTTGTAAGTTCCATTGTGACTGGACTTTAAATTATAAGATATCTGACGCTTCAAACCACTTTTTTTTCATGTGCCTATTACAGGCAGCATTCCAGATCATGCAGTTCCTCATGGGGTTCAGAGATAGCCCATGATGCACGGGTAACGCGTAGGAGCGGGGTTTTATTGCTATACATACATGCGGGGCTGCGATAGACACGCCGAGAGGCGCTTGAGAATGTCGTTTTACCCACACTAGCCCGTGTAGGCTCAATTGATGTCATAAAGCTACAATTAGCATCCAGAGGTGATGGTACGGAAGGTTCTACTGGACACTCCCAGTCTCCCACTGTGGAAACTTTGGATGCACCGACCGATATTTTTTCAGTTTACAATGCTGGAAAATCGTTGCTCCCTACTCAATTTAAAAAACGCCTGTGCAGGGCCCAACTTTAGTTCATGAAAGGGTAGGATCAAAGGCATCAACCCGCCGAGGCGCCTAAGATTGACTTCGTGGAGGAATGGGCCACACGATCTTCTTCTTAGCCGCCACCGAATGCGCGAAGCGGGTCCGGAAATACGGCGCAATACGCCTAAAAGGCGCCAGGCTATGAGTCATGCCCAAATGCGGTATCGTGGGAGAGCTGTGCCGGAACAGAAAATGGAGGGTCGACGGCACGAAAGCGCCAACTCACCTCTTTCCTCTTGACCACCATGTCTGACCTCGACGCCGACCTCTACGCTGGTGCGTGTATTGCTCCTGTCGATGTTCTGCTTATTTGCTGACATTTTTGCATGGTCTCGTGGTTAGACTTGTACGGAAATGACGATGGAGACGTCTCTGGTGCCGCAGGACCTGTAAAAGAGGAGCCGAAGGACATTGCGCCTTCTACACTGACTGGCGAGCCCCCGATATCGGTCAAAACAGAAGCCACAGAGCCACCAGAGAAAAGCCATACGCCGAAAGTTGAGGATGCATCGCCTGTCGCGTTAACAAACGCGCCCGCTGCCGCTCCAATATCTACTTCCACACAACCAGCGCCTTCCACACCCCAACATATTGCCACATACACCCACGATGAAAAACCTCAAATTGTGCAACCGATGCAACACATCCAAACATACGAGGACTCGAATGGAGATGAGTTTCGTGAACCGGTTTTTCCTGCGACTTCGAACGGAGGAAATCTCCAGCAGATGGGTGCTCAGCAACGGTCCATTAGGCCGTCAGAAATGAAGGATGAAGGGTGAGTTTTTGTGTACAAGTCACGGACTGACATTCGACTTTGGCCTATCCGTTCGGAGCCCCTTTGGCTCTGCCCTTATGTTGCGCTTCGACGATATTTGGTGGTCTGTCGCTACACCATCGCCACACTGGTGCTGCCGTTCTTCCACGCTATCCCGTAACATCTGGGCAGTGTGTTTCTGTTCCTTGTTGCCATTCTTTTGATTTGATCACAGGTTTTCCCATGCTCTACGCGGAGATATCGGCGTACAAGATGTCTATCCAGCGGTGGCGAAGCGTATTTGGCGAGGGAGGACACAACGGATGAGGCAGAGCAGAGCATGTAGGATACTCAGCTCCGGCTCGTCGACCGCTAGGACTAGAACTACGCCCGACCTTCACTAGCTCTACCGTCGTTTCACGTCCCGTCTAGGCTAGGCTAGCACTACCTCATGTCGCGTTGCAATGTTGCACAGTATAGTCGTCCCCCATCTATCTCGCTATTTTTTCTCCTCTCTTGTGCTATGACCCCTACATGTTTTAGACTAGGCATACTAATAGCACTTTTTCTTGCTTTTGCTCCACATATTCGATACCCGATGCTCATTTGTGTCGCGTCCCGTCAACTCCATGCAACGTTAACGAACGGACAATCTATCTCGACACCCTATCATCCAACGCGCCTAATGGGAAACTGAAATCGCCGTTCGTTGTCGATCTATCACGACCTAATCGTCCGTCGTCAACTTCTTACGCCGCACGAATCGATATTCGCCGGATGCCGGAACTTATATCTCATTCGTGTCGTGGGTCGGGTTGGTGGGAGCAGGAAGATGTTTGTAGGCGGACTAAACTGGGAGACTTCAGATGGTACATACATCGTCATTTCTTGTATTCCAATCCTGTCCACCGTAACCGTAGCGCTGAAATTCATCTCACCATATTCCTCCACTTCTAACCTTTCTTGACCCTATTTCATGTTCTTTATTTCCTCCACTTTCATCGTCTCGGTTCGTTATAGAGGCACTCCGAGAATACTTCACGCAATTCGGCAAGGTCGACGCGTGCACCATCATGCGCGACTCGGCCGGACGATCAAGGTGCTTTGCGTTCCTCACGTTCGAAGAGGCGGCCTCCGTGAATGCGGTCATGAGCCGGGAACATTTTCTGGATGGAAAGATCGTACGTGGTTCATCCGTCCATTCATCTGCTATCTTTTTTTGCTATCAGTTGGCCCCTTTTCATTTCTTCCTCTTTCGTCCACGCGCTTCAGCGTCCTATTCTTGACTCTGCTTTCCTTTTTCGTCCACGCGGTGCCACACACTGACCGACGTCCACCCTCTTTCGAATCACTCCATGTATGTAGATCGACCCGAAGCGCGCTATCCCGCGGCAGGAACACCAACGGGCCACAAAACTCTTCATAGGCGGCCTCGCGGGCTCCGTGACCTCCGAGTCCATGAGAGAATTCTTCTCTCAATTCGGACGGGTCGTCGATTCGACGGTGATGCTGGATAGGGAGACCGGACGGAGCAAAGGGTTTGGTTTCATTTCTTTTGAGGACACGGATGTGACGCCTTTCCTTGGTTTTGGTATTCTGGAGATCGACGGGAAGTTGGTGCGTATTTTATCGCCTGGGTTATTCCTCCCTCCCACCCGCCACCAGGCCACACCGGAAAAAGCTAACCTTGATTTGTTTTGTACACTATAGATTGACGTGAAACTCGCCCAACCACGCGCCCAACGAGATACCTTCGCCGAAGGGGGCCCTCCGAACCCCACGTCCCAAACGGGCGGTGGAGGCTACAATGAAATGTCCGGAGCTCCCTACGGTGGCGGCGGGAACAATAACTTCAACGCAGGACCTCGCGGCGGCCCCATGGGTCGTGGTGGAATGGGTGGTCCTCCGTTCAACCTAGCAGCCGTTGGTGGTGGTGCACCTACAGGAGCGACAGGAGCTGGAGGAGGAGGCCAAACACCGTTCGATCCTGCGGCTTTAGCTGCGTTGTATAGTAGGATCGCAAGTATGAGTGGAGGGATGGGTATGATGGGTGGTGGAATGGGTATGATGGGAGGTATGGGTGGAGGGATGGGCCCTATGATGGGTGGTCCTGGCATGGGTGGTATGGGCGGGATGGGAGGTAGTGGTGGGATGGGAGGTCCCGGAATGGGTGGCCATGGAATGGGAGGTGGGATGGGACGAGGTATGGGCGGTGGTGGCCCAGGGATGCATGGTGACCCGAGAATGGGAAGGGGTGGCGGGATGATGGCTGCAGGCGGTGCTGGAGGGATTGGGCACCATCACACTCCTACTGGGCCTAGTGGACACGGAGGGATTGGTCCTAATGTGCCCAGGGGTCCGAGAGCGGCGACGGGTGGTGCTGGGCCGCAGAGGACGGGGAGAGGTCAACATAACTATCATCCATATGCTCGGTGAGAAGGCGAAGCGTCGTCAGTCGAGGATGGGCAGATTGAATGCCCCGTCTCCGCGACCACGGTTCTTCTAGATCTGGCTTTCATTTTCATCTTCTCTTTCCTGACCGTCATGGCGTCCATTGCCGCGCCTCTTCTCTCTCAGTTTATATGTTCTTTTGGTCCACACACACAGTCATGTTCCCTCTCTCATTAACCTTTATTGCATTCACTACCTGTAATATAACCGACTCCGACGTTCGTCCCAACCATATCTCATACGCTAGTTACAAACTCGACCACGGCTATGACACGGACTACACGGTATCTATAGCTACGTGTACGGCTCTGAGACTGCTACCATCGAACCAGTCATAGTCGCGCAAGACCTACATACATCACTACTAGCTAGCTAATGCATTTACTTGCCGCCACTCAGTTGCCATCGTCCACAAGTCAGCTAACAGGAAACCGATCGGTACTTTATACCACAAGAAGTTTAGACAGGAAAAGGTAACTATGCAGACGAGGGTACCAATGGGTAGAAGGCCAGGAATACATGACATGAAGAGAAACATGAGAGGGATCAAGAAAGGGCCGATTTCGAGTACGATTCGAGCGAGATTTGAAAGTCTTGATATTTTGATGATTTTTGAATATCTCTTGGTCTTCAGCGCCTTGAGAGTTTCAGTTTAGAGAACGAACTTGAGAAAACTTGATCGCGTTGCGTGCTTTATATTACGCTTGAAGTTTGAAATGACGAAGACAAAGAGGGTTGATGGCACGCGTTTGACGTTTGAAAGGACTTCAGCTTGACGGGATGGGATTCAATGATCTTGCTACCATCCTTGAACTTGACGGCTGAACATTAGGTGGCACTGTTTGAGGCTCAGAGCTTGGGCACTAGTATCGTCTTCGGTTCTGGGTCCCACCGCCAGGGCCTTGATACGGGCCATAATCGGGCGGAGGCCTTCCACCAACTAGAGGAAGTCTACGATCAGCCAATAGATTGATCCAGTATCTCCTGAGGTTGACTTACCAGCCCTAGGAGGAGGAGGTGGGGAACGCGAACGACCACCCGCATTCGGAATCACGGCATTCTTGAAGACTTGAAGTAGATCATCCGTACGGAACACAGGTCCTATATCAATGAAACCTCCGAATAAGCATCTAGAGCCACGTAACGAAAATGTTCTGAATACTGACCGTCAAACTTATTCGCAGGTGGCAACGATCCAATAAACCACGAAAGCACCCCAGGTAAAACCACTGGCTTCTCTTCCTCCGGCACCATCGGAGCATCCCTCACAATGGGCCTCCTCGCCGCACCTCCAGGCGGCCCTACATCCCTCTCCCTATCCCTGTCCCAGGAAGGACTCGCATACCTCCTCCTTCCCGTATGTCCATCGCCCCAACGATCCCTATCCCTTGCTGAAGGTGATCGCGCCCTCTTACCATGCCCAGCTGCGTCCACATCTCTTCCCCTCTTGTAGTCTGGCGAAGCAGGCCTCTTGTATGCCGCTCCACCACCCCCACCACCACCGTGCTGTGGCCCAGGCTGAGAGTTACGTGGAGCGCCGTTGTTATTCGACTCTTGAGAGTTCGAAGGCATGATCGATTGAGCCGTGTCATTGCGAACGAGAGCATTGGTCGACATTTGGTGGCCGGATGATGATTGTCGAACAATGGCGAGGCCGAGATCGCGTGCGGCAATAGCATCAGTGTTGTGGGCGGTGTGGCGCTGCGCGAAACGCTTAATGGGTGGGTCTGGGTCAAAACGTATCATCAGTCTGCTGGTACTATTGAACGAGGTATGTTGATGTTGAGGCGACAAACCAGTAGGATACACTTCAGCCATTCGCTTCTCGAGCTTTTGTGCGGCTGTGAGGTCACCGTACTGATACTCATGACGGGCCCAACGCTCCCATAACGGCCTGGCTTGATCAGGCGGGAAGGTACCGATAACACGTTCGAACAAGGCCCGAGCATCTGATGAGGGCCGGTTTAGCAAGAACAGTCACGGAGGAGGCGATGTGAGGACGAACTGTTGTCATCGTTTATGGAGAGAAGGAACATCAAATAATGTGAGACGAACTCCGGCTGATCGCCGAACGTCTCAAGACCTTTCTCAAAGATACGGGCAGCAACTCCCGACTCTTTGTTGCAATGGTATTCCATCAAAGCTGTACAAAAAATACATGTCAGGTTGTCTTCGCACGATATACAGCCACAAGGTTGAAGAAACCCTTGAACGTACCGGAAGACTCATAAACCTCCCATGGGATCAGCTTCTCCTTCCTCGCCTTCGCAAACACCGCCCTCGAGCTCTTCAATCCCTCAGCTCTCCTCGCAAACCTCATAAACATCGTATAAACCAGACCGAACTCTTTCCTTCGCTCTTCCAGCTCTTTCGCCTTTGGTAGTGGTGGAGGTGGTTTGTTCCGCTTCTTCTCCTCGCTCTGAGGAGTCACGGTCGCCAGATCCGACGAAATGGTCATTTCTACGTCGCCCGTTCCGGAAGCGGTGCCATTGGCGGCAGCCTCTTTCTCTTCTTTGGCTTGAGCTTCAAGAGATTCCAGGTCTGGGCGGAGGACGTCGAGGAACTTGTCAAATGTGCGGTGGACTTCAGGATAATTACCGTTGATCTCGAGGATCTCGGCATAGGCAAAGTTAAGGAGGAAGCTTAGGACGAGTCGCTGATAAGTCGTTGTCCAGATATTGGAAGATAGGTGAATGATGGCTTACCTGCTGGGGATAGCCTCGATGCCGTTGCGCAATAGGTTGAGAGCCTCTTCGGTCTTACCAACACTATGGGTCCAGATATACGCCATGTACCTGTACGATCAATCAGAGCGATAAGTATATCCGCCACTCGCCACTCGCTCACTTTCATATGAATCTCACGTACCAAATCTCGCTGAAGAATCGCATCCGTATCATGGCTTTGCGATATACGCTCTGTACCCGACTAATCAACACCATCTTATCCTTATCCTCAATCTCCAACGGATTACTCTCCTCCCAGCGCAGATAGGTCTTCCACGCGCCCACCAGAGCTCGTTCCGCCGGATTGAAGCTCGGGAGGGGAGGGAGGTAAATGGAAGGACGGCCGGAGGCAGAGGCGGGCGGCGGGGGGAAGAGCATGCCAACTTGACGTTGGAGGTTGCGGAGGACGGTGCGGGCTTGCATGTAAGAGGGTGAGAGGTCATTCATGAATTTCTTAGCCTAAGAGGCAGGCAAAAAATATCGATGATAAGGTTGGACTCAAAGCAGCGCTTGTACGGATGAGATGGAACATACGGTGATCTTGTTCAGGCTGTTCTCGAACGCTTCGAGTTGCGACCATAGACTTTCGACGTTCTCGAGTGGAATTTGCACGGCGCGATGGTAGACCTTCCGGAGAGCATCCATCTTCTGCTGTTCTTCCCAGGTCGAATTTGTCTGCGAAAAGACACATAATTTCAGTAAGCAGTATTAATCCAAGCGGTTGATTGGTATAATGAGCAGCGTGTCTTATGACGGCCAAGAGTGGACAGGTCCAGAGGCGCACACGGGTCGGTGGTCGATCACACAAATCGGACATCACACACGATCACGCTCACGCTCGGGATGGTCACACAGGAAAAAAAAAAGTTTGATTCGGGTGTATAGTACGACGACATGGAGGTTGGGTGTGATGGAGTGGTAGAAAAAGGAGGATGTAGGGGAATGGGGATGTGAAGTGGCCAGGATTGCGGAGTGGAGTAGGAGGAAGTGTAACATACCTCACCCGACCTGAGGAATTCGATATAGTCCGTCCATATTTCGCCGCTGTCCTTGTCCTGACCAACGTAGTTGAGAGCAAACTCATAGGCCTTGCGTACAATGTCTCGCGTCTGAGCGTTCGTCCCTGGATTGGTTCGCCTTTTCTGGGAGATGAGACCGAGTGTTAGATTATACAAAAATGTGCTTCACAGACCTTACATAGGTGAGGTAGAACTTGAAAAGATCCACGGATGGTGAGGTTCGGAGGAACCTTTTAAAAAGGCTCTCCGCGTGCACAAATGAATTGAGGTTAAGGAAGACAGTAAGGTAGGCGACTTGGGCTGCAGACTACCAGAATAATCAGCGAAAAGCTCAAGACAGTAAGATGGCTTTAATGGTCGACGAGCTGTACGGAGGAACATTGAAGGCCCTTTCGGGTATTTCCAAGGACCACATATTTTTCTTTGGGGCGATGAATCTGTGTTCAATATCACGACTCACAGTATTCGGATACATCTCCAACAGCGCCTCGTATGAATCCTTCACTTTCTCGATGTCCCCTGATTCTTCCGCAAGCGCGACAAGCCGGTTCCATCCCTCCGGATTGTGAGGTTTCTCACGAAGTTGCGCACGTAGAAGATCCCACTGTGACGGTGGCACAGCGGATGTTAGCGCACTTTCTGAGACAACTTGAGAGGCTGGTCCTTCGTTCTCTTCAGTCTTTACTGGCCCAGAAGAGTCTTGCTGGGACGCGTTCGCGTCGGTGCTAGACATGTTACAAAAAGTCACTATGAGACTGAGTTGTGGCGTTCTTGCGTCGGTTGATCTTCTCCGGGGGGTTTTGTGGTCTTGATACTTGAGATATTGACGACAGTGTCGACAGGGAAAAGGTAATGTGAAGACAAAAAATTTGTTGACACGACGATGAGGGTACGGGAACAAGAGAGTTGGGACCATTGTGACGCGTGTCCACGATTAAAAAGCAGCCGGGCTCCGAATTTACAAGCTCCGCTTCATCCGATGTCTGGCGAAAGTCACGCCCTAAACTTGAAACGGTGCCACATCACCGTCGAACAACGATGCCCATTGTCGGCGTGGACATATCTTCGCACACTGGAGATGAGTTGCCCTTCTTTGACTCACTTTTGGATCTAGACAAGTGGACGGATACCCCCTCCAATAAACTTGGTAGTATCCCAAAGTACTACCCTCGGCGAGGGCGGGATGGTGGCGACGACAAAGAACGGAACGGGAGACTACTGGTGTGAACTTGTGTCAATTTGTGCCAAGTACATACATCTGATCTTGTTGTAAAGGTCTGCCATGATTACAGGGTAATTCTGTTGCTCTCACTACCACAAAATCTTTGACCTCGGTATTAACTTCTGGGTGTTAGGGTGGCTACAATGAAAGTCCAACGTCGTTTACCTACACTTTCAACTTCTGGCCCTGGTGCGACGTATTTGTATAGTAAGCCCCTTGTGCCCCGATTGGGACCAAAGACGTCCAATCAATTTGAGGCTAACCCCCTGAGTAGTTTTTCTCACCACAGAGTGACAATCCCTCCATCGGGATGGACGACGGCTGCACATCGTCAAGGCGTGAAAATGCTCGGGACTTTGTTAGTATTTCTTATCTCCTCCTGCATCCACAGAGACTTGAAAGTGTGCAGAAGTGCACTCGCAACTGTGCAAAGTAGCAGCATGTTCAATCTAATGAACAATATCTTCGATTATCATTGACTGTGAAGCTGAGACGTCCATAGCGCTCTCGATGGATTCGAAGGGCTCGTCTGTCTTCTCTGAAGAACCATTCGTACAATGACAGGTCCCGTCGTAGCCTGCTTTGGATTTTTTTTGCGTCTTTCTAATCATACTTATCTTCTGGTATCTCGTATAGAATATTTGAACACGAATCTAGTGAAAGCGACTGCCTTCGACTACTCTTTGGTCGTCTTCCTCGATCCCAGACAGGCCCCGCTGCGCCTTCCCAAGATGGCACCGTTCCCGTCTCACCACACTATGCCCGCATTCTCGCTGATCTCGCATACCAGCGCGGGTTCGATGGGTATCTACTCAATTTTGAGTATCCGCTACGTGCTGGTGGTGGTGTTGGGCACACTCGTTCTTTAGCAGCTTGGATTGCGCTGCTAAACAGGGAGTTGAAGAAGAAAGTGGGTCCACACGCGGAGGCTATTTGGTCAGTGTGGTCGCTTATTACACGACAGGTTCTTGATCTCATTAGTGATTCGTCCTCGTAGGTATGACAGCGTCGTCTTCACCGGACAGTTGCGTTGGCAAGACCGACTGAATAACTACAACCTCCCGTTCTTCCTCCCATCCACCGGATTCTTCACGAATTATACCGCAAGCTTTCCTGCCTTATCGTCTCGCCTTGCTCTTACTGACGACCGCCTGCCCAACAGTGGCCTGCCCATTTCCCTTCCGTTACCACGAAATTCTTCGACAGCCTGCCATCAGCTACCCAACATCTCTCCCCCAAAACCCTTCAAGACGTCTACACCGGCATTGACGTTTGGGGCCGTGGCTCTCATGGCGGGGGCGGCCTCGGCTGCTACAGAGCCCTCGAGCACATCAACCCCAAACCTTCTCCGACCGAAGTCGAGTCTGACCCTGCCATCGACGCCCGTGGCAGCATGAGCGTCGCTCTCTTCGGCCAGGCCTGGACTTGGGAAAGCGAGCAAGACAAGCCCGGCTGGGATTGGGATCAGTGGTGGTCTTTCGAGCGCAAGTTGTGGTTAGGTTCCGAGGACACGAATGAGAATGTCGAAGTTCCGGACGCCCCTGTCAGGAGAGAAGGGGAGCCTGTATGTCCACATGGACCTTTTCGACCACTGACTGAGTTCTTCGAACCGAAATCACCGCCCGATCCTGCGGAGTTACCGTTCTTCACTTCGTTCTCTCCTGGTGTTGGGCGGGGATGGTGGGTGAACGGGTCCAAGGTGTGGATGACGGAGCTCCAGGGGAAGGAGAAGTTGGCCGGGTGGACGGATGTGTCGAAACAGGGGTCTCTTGGAGACTTGCTCTGGCCTACACCTCGGGTGAAGTGGGAGGATGTAGGGCGGGAGGAGGCGTTGCCACAAGGGCGGTGCAGCTTCGAGTTTGGAGATGCGTGGCAGGGAGGGAATAGCTTGAGGGTGGCGTTCGACGTGCAGGGTTCCGAGGCTGATGATGCCTTCTTCCGGTCGATGTGGCTCCCCGTTCAATCGTTCGCCCTTACAGCAGGGAGATCCTACGATGCCTCTATTATCTTCAAGTCAGAGAGCGAGAACATCGATGTAGGCCTATCGCTCAAGTTTCCTCGGGCCGATGCCTCAACAACCGAAGAACTACCGGTGTCCGTGTCGGAGGAGCTCGCGAATGGGTGGACGAAGTTATCTCTCAGCTTCACACCTACCTCGAACGCAGCGCATATCGGCCTTATCGTTGGTTTCGCGGCGGAAGATCCTTCCGAGGGTCTCCATCTCTGCTTCCTTATTGGCCAACTGGTCGTACATCCTTCGCCGCCGCCACCACCCACTCTAACATCGATTCCTCGCATCCTATGGGCGGACTTCCAAAGATCCACAGCACCACCTGCTCCTCCTATCAACGCCACCGCCACCATGACCCCAATGGGTATCCTCACCTGGGAAATTTCCGCTACATTTCTGCCTTTACCCCTCTCTACAACCATCCCTTCCGTCGACGATCCCAATCCCATATGGCACCTCGACGTTTCAGAACACTGGTTCCCTTCTTTTCTCTACTTCAACATATATGTCCAGGTACATGATTCGGAGGGGAAAGTGAAGGGGCCTGAGAATGCGAACTTTGTGGGCACGACGGGTTTCGATGGGAGGAGGGGAAGGTTTTGGGTCGATGGAGGTGTGATGGGTGGTGTAATCCCGGCCGGTTCCGGGAAATTGAGGTACTACGTGCAGGGGGTGACCGAGAAAGGAGAGGTGTTGACGTGGGATAGGTGTTGTTACGTCGACACGTAGGCGAGAATATAGCTCTGGTGAAAGTAACGACGTACTCGCAGCTGTAAACACGGGAAGAAATCTGTACGATACTTGTGCTTGTATATTTGCGTTATCTGCTGCGGTTAATATAGTCTCTTTTCGATGTCAGAAACGGAGATGGTGTAGAGACACAGCAGGCTAGTATATATGGTCACCATACTGATACAGAAAAAACAACAAGAGCTACATGCTACATGCTGACTTTTATGACCCGAATAAAGAGATTATATCCATTTTACAAAACCTTATCCAGGAACCGACCCCAAGCACTACTTGACCGAATCGCCGCGTCCGCCATTTCCTTCTGTTCTTGTAACGTAAGCTCTTTGTGAGTCTCGTCTCCTCTGCCCGACATGAGGTCGATCTCCCTTAGAGGGATAAACTGTGCAATGCAAACCGATGACCATCAATACTCGTCATATGGGATGCTTGGAGTTGTGAGAGGGGGAAGGATACGAACCTTCGTGTGATGCCACCATTTCCAGCCGTAACTGTGGGAGTAATAGGAGAGAGGTTAGGCAAGCCACACTTGATAGGATCGAGGCAGATACGCACTAAAGGAGAACGAAGATTGGAATACTGAACACCACTATTCGTCAGTCAAAAGTAAAGAATTTGACAATGTTTAGACGGACCTGATATACGCGGACACAAAGGTCTGAGGGTCCCACTCGACCTTCAAAAATACGTTGTATCCGGAGATCAAAGCAAGGATCCCTGATAGGCATCAAGAAAACTGAGTTAGCTCTCGACTACAGGAATCACGAGAAGAAGGGAACATACATGAGGACCACCAGCCAAAGTAGGCAGTATACGGCATGAACCTCCCTCGGTAGGGAAGCGTCGACCGATTGACACCTTGTACGGTCAGTGCCTTGTTAAATCGGACCCAAGTCCAGCAAATACACCCTGTCATTTGAGAACAAATAGAAAAAGATTAGCATATTTACGGGACAGCTAGCGCGATAAAGTTTCTTACCCCAGTTGATGAGTCCGGAAACGGAGGTGAGCGCCTGAAGCCAAAGGAAGACCTGGGATGCACTGCTCGAAATACTGAGGTATGCGAGCGCTCCGAAAGAGCACGAAATTATTGTGGCGTAGAGAGGCAACCCGTGTCGAGTGACTGCCGTCGGGCCATAGTGTGAGTTTTGGATTGTCTGGGAATCCTAAGATGACGAACCCTTAGCAAATATCTTCGGTGCTCTACGGGAAAGAGCGAGCGAATAAAGCGATCGTGCTGATATATCTGTAGTCACCCAAGTCTGTGAGCTAGGAGTAATGGGGTTATGGGCAGTGGTACGAACACGCGTAAGAGTTTCCAGCGCTCCAGGCTGAGACGAGGAAGACTGCATTGAGACTACGGAGGTTTGTTAATATTGCATATCATGGGGGATCAAGAAAGGACCTACACATGGGGCAGGACGCTGATGCCTCCTTGTTGAATAGCAATGACGAACGGTGAACTAAGGAGAAATACGGTATTTCGTCAAGGGCTTGTCCTCCATATAGAAAGAAATGGGGACGCACGCCGCAGCTATGGAGAGGATTGGTCAGATAACGTATGATACGTCGAAAAAACTCTATCATACTCACCACTCGAATCAGCACCGAGCTGCGCGTTGTCGGCTGGTACGAGCATGCCTACCAGCATGATTCCACCTGGAGATGAACTTGCGGTGAGTCCTGATAAACCCGAGGAACGTAAGATGATCGTACCGATATAGAAGAACAACTGAGGGAAAGAGCTGATGTTAGCGTGAGTATTCTAACTGAGGTGAACGATTAGGACATACGATTCGGTAGGCTACTTTCTTGATGGCACGAGGGATTTCTCGGACGGGATTACTGGTCTCTCCGGCTGCAAGGACGATAGCTTCGGTACCAAGGTATGTGTACGCAGCGCCCACGATAGAATAGAGAAACTACACAGAGGACGTGCATCAGGTAAAAGCAATGATACGAAGTTTAGAAAAATCTTACAGCACAGAAGCGTCCGGTTGCTCCTGAAATACCGTCATACTGAACAAAAGGTTGGTCTCTCCAGTACCTCTATACAATCCAGGAAATCAGTAAGGGGGGCTGTTAGGTGGTGTCCTTGTGGGCGGTGAACTCACAAATCCGATCCTATCGTGGCTAGGGGCACCGCCGAGATCGATGACTATGCCGACGATGAAGAGAACGACAAACGCTAAAATCTTGAGCGTCGAAGTCTAGGATTCAGGCGTGAGAACACGAAGAGAGGCTCAAATCGGTAAGGAACCTTACGATGACTTCAACTTCGCCGAAGTACCTGACAGGAAGGAAAACTAAAATAATAGACAAGACCATAAAGATCGTGCTGAGAGGCGTCAGTTAGTTTAAAGCGTAATGATGTCACCAGAAACTCACATCCACGCCGCAAGGGGTAATGGGGTGTCCCAGTACTCTATAATTACAGTAACCGCAGAGAGCTCGCTGGCGAAACTGACGGCATTGCCTTTGAGATGATGACGATATTAGCTGGGAAGAAGACCAATGCTTCTGACATGTTTCCTTACCATACCAATAGCTGACACCTGGCTTCAAGTGGTGAGTACTATCTTTAGTTCGATATTATCTGATGAACCTACCGATACTGAAACCAAGCGCAGGATCTAAGAACCGACCAGCAAAATGTGGAAAACTCCCGGCACTATGTAGACCGTTGATAGTCAGACAACTACAACCGGCCTAATGAACATGTCACGGTAGGGTCAGGCTTACCCAGGGTATAGAGTGGAAAGTTCGCCGAGACACTCCATAACAGACCAGAGAACGAGGCCCATCACAACATACCCAAGGAAGATAGCCACTGGTCCGCAAACTGAAAGCGAATAACCAGAACCGATGAACAATCTGGATAGACAGCCACTGCCAGTCAGAAGGACGAAGTGTGTTTGAGTACGCGAAGATGGTTTACCCTGTACCGATAGCCTAGTATTAAAGGTATTCATGAGATAATCAGTTGCAATACAAGGGTCGCTCTATGTAACGGAACTGACTCCACCAAGACCTATCATCTGAGAAATTGGGTCAGTAAAGCGTAAAGAACCGGCGTCTCAACACTCTAACCTGAATGTGGCGAGGCTTCAGTTGTCGTTGGGTTTGGCCGATACCATCCTCAAGATCATATCCACGCCCCATGAACGAGCTCGACACTTCATTGAGCCCTGATTCAGGGCTCTTCTCGTTCACTTTGTCGTCTGACATGGTCTGCCTTTTGATGATGGTTAGTGCCTCTACGCTTCGATGCGTAGTGATACCGTCTGTGGCCCTAGAGAAGCGTAAGTAGTTCGGACTCAAGGTACGGACTTGAAGACGAAGGAAGGAATCGAACTCGAGTTCTTCGAGCTCTTGATACAACGGCAGAATTGTTCACCGAGCCGCCGGAGCACGCGATTGAGTGCATATGGAAAACAATTTTCTTTTCTGCAAAAACTTCCACGCGTCGCCTTTTCGGGACTTCATTGAGTCTGGACGATCGCCGCGACTCACCTCGGATCGCAGTTTGCCAAGTATACGGGCAGGGCGCCATACTGAAGCCACGGGAGCCTTGTGGACCTTGCTCGAGCATCATGCACATGTATCGACACTCGATAACTTCGAAGCTACAAGAAAGATTCCGTAATGGGCGCGACGCCCAAAATAGCAGGCTCCTGAGACCGACCGGACCCGGGGAGACACGGCCTTGGCAAACACCAGCAAATAATGTCGCGCCACAGTGGCGCAACACCTGCGTTGCCCCACGTACGGCCTGTTATGAGCGTCCAGAAGACGAAATATGCCTATACTTCTCACCACTTCAAGATAGAGTGTCGACTGGCTTGCCAAGAGAACACACAAAATCATCGCGGAAGTAGAGATCGTTGCATTCATTTGACACTGCTTCGTAACATTCGACATCGCTACTCGTTCATGCTGAAGGTAATGACCCAAAAAACAAACACAGCCATGTAACCTACAGAATAAAAAAAAACCAAAAAATACCACCCAACAAGGATAATCAGACCAGAAGTTACAGGGGAAAAAGAGTGACGAAAAGGGAAGGTGAAGGACAAGTGCGATGGCAGCAGCGCTTGCTACCGATGCAAGGCAGAGTCATAACGTCCTACTCAATTGACAAGTTGTCTAAGAATGTACGTGCACCAATTACGATGGCGGATTGTATGCAGAATCCGGAAGGTAAAAGCCTGGGGAAGAATAGGGGTTAGTCTGATAGGAACGCGACGAAAGAAGAAAGACATACATCGTTCGACAGAGTCAGCGTTGTTACCCCACCAGTTGGGCATGGAGGTAGTCTTCACCGCGCTGAACGCAATGAACAGGAACAGCATGTTGAAGTTGTATCCTGTGTCGGCTGCTGCACCCGCCAGATAGGCAAACTTCTTCCAGAACCCATAACGGTCTACCGACAAAACGGTAAGAAACAAAGCATCTGCAGCGCAGGACAAAGGGCAACATACAGCGCTTGAAGTACATGTGGTTGATCGTTCCGAGGACGAACCAAGTCAGGAGGTAGTTGCTGAGGTTGCCGTAGAAGTTCTCGAAAGTAGTCGCAAAAATGGGGATGTTGACAAGATCCGCGCGCAGTTTCGGCCACTTCTTATGAATGAGCCACAGGATGATTGGCACAATGGCGCCGGCTACAAATCCGTAGAGCTATTCCGTGGAAGTGAGCGGCATGGGTGTGAACGGTGTCGGAAAGATGGACGTACCATAGGCGCATACATGGGATCGTCAAAGAGGAGTTTGGGTCCGATCAAGCCGAACGCGATACCTTGATTGTTGAGCGAAATCACGGTTTGGCCCTGTACAAGATCATAGCGTCACAAAACGTATGTCAGATATCAAGAGGCGTATATACTTACAGTCCATTGGTGGTTGGGATCGCTCGCGGCTCCGGACAGAACGTCGGCCTTAGTCTTGCACACCCAGAGGACTAGGGAAGACGACGTTTAGTTTGGCCTACCACGTTGAATTAGGTCGATGGACTGCGATGCTCACTGGTGGCATAATTGATGGGTACACCGATGAGAATACCCCAGACCTGTGCAATGAGAGTGGCCCGAGGTGGGATATGGAAGTAATGACCGCTAACAGAAGAAAATGTAGGGTAAGCTACCAAGGAACATAGTCGCAATGAACTGTATGATCACTTACAGCTTCATATCCGCCAACATGGCCTGAGCCTCGTACCAGCCTGATTACAGATAATAGATTAGACCCAAAGAAAAAGAGAAAATGAAAATGAACTGCGTACATTGACCGCTGATGACACGATAACTAAGGGAGCCTACCGGGTGGCGAGAACCGCCGAGGTTGATGGCATAACCGTAGAACAGCTCGTTGAAATATCCGACTGGAACCTGGTAACCAGTGACGGAGTAGATATAGCCTGTGGAATATGGAGAATAAGTACGAGTGTCCACAGATCCAGCGAAGATTCAAACAAAGCGGAGGAAATCCCTTCGAAATTGATAACGAGACTTACTCATGGGCACCACGATCACGGCACCAATCACAAGACCGATATATAGCATATATGGTGGGTAATCTTTCGGGGCGGAGACGTTAGCCTTACTTCCAAATATAAGGAGGTAATAAAAACATACACTGCATGATGTGGCGCAGTGACGAATCGAGAGTCAGATTACGCGTGTAGTGAAGAAGCACAGTTAGTTGAAGCTCATGAAAGGATCAAATTGCATAAGAGGGGCACGTACACTACGGGTATATAAAGTCAGTCAGCCGTTCTGAATGATGAGATGAAAAAAGGAAAAACATACACTGTACGATTTAGAACAATGATCAAGCGACCAACCGAGTGGGTCCACCGTGTTCGCGAAGGCAGTGGATTAGTGCAATTTCATAGAACCTATCAGGGACGACGTACGTAGACCAGTGTGGGAGAACGCGATGAGAATGATGAAAGGAACAAGGAACAGCGCGAGGTTCCACCAGATGGGTACTGTTGGATATTGCCGAATGATTTGGCTGAGCTATGAAGAAGGCAGAGCGTTAGCGCATTTTGAGGATGGACTGAAATCAGGATTATTACCTTGTCATCGAAAGCTGCCTTCCGTTGCCATCTCAGCTTCACTGTTCTGTATATCTCCGGGCCCTGGAAGAGAATGCACGAGACGAAAGCACCGAGCCACGCAACATACGAGAAGAAGTCTGATCAAGGGAACAGGGTAAGAAAATAGCATGGTGCTTGTTGAGAAGATGAAGTGCTTACATCCCCAACGAAGTTGTGCCGACATCATAGGAGGGCCAACCTCTGCGAAAAGCTCGCTGTTGAGCGAGAAATCGGAGTTCATGAGACTGGCCGTCGGATACTGCAAACAAAACGAATTGAGACGCATCGAACGAAGACGACAAAATAGATAAACTGACCTTAGTCCCATTGCGCATCCACAACGTCTGGCTCTGAATGGGGTACTTGTCACTTTCCCAGATACCCATGTAGTAGGAGATGGGAATGAGGATCCATGCAGAGATGACGTAGGATGCAAACATGTTCAATTGAGTCCACCACGGGTAATAGATCATGGTAGAGCCAATATTGGACCAGTCAAGGGTGACATTCAGCAGGCCGACACCGCCGAGACCAGAGCCTAAAAATTATGCACACCAATATGGAATTTTAAACAAAACGAAAATGCAAGAGTGATAGTGAAACCTACCAAGGAACTGGGCGGTGGAGTTCTTCGTTACCCAGCAAAGGAATGCGAGAGAGGATGTGAACGGGAAGATATACTATAATGATTGCGGTAAATTGGTCGGTCAATTGAGACATAAGAAGATAGGACGCTAATGTCACGCACCTCAGGCAGGAATTCCCAAAGGAAGAAGATCAAGATTCCGTACCAGAACACGCGCATCTGGGTCTTTGCGGTTGTGCTCGCCGTTGAAAGAGACATACGCTGTGCCTTGAAAACCGAGACTTGCTGAAGAGCTAGAGTAGAGAGTCAGTGTCCAATATTCTTAGGCTGACCATCTGGCAGCCACATACTCAATGGGAATCTATGAAGTAAGAAATGATCCCCGTGTTAGGTTCAATGAAAACACAATGGACTGCGTGACTTACGTCGTGTTGGGATTCTCGATAATGAACGTCTTTGCCAGCGTGGCATACGAGAACCCAATGAAGACCGCGGACCACTGTCGCAGAAGATGAAATGGTGAATGCTACGACAGCTCAAGAGTAGACGAACCATGAACAAGATAGCGATCCAACCGTTCATTGCTAGATAAGACGGACTCTTAAAACAATATTATAGATAAATATAGATGAAAGGTCACGCACGATCGTCGTAGAATACAGCCAGAGGGGCAAGGACGTAATCGCCCAAGTTATTCGTGGCTCCGGTGTTCGCACTGTGAACCATGCGGAACGAGGGTCGGTCAAGAAATAGGAGACGTAGCATGGTATCCCACACTCACGCCAAGACGACAGCGACGTGCTCCTTGACAGAGAACTCGCCAGGGTTTAACTCGAACTTGAATCGTCCAAAGCCAACTAACTTCTGTGGAAGGGTGGCAGCCAGGAATCGACCGAAGAAGAGGGAAGCGATCTGCACGAAGTAGACTGCAAAGTGTATAATAAGTATATCACAGTATGCCATCTCCATATAGAAAGACGATGAACGCACTGGAGTACGGGATGTAAGTCGTTCGGAAGAAACCCATTTGCGTGAGCCATCTGCATAGATGTTAGCCATAAGGTCTGTATTTGCGTGACAGAAAAACTTACGCGCCAAGGGCGGTGAAGATGGCGGACAGGAAAAAGAACCTCCATGTCAAGACGGGGATGCTGGGATCGTCCTCAAAGTCACACAACTCGCGAACAATCTGAGGGAGAACATTGTAGGCAGGATCGTTGTCATCACCTGTATCGTGTCAATCAGCCACGGAGAACATCGACTAGTATGATCGGATACTGACCTTTGATTTCGAAGGCTGCCTCATCATCGTATGAGCTGGAATGGTTGTCATACTCCTTGGCGATGGCGACGTCGTCGATGCTCTTCTTGTCGTCCAAGTACTCCGAGTCCTCGCGGCCGAGGGTCCTCAGGGTGGGCACCGTAGGGTGGTCAACGCTCGTCGTGAGGGCGGCGGACATGTTGCGCTACTGGACGGGAGGAAGCAAGAAAGAGCACGGCCCAGGTGCCGGGAAGAACAAGAGTCTGTATAAGTATCCGATACGATGGTAGCGTCATCGAAGATAGAGGAAAGCGCTGCGCTCCAATGTCGAAAAGACAGAAGGTATGGCGCTTATCGCGGCATTACACCACTCTGCAGAGACAGAATAGAAAACGGAAGCGCACGGAGCACATGCCATGAACATATCGCGAGATACGGAATGCGTAGTTGGGAGCCAAATTCGCCGAGGAAAGACACAGGAAGATAAAGCCAGGAACGGAGGAAGGAAGGAAGGAGATCTATAGAAGGCGTGCAGCGCTCAGAGTGGAGAAACAGGGGCCCGTGGACTCCTGTAGAGCACGCTACGCAGAAAGGCACGATGGTAGACCTTGGCGAAGAAACTGGTGAACCTGAGGTATCTTCTGGTATTCCAGCCGATTCGGAGGTGGGAAAGGTGATAAGATGCTATCCGGGCGCTTTAATTTATGACAGCGGGGGAAGTTCAGCGGGAAGTGAACAGGCACGCACGCAAACGGAATGACAGGGAGAGCCAAGTGTTGTTTAGTTGCATGGCAGTCCTCACTGAAGTTTGAGTTGTCGCCATATCTCGCGTTCGTTCGCCAGTATGTTGCTGCGGAGTTCTACGATCGGATAAAGTGTTGGACCGAGGATATATGTCGCCAAGTGAGAGTATAAACGCATAAAAGGAAGCACGCGACCTAAGAGTAAAGAGAGGTGTGTCCAGAGATTATGTATAGACCACGCGGTAGAAATGTTGGCTAAGGCCTAAGCTCGCCAAGGAGTCGGGCGAGGGGAAGTCGGCTAGCGGAACCGGGACATGTCTTCATACATGTTTGGCTGGTGCTGGCATGAATATTTCTTGATTTACGTGCACATTGCTCAAACATATGTAGCATGTCCTGCCAACGAATAGCATCAATAGACGAAGCAGCTCAAGAATTGCGGTCAAGACAGTGGGATGGAAGGTCGTTGCGGCTGGGAGCGGACACCTTGACCTAGAACGGCCACCTTCCAAGTTCCCCGTGGCCATTTTTGTATAATGCGTGTGCTGGTCCGATCAGAGCCATGTTATAGGGAGAGATAGACAAGCTGAGCAATGAGGATCCGTTCTTTGTTGATCACCACAAAGCAAATCAAGCGTGGGCATATTTCGGACACAGCCGCTCGGAGTGCGAAAGTTGTTGTGCCTTGTCTCGGAGCCGCATCCTGATTGTTTAGCGCACCCTTCGCGTCCCCGTTGCGTCCCCGGGCCCACTCTTGTGCTTTTGGACCTATCTGCATGCAACAACAATCGTCTACTTGAAGAAAGTCTTACAAAAAAAAATCTGGGCACTCGTCAGTCTTGCAGCGGGTGATACTCCTGACTTTCTTTCAACCGCGTTGAAACTTGACTCTCAGACTCAATTCGAGTACGAAGCAGTCAAAATTCATGTCGCCGTTCCGGTGCCATTTCGAGTAGCGAGCTCGGAGCCTCAAAATATCGCAGTCGGTGCCCGGCCCAAGAGGCCCTAACGAGCTCAGGCCTTCGGATAGCTTCGTACGTTGAAACTCTTTTGTATTTGCTTCGTCAGTGCACTCAACGTCCAACGATGGCTCAATCGGTGAGTACTTACACCACTCCCCAACCTTTCCCTCCGGAATGCACGAGAAGCGCTGGTTACAGGTTTTTTGTGCGCATGCTATCCATTCTGCTCCATGTCTTGAGATTGTATACGCACTGTATTGTCTACTAGTGTTCGTAACGGACCTATAGTAACTTAAAGCCTGGCGGCAGCGCATGTGTACGCCGATGAGACTTAATGCATTGATGATACAGCCCTGCTTCAGCTCGATGTTACGATACAGCTACTAGAGAAGCTCCGAGACTCGAGGCCGATATCTTACTGCGGTTCTCTATAACATCTTCCCGATTTGAACTAAGGCCAGAATAGCTCCGCACATTACAATCTGGCAGGACTGACTATTCTCGACTATGTATATGCAAAACCAGCGCCACGAGCACGCAAAAACCCTCCTGTTGCATTAATTGGAGGATTGATTTGAATCAAAATCCTAATAGTGAGGGACAGTGGCGAGATCGCAGTTTATGATATGCACGCTACAGACGGTTTTCGTACATCTACGGCGCCATACTCTAAAACCTTCACGTTATTTCACGTGCATTAGACGTCGTGGTAGTTTTTCAAAACACATCGTTTCTGCTGTCAAATGTAGACGGAGCTAAGGCCCTTTGCCTTCAGGACACTTCATGGCTGCGGACGTTGGAGGAAGGTCACTAGAACTCGTCGTCCACTGATTATTTCGCTCGTGAAGCATCAGCGTGCCGAAATACCACAGTGCCTTTGGTGTGCCTCCACCGCTTACTTCGCATCGATTGAGAACGGGTAGGGGCAATCTTAGGAACGTTTGAGGTCTTTCATCGGACGTTGGAGACCCCTGAACGCCGCTACACGATATCGGTGCACATGCACGTAGATAAGCTCAAAAGCGACAAGATCACTCAAGTGATCAGGTCTTCATGCCCACAACCTTGGCTAGACTGTTCTCGTATGTGGTGGCCGTGATACCCTGTAACGCTCAAGCTCCGCACACCACTGGTGAGAGCGTGTGCTGAGACTTTGAGTATAATGGGGATAAGCGTGGGGCTTTCCCAAACCAATAGCACTAGTTATGCTGTGTTTCTTGCGTAGATTCCCATGCATCACTCTGTGTTCCGGATATCTTTGACTATGACGCAACATGCTGCATAATGGGGTCGAACCATTGAGCTGCTGACCTTGCGCTCGAGAGTTCTTCCTTCTTCATTGTTTCCATCCCAGTAAGTACTCTTTTCTCATTAACAATTCGTTGTATGATCCAAATTTTTCTGAGCGAGCAGTAAAATATGATTGGTGGAGGTGTAAGAATATAATACCAGCACCTGGAGCCTGATCCTCCGATTGAGTTCACAGGTTGGACGTAGTATACCCGTTTAAAGCATCAATATAATGCAAGACCGGATGGAAAGGCATTAGCTGCTTTCCACGGGAGGAACATTGTCATACTACCATTTCCTCAAATTTCTTAGATAACCTGATTCCAAGTCTTCATTGGGTGCTTTTCAGGCTCAGTCCAGTGCTCATACTTAGTATCCAAACCTACTTGGATGACATGTTGATGACACGTAGGTTTCTCAAAGTAATCGATGTCCTGCATGCGATAGCACTAAATCAAAAGTCCTTTTCGTGAGCTAAGTGCTGTATGTACTATCGTATACGAATATGTCAAACATATTCGCATATAGCGCACAGCGCCACTCATGCGCCACATTTTCTCAGGTTGAACCAAGTCGCTAAATGCCGGAAGGACTCCCGGGTGGCCGGGCCGCCTACCTTCCCTAATCAACGGAAGTCCGTGAGGGCGGCGCTTATCTATCATTCAAACTCCCACAGGCTCAAGGCGGTGAGCCTGCCAGCTCGACGTCTTATTTTTCCATCATCATCTGTCTCTAAGTCTGGGCAAGCATCTAACAATCAAGAAGCGACACAGAGGTTTGTGCTGATATAGATCAAAACTTTCTGTTTTATCGACTCATTGGATCCGTACAGCGCAAAAGTAAAGGAGTCGGAGGAGTCATGACTGCACCAGCTCCCGGGATCTTTAGCCTTCTCAGAATCACGACATTGCTCGTGTCACTTCTCGCCGCACTCGCATCTGGAACCAACTATGTAGGGCTCTCGTCGATGGGCGTTACATCTCGAACTAATGAAAGTCATGTTACAAATGCATAGGTTATCTCAGGTTAGGAGCTGCTTTCGAGCAGTATTGAGCAGTCTACTGACTGCACCGTTAGCTTATGCACCGCAGCTGGGATCGAGACTACGCTTATCTCATACACAGCTCAACTTCGTAGCTCTCGCTGGAAATAGTCTGTATCTCAATTCTCTTACCATACCAGATCGAACCTACTAACTTTTTCACGACTTCGACAGGTGGCGTTTACTTCAGCGCACCCGTTTGGGGGAAGCTGGTCGATGCTCGTGGGCCACGCCCTCTGCTTGCGCTTGCCTGCGTATTTCTGCTGGCAGGATACTCCGGAATTCGTGGCATGTTCGATTTGGGACTCGACGATGGCGAGAAGCTCAGCAAGCTCCACCTTGGCCTGCTCCTGTTCTGCAGCTTCCTCACCGGTGCAGGTGGCAGCGCCGGGATTTGTGGCGCCATCAATCCCGCAGCGAAGAATTTCCCTGACAAATTGGTATTTCCCCATGGACCTCCGCCTGCTTTTTTTTGTTTTGCTTTCTGACCACGCTGTTTTGTAGCGGGCCACAGCTGTAGCCATAGTTATATCAGGCTTTGGCCTCTCCGCATTCCTTTTTTCTTCAATATCGCACATTCTTTTCCCAGGAAACACCTCCGAATTTCTTCTCGTTCTCGCTCTAGGAACCTCCATTCCCATGGTCATCGGTTTCTTCGTTATCAGAACCATCCCACTACCCTCACAAGACGCCACACACGTCTTCGAGCACGGTTCAGACGAGGACTACGAACCCCTATCCGCTTCAGAACACTTTCATCACATGAATAACAGTAACACTCACCTTCTCTCCCACGAAGAGTCCGACGAGGACGACGTCATGAGGCCCGATCTACATCAGTACCCACGCGAAGCGGGGGTTAGCCCTGCGACCGTGTTGGCCGCGGTGGAATTATCTCCATCAGTATCCGCCGATGGGCTCCGGAATATGAGCAGGAGTCGTTCGCGGAGTGTTGCTGCCAGCCATCGGCTTAGAGAACACGAGAAACACCCAGAGGGACACCACCTCGATATTAGCGGGCGCGCGCTATGGATGACTCTCGACTTCTGGATATTGTTTACTATGAACATCCTATGTAGGATACCTTGCTTTTCTCTGATATTGGACATTCGCTAATCAAGTCGCCTCTAACAGTGGCCGGGACAGGACTGATGTGTAAGATATCTATTCTATCTGTCTCTATATCGAGCTGAGGGGTCAGTGCAGACATCAACAACGTTGGCTCTATCTCTCAAGCTCTCTTCGCCAAGAATAACCCCGACTTCGATGAAGCTCAATCCACATCCTGGCAGGCCACTCAGGTCTCCACTATCAGCATCATGAACTTCTCTGGCCGTCTGCTCATCGGCGTCATCGCGGATCTCACCAAGTCTCGCCTTCACTACCCACGATCCTTCTGTTGCATGCTCGTCACCAGCATGTTCGTTCTGTCGCAGATAGTGACCCTGACCATGGACGATGTACGACAGCTGTGGAAGGCCAGCGCTATGCTCGGCTTCGCATACGGGAGCTTGTTTGGACTGCTCCCGACCGTTACTATAGAATGGTTCGGGCTTCGTAAGTCTCGAGGCGTGTTTGAACCTCCCTCACGACAGGTACTGACGGTGTTCGCGTACTCCAGATCACTTCTCCGAGAACTGGGGATACCTCTCGCTCGCACCCGTTGTCGGTGGCAACCTTTTCTCCCTCGCCTTCGGCCGCAACCTCGACGCCCACGACTCGCCTGAAGCCTCTTCCGACGCTCTCGCTGCCCTTTCATCTGAGTCAATCACTTCAACTAATCTCACTGACTCCATTCGGCGTGCCGCTCTTCCAGGCCAAGGACCCCAATGTTTCGAGGGCAGAGACTGCTATGTCGCTTCGCTCTATTTGACCCTCGGGGCATGCATTGTGGCGTTTGGGTTGTCGGTTTGGGCGGGTTGGAGAGACAGGAAGGAGAGGGGCAACCCTCATGCGCCGGTAGATGAAGTGGAAGTGTGGCGAGAGACGATTCCGGAGGAGTGATACGTGTTCGACGTATCTTGATAGAGGATGATGATCGCTTAGACAGCAATCGTGGAATATGCTAGACTATCATACGCTATTTATTTAATGCCCTTGGACTAGATCTTCATGCATTGCTGAGGCCTGGGTATCACGCATTGCATAGATCGCCTTCCGTGGCGTAATACCAAGTCTTTCAATTGGTACAAGATCTACGTGTCCCCAAGCCGAGATACAATGATTTGGCGATAGCGTCAAGAGCTGGAAGGTCGTGGACGACTTTTTGTTCCCCGAGGAACAATAGGTATCTCATCATCGTCGCTCTCCTCTTCCGTCACGTTCTTCGTTGTCGCCTTCCCTTTCCCTCCGTCATTCTTCGCGGGTTTCCGCTTTACTACCTTGCCTTTACTCTGTACACTTGCTCTCCCTTGCTCTCCTCCACTGTCCACTTCCTCCGCCTGCGCAGCTTTTTTCGCCTCATTCTTCCGTTTTTCTTCCTTTCGGTATGCAACATACCATTCTTCGGGTGAGCGAGACGCGATGTCGCGTTGCAGTTCTTCGTCGTAACAGACACACTTGAGCGTGAAGACGCCCAACCTCTACATAACGAATCTTTGTGAGCCCGAAGGGATCAAAACAATCGAAGGGGTGAACGTACTTGTTCTCCCGTGTTAAATGCACGGAGGACATTCTGTGCCGTCAAGTTCGTATATTTTCGAGCTGTCGCATCCTCGTATTCCTGCGCAATAGGTTTCCGGCCGTGGTCCCGACGAATGACAATGTCAGCCTTGACATGAGGATGTCCCCATGACAATATTCCGTTGGCCCACCATGACTTCAACTATCGAGCGTGGTAGAAATCAGCACAACCGTAAAGGGCCAACTTGAAGGATTATTGCCTACCTTGTGGCTCTGGATAGCCCAACGAGCCGGTGGCAGCGGAGGTGCAAGGCTAACTTCATACAAGCCAGCATACAACCACCTCGAATTTCCCAGGTTGATGAAGAGATTATGGCTGCCACTGTAGGGGTTTCTGTCAAAGACCTTTTCATGGAACATGACGCCATTGTACCCCGGGGTCCATGGTCCGTTAGGGTGTCCGTTCGCGACATTGAGGAATAGGAAGTTTCGCCAACGAGTAAGACCCGAGGTACGGCAGGCATTCATTGTCTGCGGGGAGCCTCCGTAGTGTTTGCTCATAAACATTCGGGTGACTTTCACGAAGCGAATATCTGGGTCGAGCGTGACGTCGTAGGGATCGATTCCTACACGAGAGATAATATCGGCATAAGTATCGTCGTCGACTTCACTGTCCTTCTTGATCTTCGGTATGGCACCGTAAGCTCTTGCCAGCTAATCATCACATGTATACATGTCACCATACATACGTAGTATGATGGGCGCAACTACACATACCCGTCGAGCCTCTTGAGGGGACACACTAGGCCGAGCGGTCCCAGAACTTCGGTTGCTGTCAGGAGCCTGTACATTAGCTTTGTCGTCGAGCTCGCTTTTGGCGCGCACGTTAGATCGAGCTGGAGATCGTCGTGACGATTGACGCGTGCTTTGGACCTCGCTCCTTGGAGGGACGACGGAAGGAAGGCTTGGATGTCCGCCTGTCAGGTCAAAGCTGGGTAGCTCATCGACATTCGCGCCTAAAATCACTCAGGGTCATTATCGACCAGGACAGCATACATCCGACTTGGGAGATGGTTTGAAGACATACCAGAATCGACGAACTGAGAACCTGTAGTTCCTGCGTGGTCACCAGTGACGAAGTCTTCGCGTTTCGCATGAGCACCGTCAAGGGTATTAGGTGGGCCAGTACTACAGGCCCAGTTTAAGTACTGACTACTCCGACCTACGCACACTGATTCAAGATCAGGATAACGTACTCAGATGGAGCAGCCTGATGTGATACAGATCTCTTCGGACGCTGATACAGAGATCGTAGCGGTGTAAGAACAACTTCCATCTTGACTCGCTTCATGGAGTCATACCCGAAGGCAACGATATAAGTAGATTGTAATACGAGGGGACTCAGACGAAGACTGGGAAACGGACCTTAGCTGGCGTCTGAGACCTCAGTGGTTCTGGCTTTATCGTGATCAGGGGAGAACGTTTTCGTTTCATAGACATGGTGTCTCGCTAATTCACTAAACAGTGATACTCAATTCGCTCAACGGATACGACAACAAAGAAAACCCGAGGGGACAGCGATAAGAGAAGAAAGCAAAATGAGACGATATGGTGGAGGTTCGGAGGCAAGAGACGACCATCGTTTCTACGTAATTTACGTAGTCGCCGCTTCGCGGAGTGGCGGTGGCGCCAGACATAGACAAGGCGGGATGTGAAAATTGAGGACGAGGACATCTGAGATTTCGGCTTTCCCATTTTCTACGTGAAGGCAATAACTATGAGTGGGGCCTCGTACATTCGCAGACATTCACACAGAGATATAGATGCATATGCCCCTATACAATGTAACAGCAACACCACGAGCCAACGTAGCACTGGGTATCATGAACCAGAAGGCTGAGATCGCCTTGGGCGACTCTTTGTTCCCTGAGGGATGAAGGTCATCCCCTCGCCATTGTCCTCCTCGTCCGTCACGTCCTCGGCTTTCGCCCTTCCTGTGCCTTTCGACCTTCCCTTCCCTTTTACCCTTCCTTTCCCCGTTCCTTTCCCTTTTCTCTCTCCTTTTCCTTGTGCCACTTTCCCTTTTGTAGCATTCGAGGCAGATTCTCCGGCTGCCTTGTTTGCCTTGTAGGCGCGATACCAACCTTCTGGATCCTTCGCGGCGATATCACGCTGGAATTCATCGTCGTAACCGATACATTTCAGAGCATACATCCCTAGTCTCTGAAAAGCGACATTGAGAAAGCGTCAGTCCAGCCGTCTGGGTATGGGAAGTAAAGTGAATTCGCAAGCGCACTTGCTCTCCATGGTCGAAAGCCTGCAGTATTTCCAGCTCTGTTATGTTTTGAAATGAGTTTGTTGATTGATACGCTTCTTTCAACTCCTGCATGGTGGGTTCTCGCTGGAGGTCTCGCCGGAGGATGATACTCCCTCTCACGTCATGTCCCCAATCCATCTCTTTGATACGGTTTGCCCACCACATCTTGAGCTGAACTTGATATCAGCTGAAGCCTAGCAGTGAGGATCGAGAAGCGGCTTACACTCTGATTCTGCAGGATCCATCGAGCTTGCGACAGCGGCGGCGCCAATGTCGCACGATAGATCCCTTGTTGCAACCATCGGTGCTTGCCCAGGTGCGAGAATACTATAAATTCTGCCCCGTTTAGCGAGTGATCTCTATCGTGCGGTTCTTGCATGAATAACAACCCGTTGAATCCAGGGATTCGGGGCCCACTCGGATGACCTTCGACGATGTTGAGGAAGCAGATACGGCGACCCTTTAATTTCTCTGTGACAAACATCATCTGATGATGGCAGCCGAAGACGGTGCTCATGAACCTGCGAGAAACCTGGAGATAGCGGATGGCGGGATCGAGCGTGACAGGGAAGGGATCGTTCCCGATGTTGCGGAGGAGTTCTTCCATGGCGTCATCGTCGAATCCTTTATCGTTCTTGGCCTTGGCCAGGACACCGTACGTTCTTGCGAGCTGCATGCATGTGTATTGGAGAGTCAGATCTGGAAACATAGAACTCATTCGAAGAACACGACGTACGTCTCGAGCTTCTTGGACAGAAGGCGTCTGTCGAGTGCCATTCGTTACTGGATTGGTAGTGAGTACCTGAGCGACGCTGTCCTCGCGACGTTCGGCCTTGATGCGCGCGGGGGGGCGAGATGACGTGCGTTGTGGCGTACGTGAACTTGAAGGGCCCTGGGCCGCTGCGTTTCCCTGAACATCGCTGAGAGCAGAAAAACCGGCTCTAGATCTCAGTCAATTTGACGATTGAAACGCGAAAACCAGACCATCATACCGCGACGATTCGGCTCGACGTGACTGAGACCGCTCACGCTTCGCTTCTTGCAGCGTCGGCACCACAACCTCTAACTTAACCCGTTTCACGCTGATGACAGGCTTGATATCCTGAATATCGTCGAGAGAGTCAGTATCATCATGCTACTTGGCGAAGGGTTTGAAGGGAGATAAACCTTCGCATCCGGTGTTAAAGACCTAGGCGGTTCTGGCTTCACAATCACCAAGGGAGAACGCTTCCTTTTCATAGACATGGTTTGTGGTCGATATTTCGTCGAGTCAAGCGGATAGTGAGCGAAGATATATAGCAGCCCGACGATGATGGAGGTAATGACAGAAGAGAACGCTTGGTTGGCAAGCTGGTGCCGTTAACTCTACGTAATGTAGTCACCGCTCCAGCCTGAGGAACTCGAAGACAGACATGATTGTGCGGCGGGTCGAGGAGTATCATAGCCAAAGTAAAAAAGAGTTCCCAATAATTTCAACTGGCCACGCAACTAAACTAGAGGTCACATTGTATATGGGTCAAGTTCCCTGTTGTGAAAGTAAAAATCAAGGGCTCACCGGAGGACAGAATTTCAACCGCCTCACGGTCACGGGTATTTCCGACGCGGGAATAACGACCACGTGATGGACGCGTGTCGGAGTCTGAACGTGCAGCGCGTCGTGTCACCAGTCGAACGAACATAAGACACGACTAACACTTCTGCACTCAACGCTCATCTCCCATCCGCCGTATACTCTAGTTGCTCTCTTTTCTATTGCCGACTATTGATCATAAGCGATAACCACCTAAAGTCGACTATCATAGCTCGACATGACCGTCCTAGTACCATCCTTTCTACCTCCACCGCCTTCTACACACCAGCCTCTCCCACTTATTGTCAAACCAACTCTAGAGCCTCGACAGCACGCGGAACCAACACCAAATCTGTCAAAGTTACCACAAGTGGGGACACCTTTGGAAGAAATACGGTTGAGCATCCCCGAAGTACGTCTCCCAGTGGCGAGCATATCGGATGAGATGGCAGCGGCAATGACGGTTGGATTACTTGGACATGTTTTGTTTCTCAAGAACCAAATACCATTGTATGTTCCTTATTTGAGACTCTGTACTTTCCTTTGCCCGACCATGCACGAGAGCGGTACTTCCATCGCCTTGCTCTGGTCTTGCATACCTTTTCTTCTGCCGCACTAAGCTCACACTGTTTTTTTATCACCTCAGACCGATAAACCAGCTCTACCGACTGTCATCTCCACCATCCAAAAAAACTACACCCTCTAATACGCTCAATAGCCAAAAGGCCATCAAAAAGCGCACCGACCTCATCGAAGCTTTCGATGAACTGTCCTGTCACCTCCAGTCTACTTTCAGCGCCCTCAGTACCGCCCTCGCTCACTCCAAATCTCCTCACCAATCGAATCTTCCAATTGGACGCTCAGGGCGTCAGGATGAGAATGCGCAGCCCATGGATGGACAGGGGATAGGTGGAGGAGCGGTGCAGAGAGCCAATGCGTATGTGGCATTTGTGTTGGGGCCGACGGTGGGGGTTCCGAAGGCAAGAGTTATATTATCTCTGGAAGGCCTCGACGTGAAGGTATGGGGAACTAGGAAGGAAACACCGTCGGTTCAGCACTCTAGCTCCGCCGATCCGAACGAGGGCAGGGTGAAAGTTGAGGAAAGTAGCATCTTTGACGAGGATATTGAGGCGGACAGTGACGTCGAGCCCCTCCCGTCTGACAGCGACGATGAGGATTCCGATACAGCTAGTTCCAGCGAGACTGAGAGCGAGGAACCCACATACGCCGCACAGCAAGCATTTCTTGACGCTCAAACTCGCCTTCTATCCAGACGACTGGCGGAAGCCAATGCGTCCGAAGAAGGCGGTCTTGCTAGTGAAATGGGTGCGTGACAAATTCTCTGATCTCATGATATGTAGGTGACCCAGCTTTTTCATATGCTAACCTTCCCCTCGCCTTCCAGGACTTACACAAACGCACGTCTTGATCCGCGCTCCGCGTCGCTTCACCCATCCATCCTGGCGTCCCCTCCAATCCCACACTTCTTCCCTGGACAACACCCTCCGCGACTTTCTAGACTACTCACAACTCTCGGTGTCACCTACCACTGCCTCCGCTAGTGCCAACACCACCACAACCACCACATCTCGCCCGGATAGTGAATCTCCGGAGGAAGCAGGCGCAGATGATTCCGCTCGTTCTTCAGTAGGCGGGGGATCGTTCGGATTGGCGATGAAGGCGAAGAAAATGTGGAAAGGGGGTGTAAAGACGGAAGGTGTTTGGATCGGATGTGATGGTGTGCGGAGAACGAGGCATTCCATTGATACTGGCCGTCGTCCAGATGTAGACTTGACTGTCGAAGGAGAGACCGCGGCGGGCGAAGTTCCACGGATGGAGGCGGAGGGTGGCGTAGTGGACGAGGAGGATGAGATGATCTGGTGGGCTTGGGACGGGAAGTTGGTTGGCTTTTCGGAGTGGTAAGATCGGTTTGTCGTTACTATATGTGAGTATGCCGGTGGGGCGGTCGGTGTGCTCTTGAACTCATGGACATATATGTGTCTACGAAGGTCTGTATAGTCTCGGAGGTTCAGATTTTTTACGTGCATTTTGCTGTCCTTTTTCTCTACGCATCTACGCAACACACCATTCATCATCACTAACCCGCAACATAGCATCATTCAATCATCGACGTAGGACACTGTCTGTACATAGTCATGACCACAATCACATACAAGTACTTCTCGTAGCGCCCAAGGGTCGATGTTCTTTTGGGTTATTTCGCCGCCACATCTTGCATGTGGCAGCGTCACTGCCAATGGTCTTACGAACTTAACTCCCACGCATTCTACAGAACACGAATTTATCCGATTTTCTCCTGTCCCACTCTTGTACGACGTTTTGTTCTTACTAACTACACCATCGTCCAACTATCCTTGGAGGACAAGTGCGGAATAATGGTTGACCTCAAACAATCTCTGAGCATCGTTGTGATCTACGAGACTTGCGCCGGTCAGATCCACTGCCTAGGGGATAGTCGATGTCGTACCCACTGGCACATACGAGTACTTAACTCGAGTGGGGAGCCACGAGCATTTCTGGTTCGTGTTGTCAACTGGATGTAACACCAGTTATGTTCTCGTTTGCTTTCCCATAATGTAGATTTACAACATCAATTGGGGCTCCCGTGTGCGTATTCGCCTTGTCTATCAAAGTCCTACGTCCACAACCATACATAAGTCCATTGGACATGGATCATGGGCTGTCTCTGAAACCCATGAGAAACTGCATGATCTGGAATGCGGCCTGTAATAGAAGAATGGAAAGGAGTGTTACGCGTCAGCTCTCATATTCGTTCGCAGGAGACGTTAGGTATAAGGTTCAGTCGGGCTTACGATTGGTGAGTATTGCGGGACCCTAGATGACAGAGAACGTATCGGGAAATGGAAGTCGTCAGCATATCTCAGCGTAAACATCAAAATGCGAGGTATGACGGGAAGGGACATCGAGGAAAAGAAAGACGCACATGTGTCCACTGAGAGCGACTTCGTAGTAAGTCAACCCGCGCTCCGTGTGTGTATTACCGAGCGGGACGTCACCGACGATGAAGGAATCGTTGGCGATGGGCGTCTGGAAGCCTTGGAGCCCATTCCCTACGTATCAACAGCACAACAGAAGAGCTCATCAGAATCAAAACCGCCGCGGAGGACAGAAGTGCAGTCAAGAAAAGACGCTCTGGTACGTACAGGTCATGCTGCGAACCAAGATTGTTATTAGGACATAGGTGACCATCCGACAAGGGTCGAGAACCACTTACTTTTGGAGCGCAATCCTGGCTCCATCCGCAATCAAGATAAAGTCTCCCAGACCGTGCACAACTACAGTCCTGTTGCTCTTTTCTATCACATTGGCGAGGACACCATTGACAGCGGGAGGCAACGATGCGTCACCGTTCGGGAAGACGTCCACGTCGCTACACTCGGACCAACTGACGTTCGTTGGGGCATGGATCGCTTCTTTGACATCGGTACGGTCGAAGTAGAGCGGGAGGGTCTGAGCCTGTTCAAAAGAGCCTGGGAAGCCGAGGACGTCCCATAAGATGGGCCACTAAGTCCGAAGCCGTCGTCAACACTATAGGCGCGATTGTGATATGTGTTGTAAGACTCACGGTGTCGAAGATGCGGTAAATGTTGAACGCAGGGTTCACAGTGACCGCCTCGTCAAAGATCATGTCCCAAACGTCACATCCACGGTCGTTTTCGGTAGACGTTCCGGGCAGGGGAAGAGGCCCGTCTGGAGGGAAGGTGACGAATTTGTCAACGTAGCCGGTGTAGTTACATTTTGCGGCAGTGGCATCGAGCTGGGCTGTAAAATTTTGACTATATTCGATATTACCAAGGAATATGTTATTGAGATGGATCGAAATGAGAGCACAGAAATACGGACCTGAAAGAGAAGACATGTTCATATTTGTGCACGAAGTCTACAGCGGGGATCTGACTCTGGACTACGTCCCACCCGATCACAGCTGATGAGCACAATAATGTCAGTCGCAGACACCGTCACTGGGGAAGATGAGGTTCCGCTCACGATCCGAGATCCAGATACCCTGCAGGTTCAGGTCTAGCGCCCCTTCGTTCTCGTAAATATAGTTCGCGATGTCTGTTCTCAGCTATTAGCGACACCGCTACACCAGGACACCATGCCTCCACTCAAATAGTCGATATTCCAATACTCACAAGGAACGTACATTCCAGCATACTGGCCGTAAATTTGATTAATTAACGACGTCAGCTAGACAGAATCAGGAAAGCAACGCACGCTTTCTCCAGAAAGGTAGAAGTTCTTCCCTTTCAGCTCGCTGAACACCTCAAGGAACTGTTGAAAGAACCCTACGAGTTGTTCCGCGACGTCATTCTCATCCTATTAAGAAGCGATCAACGTCGTACATCAATCTTTGTCAAGGAGAAAGAGGTTTCCAGTCAACGGGGACGCACCTGAGCGGTAGGTGTACCCTGACTGAATCCAGTTCCCACGGGTTGCTCGACAAAGAGGATACTCGACAAGTTAGTCCAACTTCGATCGTTTATGGTCGGTTTAGCTGTGCCGGTAGCTTGAGTGAATGGCTAAGAAGTAACATCATATCAGAGACTTTCGACTCTGCCGAAATATGACCGAGGACGTACCCCGTTCTCCTGGAAAGATCCCTCGAGAGACGAACATCCTGGACCTCCGTTAGTCCTACCGTGGACTCATGTCAGTACGTATGAATCATTGTTGCGGATTACACAGGATATAACGCGCACCAAAAGATCAAGTCATCCAAACTTCCCTCTGGACCAGGAGGGAAAAACCAGAAGAACAACTAGATGGGATGAATCGACCATTTGCCCCAAGCTCCTACTATGAACATACTTGAGTATACGTACCTGTCTTGTCTCGTCCGTCGCATTACTTATCGGTATTAAACCAGCCCACGAGTCCCCGACATCAAAGTCAACAAGTGGGATCGAGCTTCCGTTAACCCAGAACTCTATACCGAGCAAATGACAAGACAACGCCCTTATTAACCTCAGTTAGACGGCGAATTGGTGTCGCGGCGTACCTGAAGCCTTCGGATTCGAGAATGTTATGTTCTTGATGTTCGCTCCGGGTGCCCTCTTCTCGAACTCGGTAGTACGCCTCAAAGCCTTCGCCTGCTTTTCGAACGCTGCGGCATGTTTCGCCTTCAGAGCGGCCGGAGATGTGTCCCTCGCATTCGTTAAAGTGGTCACAAAAGCAAGAACACCCAAGCAAAGTCCAAGCATGACGTTCGGCGCCATCGTCGCTGTACGCGAAGACGAGATATTGAGAACTTGAAGAGTCCACAGGGGAACAAGGTCACCAGCGCCAGCACATTGACCGTGGAAGTAGCGAGAAGCTCTTTATGGTACGTGGCTACCATCGACGTCGTGCTTCTTTGTCGGCAGCGGAGGAAGTCACTCCGGCGAAGGCGTATGCGCTCAGAAGCGACCAGGTGTATCTGAACGCTTCGGTACCCCTGTTCGCACAATACCCATACGAAACGCGTTGATATTCAGGATGAGAGCAAGAGTGCCTGGGAAGAGGACGACGGACCTTGAACGGAGTAAGTATATAAAGGACAGAAACCATGTGCTCGAAAGGTGAAGAGGGGCTATCGATCTGCATCTATTTGTCTCCTGACGGAATAACGGGTTATAGGGAGCAATTGCTGTGGCTTACTGATCAGAGCGCCGAGTCTGGCAGTGAGTCGAAAAGATGAGTGCGCCGGAATGTTCTAGGAGAGCTGAAAGGTCAGCCTGAGGAAAATTGATCATTTGCTCTCTTGAAGCTTGGAGAGGTTTGGAGTACCGATACAGTGATCCACCGGTCCTTTGGGCACCACTACTCCTTTGGGCAGTGTTGCTCATGCCATGGGCCTTTATTCAGCCTACAAAAAATATAATAAAATCCAGAATCAAATCTGGAAGCATCGAAAGCTCCCAAAACATGTATTATCTGCAGAGTTACATGCATGCGAAATAAGAGGACGAGCCATTGCGAAGGGGTCTTTTCGGCATTCTCCGTTTTGGGCACGCCGGTCCTTTGGGCACCCTTTTTTACACCCTGCAGGTGGAAGAAATTGTTGTCGTCGTCCAGGTCAATAACAAAATATACTCTTAGGTTCATTTAGAGTGATATGAATGAGGAGGAAACGGCTGAAAATGCTGTCTCGCGCGAGGTGGAGGACATTGCATTTTGCTGCCCAAAGGACCGGTGCATCACTGTACTACCGATACTATGATGTTGAGGTGATTGAGTGCACAACTCAAGGTGACCACTGAGGACTGGCAATCGCACCGTCAGTATTAGTAGAAGGATCTTGGAGGTCCATCCATTTTGCATCCATCGCACGTTCCAACATCCCCGAAACAAACAAATGCAAACATCGTACATTGGTTGTGGCACCACTGACCCTGCGATGTGTGGCGTTGTTCTACCAACCTTCAGCCACTCGACTTCCATGTACACCTCTAAAAATTCTAGAACTCAAAGGATATGAGCAGACAATTCGAATCGCATACGATGACTACAGAAAATCGTATGAGACATGATCGAAAATGGTAGGCATAAATCAATGGCCATGAAATTGGGATGGTGCAGGAATTCTCCATCACACAACCAAGCCCAAAGACACACTCTGATCAATCGACTCCTTTCATGCGCTCGTAGCTAGAAAAGCAAGAGGTGAATACGGCTGTGAAAAAAATATGGGAACGTGAGCTCTTACATCTGGGTGAGCATCTTCGTGATCTGTTGGAGCGGAATCAATGTCTTGAAAAAAGGGAATCCGTGGGGAGGTATGGTCTCGACAACTTACCTCTTCAGATAGAACGTGCCATTCCTCTCCCCATCTCCCATTTTTGTCGCTGTGATACCTTTGTATGATTTTGAGCATCATCTTCTTGGTCAGTTCTTCCGGTTTATCTGTGTCCTTAGGAGCATCGGGTGACCCTATAGAAAATGGATAGCTCTTGAGCAAAAGCTTGAAGCTCGCGAACCTCGAATTCAGGGGAATGAAAACTCGCCTGGAGTCTTAGGAGGCCACCTAACCCAGATCCAGTCCACGAACTCACGATGTTCCATAGTGCGAGCATTGGTCTCGAGTTGGTTGATCTCCTTCTCCAACTTGTCGAGCACAGGCTTACGTTTGTCGGCCCACTCCTTTGCCTCCTTGGAATGCAAGGAATCACGATAGGTCTGGACAGCTTTGATTGCAGTGGAATACCACTCTCCCTTTGGGAGGTTAGGAGAGAGCGAGGCCCCGAGCTGAACAGCGCGGAGATAGAGCTCGTGTGCGCTAGGGGATGCGGAAACATTAACGAAAATTTACCAGAAAACCACAAAGTAAACATAACTACGTACGTTGAGGGTACCAACGTCACGCGCTCATGAAAGCGTGCAAGACGGCCTAGCGACATTCCTTCGAGCTCAATATCTCTGGTAGCACTAAGTCTATATGCCACTCTGATGGCACAACGAAGAAAATGAGCTCGTCAGTCAATACACACATCGGGATTGGCTGCTTACCGATAATCGTCTTGCGCAAGCTGTGCCCAACCAAGGAGCTCCTCCGGTGCAACACGCAGACTCGTCTCGAACAAATCATCCCCAGTCTTCACCGCCTGATGCCCGCGGCATTGAGCCAACAGAAGGTCGTAGTCCGCGCGTAAGAACATTCCCCGTGTGGCACCACCATGTTCCATATATCCCTTGTTCCCCACATGGTACTCCAGCTCTAAAGCGCTGTTCAGCGCCGCGTCTTCGCTTTGCAGGAGATTGAGGGCGCGGGCCCATGCGCCAGATTCGTACATCCGAGTAGCATCGGTGTATTTAGATTCTGCAAGTGTTAGGATCGCATTGAGGCGGACATGGTCAAAACCGTCCTGTATGACAGTATCTCGGACATTGGTTGGTGTGAACGAGGGGAGTGAGAGCTTGTGAAGTAGTACAAGGCCCGTCGGCGTGGTCGTCAGAGTCGGAACGAGGTCGTCAACAATCGACGTGAAAGACAATGCTTGCGCAGGAGATGTGCTGAGTATAGAAATGGCGTGGTCGATGGTCGTCCGAATATCAAGGACATCCGGCGTCGTAAGGCGGGATTGCTCCGTAAAGAAAGCCAATTTTTGGTACTAACGCCGAAGAGACCGTTGAGTGAATTGATTGGCAAAAGGCAACCCTGGCAAACGTGAGGATGATGATATATGCATGACTTGCCATAGCGGTGATAAGGCTTTCATTGCACTTCCGTAGCAAAACATCGTTGCCAACTGACCGTCCTTGAGCTTCGTACAGCCGCGAGATAGCTAGGCTGATCCTTATGCCTCGAAGAGAGCGGCCTGCACCGACGGCTTTCGCACTATCCAAAGCCTTTTGAGCTTGCGACAGTAAATCGGCAGCGGAGGACATAGTAACGTGGGCGGAAATGTGGTGGGGGAAGAGGGCTCAGGCTCAGGGGGAGGCTATATAGAGTCGTAATTATGGTGGCGCAACAGTAGCACCTGACATCATTCACACTCGTGAGAGTATGAAGACGAAGAAGAGAGAGACGCCCGGCAAAGAATGATGGTCTACTATGTAGGGAATTGGTGAAGACGGTGAGACAGAGGTCAACGTGTTCTGCGACCATATACCCAAGAACAGGAACTATACGTCCGACGCCGTTTGGCACTATGAATAACATGACCATCAGAATATTGAGACCATATGCACATATAAAAGCGGTCTGCGCTGCTAAGTATTGTACTTACCTCCCTCCATACACGTGGTTCAAAAGCAGAACTTCCACAGACCGCTTGAGGGTGTTTCCCCCAGACCAGCACAATGTAACATCCGTACCACAAAGGAGTGCAGATCCACTGGAAACATCAAATATTATTAGCCTTAGGCCGAACATAAGTTGCAAGAGGCAATACACCGAATGTAAGTTAGAAACCGGCACCGAATACCATCTTCAACACGTGTATCACTTCGACTTCGACTTCTTCAACTCTGCTCCCGATACCTCGCTATCGCCTTCAGCCCTCTGCCTCTTCCCAATGCTCAGTGCCAGGACGCCACCGCCACCGCCACTCCTTGAAGGACTCGCCGGCGCAAGCGGGAACCGTTTGCTAACCGTCATAAACTCATTATCCGCAAACGGAGAGTCGTCGACTCCGGAAGCTCCAGTGCCCAGACCGAGAGATCCATAGCCTCTGCTAGACACGCGACTGAAAGGAGCCTTGGGAGTGCTCGGTGCGTCTTCTGCGGTCGCTGCGTTGGTGGGTGTTGAGGGACTATCAAAGGGAGCGTGGGCTGTAGGCTTTTCAGGTGTGGTGGGATCGGGTTGAGAAGGCATGGATCTGAGGAGAGAGCGGTAGCCTGCTTGGATGAGGCCAAAGTAGCTGGATTGCGAAAGGGTGAAAATTTAGTGGCGGAACGCGTGAACATGGTGGCGAGAGAACGAACCGGATGTCTTTGGTGTAGACACGGAGAAGAACCTCTCCAAACACTTCGGGCATGAGGTGGGACACTTCGTGGAAGCTTGCATGCATACAAACTGTACAGTTTTGTGAAAATTTCGCTAAGCTATCGAAACAGTTACAAAGATCCAATGTGACTCACTATCGGGCGTCTTCTTGTGATAAAATTTGACGAAACTCAAAGGATTTTTGTCCTGCATGCCATAGTGCATCTTCGACAACGTAACGACAATATGATCCGCTGTGATGGCCTTCACGAACTCCGCGTCGATAACATCATCCTCACTACGCGGCACCTCGTCGATCTCGCCGTTTTCCTTCACAGGGGTGGTAGAGGCAATGATCTCGGGGTCGCTGAGCTTGCGAACAGCATCGGCAATGTTCTCCGCCGTTATTCGCACCCTCACAGTGTCGTAGAAGGCCCATTGAAAGACTTTGTAGTCGACACACTGGTAGAGTTTGCGTTCGCGGATACGGTCAAAAATCTTCTTAGCTGGCGCAAGTCTCTAGATGGTGAGATAGAATTTAGGTGTCTGCATGGTTCCAAAACGTTTCGAGTGGAACGTACTTCGTCTTCCGAGGCCTCAATGGTAGTCGCAATGTGATCAGTGAGGTAAAGGTACCTTGACGGAACCTCGATCTGTTTTGCGATGGAGAGATACGGTTCGGCAGCAAGGATGGCGTCTACGATCATGTACTCTATCGCCTTGGCTGATAGGATGTAGTGAGCATGTGACGTTGAGGTAAGAAAGAAAGAAAAGTGTGCGGGAGGTATTACTGACCGGTTTTATGATTGTAGATACGCTTGTGGAACGAAAAGCGTGTCCAACAGAGTTCGTAGATCTGGTTGGAATCCTTAATATCGTAGCAAATCTGGTTTTCAATCACTCGTGCTGATGTGATGAGCCTGTCAAGCAAAGTAAGTTCGGAGGTTTTGGATGGCAAAAAGAAGGTATGAGCTCACCGGCTGAGGGATAGGTTGCCACGCTCTCCTACCGCGATGCTATCTCGCTGAATGTAATCAAATCTACAACACATATTAGTGTTAAATGAATTCGGGAGAGATAAGAAGCATACTTGTCGACGTCTAGTCCGTTGCGCTTGTTCGCCACAATTTCGAAGAGGAAGCCCTTCTCATCTCTGTGGAACCACTGGTCAACAAACAATTTGAATACACAGTTGATTAGGGCAACGTACGGGCATCTCTTTTTGGCGCCAGCGATCAGAGCCTTGATAAACGTGGCGTCTTCTGGTGGAATCCCGAGATCGGGGTATTGCTTGATCATATCGTCGAGCATCATCTCTGAAGCGTCTTCATGGCACCATTTCTTGCCTTTCCTGCCGTAGAATATGATTTATGACAAAGATCCTTAGTTAAATGTAAGGAAGTGATACTTACAGTGCTACGGGGATGAAAAGACTATCCCAAACGTGGCTCCAGGGACCGTGTCCTAAATCGTGGCACAGGCCGGCGAGGATAACACACCGGACATCGCGTTCGGTGATCCCAAGCTCTGGTTGTGCTCGTTGAAGGTGTGTAACCATCAGGGTGGCCAAATGTGCTACACCTGAACGTGTGTCAAACGGTTTAGCACCGTGGAAAAATGAAGGCAGAGTGTTGCGCGACGCACCCAAACAGTGCTCAAAGCGATTATGCGATGCTCCGGGCCAGACATAGTACGAGGTACCGAGCTGCTTGATATCTCGAAGGCGTTGAAAGTGCTTTCTGTGCGACTTGCGTCAGAACAAAGACTGTAGGGATGAACATATTTGAAAGACATACGTGTCCACAACCTTGCAAATATCAGATGAAAGGGGAACTGTGTGTAAAAACCGCTTTGTGTCAGACCTTCAATATCCTAACCATTGAGTAGATGTCGCACATGCGCCAAATAGCCCCGTTCAGCCATACAAAGACAGTGACTGGTACTCGTGGCCCAGTGTGGCGTACGTGCGGCCGTCCGTGGGTTTCATTCATCGATGGTCACTGACGCCGACAGAGTATAGAAGGCAACCAAGAATCGCACTATAGGAGCTCACTGTAGTCATGAATTGGGTCCTTGAACTGCCTCATCGTCACGGTCTCCTGCGAGGAAAATGCCGCCATCCTGCCTGAAGACTTGGTGTATACTTTTCGCAAACGGTAGCCTTGGATTTGAATGAAAATTCTATAAAAACAGAGCATCCAGCTCAATAAATTAGTCTTGCGGCAAATCAAGTCAACATACCTAAGGGCCGGGCTCCAGCAAACGGTCAGGACGAAAGTGGTATTGGACAAAGTCGCAGACGCGACGGCGTGATGGGAAGGGCTAGGAAAGGACAAAATCTCCCACGGTCAGCCTCCACCAATCCCCCGCTTATTATTTCCAAACTTGCTCTTGACCGTCACCTCCGTCGTAGTCTCCCGTTTGTTTATTCTCCGTTGATGTAAGTCTGTTGGTTCATCGAGAATCTATTGCTCTACACAATTTGCATACGGAGCTTCGTTCTCTTTGTTTCTTTGTCCTTGGTAGCAAACGGCGCCCACCACTCCCTATACTACCTGTCTTTCGTTCATTCGATCCTGCAGACCCGCATGTTATTGTAACGGCGGATATAGTGACAAATCTATACCGACTTCTACGCTTAGGTTCTTTCGCTAAGTTGGCTGGCTGGTCAGATGAGACGCTCGTTCTCTGGTCTGCCGATGAGTTCCGAATACCCAAGGAGATGTTGAGTGATCCATATATATGTTATTTCGGGATCTGGCTTTTCTCCAATACCCTTCCCTTTTTTATACACATTTTGCTGCATATTAATCCCTGAGTCTTTCAGACAGCGATCATGCAGGAAGACTCCACCGCGAGCCGAAGCTTCCATGATCCTGTTCACGACTACAGTACGTTGACATGCCTATCTTTTGCATCTGCTATTTTCTTCGTCCGGATGCTGACCTGCATAAAGTACCATTATCCTCCAAAGTCTGCAAGGTGGTAGACACGTATGCTTTCATATCCTTCATCTGCGAGTCAATCTGACGTGCTCTCCGAGTCACAGTGTCCATTTTCAGCGCCTGCGGAGCATCAAGCAGAACGGTGTGCTCTATTTCGTTTGGTTAGGCGCTTGCCATAATCGATTCGAACACTCTCTCGGTACTTGCACCGTACTTCCCTATTTTACTTGGTACATGGGCTGTCGCCTTGCTTACCCCTTCGACTTCGTTCGTAGGTGTGGCCCACCTTGCTCGTCGTACGGTAGAGCACCTACAAAAGCTGCAGCCAGAACTAGGGATTACGGACAGAGATGTATACTGCATCGAGCTTGCTGGCTTGTGTCATGATCTAGGGCATGGACCTTGGAGCCATCTTTGGGATGGATCGTTCATCCCGCTTGCTATGTAAGTCATCGCATGCAGATTCGTCCTGGATTAGGGATTACTTCATAATAGTGCATGAATTTAGAAAGGATAAGCGATGGGCCCATGAGGATGCCTCCGAGATGATGTTCGATGACATGCGCCGGCAGTACAAGGACACGCTGGACATCTCGGACGATGATGCAGAGTACATCAAAGCTTTAATCAGAGGTGAACCGAAGAAATATAAGTACGCCTCTGCTCCCGTACTCTCCGTTGCGTATCTGTGTAGACGGCTTATCTGTTCACTCCAGGAATACCAATGGGAAAGAATACTTGTTCGAGATTGTGGCGAACAAACGCAATGGGATCGATGTTGACAAGTGCGCACTACAGTCTTCGCCTCGGAAACTGAGTGCTTCAGGAACTAATTGCAACGCTGCCTGCTACCCCACAGATTTGACTACATTATGCGCGATACAAGAGCCGTAGGCGAGCGTGGCAATCTTACCATGTTACGGTTGGTGACCACCTCTCCGTCGTCGTCCTATAGTCTTTTGGACTCATTTCGCCTATCACCTCAATTACGAACCCCGATAGGCTCCTTACATCCGCTCGAGTCATCGACAATCAGATTTGTTACGACGTCAAAGACGCGAATCAGCTTTATGAGCTGTGCTACATGCGGTTCAGCTTACACAAGCGCATATACAACCACAAGACCTGTGAGCTTGTTCCCCCCTTTCAGGATCAACCTCTGACAAAAGGAATTGCTCGTTTGTTGCATGGGCGGAACGATAGCAAATGCCATAGAGTACATGATCATTGATGCTCTGCTGAAGGCAGAGAAACATCTCAAGATCGCTGAACGAATCGAGGATCCACAGAAGTATCTTTACCTTACGGACAACATCATGGAGTTCATTGAACAATCGAGCGATCCGGTTCGTTACGTTTCGTATTCCCGGGGTTGCTCGCTCGACCCATCGCACTACTAATATTAGTTCTAGGAACTGACCGAGTCGCGCCGCATCTTCAGACGCGTCCGTGAGCGCGATCTCTATAAATGCGTTGACTATAAAGTCTTCGACTGGGATCTTCATGCGACCCTCAAAGCTAGTATCAATCCCGCCAATATCGTTGCCGAAATCAAGAAGATGCCCATGGAATCCTTAATGAGTACACTGCCAGAAGGAGGGGTGGGATTAAGACTGGATGCCCGGGAGATCGACGAGCCGCCGTCATCTACTGGAAGCGCTGCTTTTAGCACAGCAAAGGATGGAGACACTATGGCGGAAGATACAAACCGTAGAAGTGCAGAGGGGTTAGTAGGTGACGCGCTGCGAAAAGTTGTAGAAGAGATAAAGCCGGAGAACATACACGTCACTCTGTCGAAGTTGCACTATGGAATGGGGGACAAGAATCCATTAGACTTTATCAGATTCTACACCAAACAGAGGCCAAACGGTACTACGCTTCTATCACATTTTTACTATGGCTGACAAACTATTATAGAATGTCTACCGTTGAATGAGGGAGTGGCGTCAGGGCTGACTCCTTCGAAGTTTGGAGAGGTTCTCGTTCGAATCTACACGACGGATATTCAGTACGTATTCTGTCCCGATTAGACGATCGACATAGCTTAAGTCACTGACTATCTCGACAATCGAAAACAGCTACTTCGGAATCACACAAGCAGGCTTCCGTTCCCTAGCGCACAAAGTCCTCGACACAGACACCGCCCCGGTCGGCACTACGACCGCTCCAGCCACCATTATTGTTCCAGCTCCAGCTGCGTCCTCTGTACAACTTCCAGTAACACCGCCTACGCATCCTCGTCCTCTGCCAGGGCCAGGCAGCTCGGGCACTATGAGCGGCGGAAATTCTCCCAGTCACTTCCAACCGAACAAGTTCACGACGGTGCCTCCGTCCTGGGGAGCAACTATGTCACCCTCGAGGATTGCTGGGAAACGGACGAGAGAGAAAGACGTCGAGACTCTACCAATGCTCGGAGGTTTGGCGGGCGAACGGCAAGCCAAGAAGGGGAAAACTGAGTCTCAGGTTGATATCTCGTAAACAAAAGTACTGTCTCCGTAGTTCCTTCAGGCAACGAGATCGGGTGACAGGCTGGACCGTTTCAGTCCGCATGCGCAATGGCATTGCCAGACGCATTTCTCGAACAGACCTCGGTAGAAAAGAGAAAAGAGGATTAGGAGGGGGAGTGTTCGGACACCCCTTGAGACGTGTTGTTGGTCTTGAGTTTCTGGACCTATGCTAGTGCGGTCAGATCTTATTCAAATAATGGTCGATACTTGGAGAACAAAGCGGACAAGTGATAGCAGATGTACAGCAACTTTTTCAACAAGCATACATACACCCCTTCGGAAAACAAACAAATATTTTTACAGGACCGTTCCAGAACTCGAGTCTATGAAATAGTGTGTCGAGCATCGGGTAGAAATGATATCAATAGTGACGGAAATGTGCTGTGACTATTCCGGCTTGGATATAAATACTGAACGTAGGATGGCGTAAGCACTACTCGTTGTTTCCGAGAGCATTCGTTAGCGATGGATCGTAGACCTGAACGTGTGGATTTCCTGTGCGGAAAAGAGCCTTAGAACACCGACCAACTAGAAGATCAATAATAAGGTAAGGACGCACCTCCCGGCTGAGGCATCGGCGTGTGCGTCTGCGTCGGCACCTCTCCATTTTGCGCTGAAGAGTTCCAGCGAGAAAGATCAGCGCTATCCCTCGACTGCGACTGCAGTTCAACGCGGGGAGGAACAGCCGTACCTCCCGCGCTGCCGCCATTCATCACCACCCCCGACGTCCGGCCGTCGTGCTCGGATGGCGGTGGCCCCAAGGATCCCATGACCGCCTCTTCCTCTTGTTGTCCTCCCTCGTCTCGTCTCTGGCCCATCATGTGCGAACTATGGAGACGGTTGTGACTGTGATTTCGATTGTGGTTGTGACCGTGGTTGTGCGGGACCATCATTCCTCCTTGCATATGGACCATGTCTTCCGTTGACTGCCCGAGTGGAAGCCCCACAGAGATGACCATGCCAACACCAGGTCCTACAACTCCATGGCCATTCGTCAACATTCCCGTTGAAGCAGACTGTCCACTCGTCCCCGCACTGGACGATCCATCCACGCCACCATTCTCGCCGCCACCTTGCAATCCACTCGCCCTCCCCTCAACCTTCCGCACGAACTCGCCCCAAACAGCCCTCTCGTCCCTTCCCAGTCCTTCGAAATAAGCTCTAACCTCCTCGCCCGCACGTCTCCAAACGCCTCGGTGCCGGCAAACCGTGCTTTTAACATATCGACAGCCAAAGACGCGCTCAAAGGCGACGCGTTGAGTAAGAGTAGGCATAGAGCCGACGAGAGAGTCCATCTGTTTGAACCCGATTGAGATCTCGGAGACGGTATAGTCATTCGGCCAGCGTTTCAGTGGTGGGTGAGGGTGGTAAGGGATCGGAGCGGGTGCGGGGAGAGGATTTCGGATGTGGTCTGGGAGTTCGGCGGTTTGGGGTTGTTGTTGGTCTGGTTGCTCGTGTTGGGATTGTTCGTGAGCTTGGTGTTGTTGGTGTTGTGGCTGCTGTTGATGTTGCTGGGGCTGTTGGTGGTGATGTTGCGGAGAGGTTTGGCCGGATTGAGGATGAGTTTGGTGTGGCGAGATGTTGATGTTAGGTTGGTTGGCGCCGGCGGAAGAGGTGTTCGGCATGGGAGCCTGGGGTGGTACGGGGTACATCCCGCCTTGTTGAAAGACGTATGTTCCTTGTTTCAGCGGAGTGGACTGCTGCTGGTGGTGCTGCGATTGCTGACTGTTGTTTGACGGAGAAGACATAGTCGAGCCGTTCTGTGGCACTCCATTAGACGCCTGGATCGGGCTCGAATGGGGCTGCTGTGGTGTCGACAGCGGCTGCGGATAGTTTTGCGCCATTGGAACGGCATATTGTTGTTGTTGCTGCTGGGGTTGTGTCCCTGCATGTCCAGATCGATATTCACCAACGAAATACTTCTGCGCTGGACCTGTCGAATCATCCGCCGAATCTGGAGCCGACCTCTTCAATCCGTTCGTCCCACCGTTATGACGGCTACTTCCATGCGGGCTTCCACTACTACCGTTGGCCGGTCTGTGTGGATGTCTCCGGGCCACGGGCGGGGGCTGCATCGCGACCTCATCGTCGATGTCGGGGCATTCCTCCTCGCTGAGTCCTTCGAGGAGACTTCGTCGAAGGCGGTAAAGGATACGTTCCTCGGATTGGACGTAGCGAACGGTATCAATCATGTGCTGTTCCCATTGGCCAGTAGCGGCGTTGTAGGCGTCTACCCAGGAATTTTGTGAAAGGGAGAGGGAGGAGAGGAGGGATGGGAAGCATGAGAGCTGGAGGAAAGGAAAGCTTGATAGTGGGTGAAGGAGGCGGAGAGGTGTGGTATGGGCCTGGATGCATGAGTTTAGACCGTTAGCAAGCACGTCCGGAGGTAGAGGCATGAAACAGACAGGCGATGGTTTTTTCTCGCCCACCGTACAGGGTTTCAAGTATTACAGATAGGGCACTAGGCATGGACATCATTTTTACAACACGCAGAACGTGAAGTGTGATTGAAATCTGCTAATTTCCTGAATTGCCACACGCGGTGGCGTTCATAGGAAACTTGTAGACGATATCGTCGACCCAATGCGCGAGACAAGAAATAGAGATCGTTGTGCTTAGGCATGTTATATTCGAAGATGACGATAGATTCGATATGAGAGGCAACCGATTGAAGGTCTACCCAGAAAGCATAAATAAAAACAGTTAAACGTGTAAGGTGACGTGGCGCTTTCCGTTCTATCGCCATCAGGACAATTTCAAAAGACAAGGGGAATGATAGATGTGAAAGAGACCCATTGGTTTTGCGCTGAGCAGTTGGGACAGACGGATGAGTGAACACCCATTAGGAAAGCTCAAAAGGTGATCTCGCTTTGCTGATCGATGAACTTGCATTCATCACACGCAGCAATGGATGCATGTCGAGTGAGCAGTACGGTACACATCAACTGATCGCTAACAAAGAGACGATTGTGTTTGCAAATGTGTAACAAGCCACACTGTTGTAGCTGAAAGCAACCGCACAATACCGCAGAGTCTCGGACCCGAGTCGCAGAGAAATAAGCGAAGCCCAAGGGGAGCTCACCTTGTACCATATGACGATCATAACAGAGCGCTTGAACAGTTCCTCAGACTGCTGAGGATTCTCGTTCGGATATAAAGGTATGTTGGAACCGTTTGAAAGACCGTCATGGTGTTGTAATGAGTGCATGGGACCACTCGCTCCATGAGTCTGGGACATCGTCTGCGCCATCGCGGCCTGCGGCCTCCAAGGAGCAAAATGATTTTATTGCAGCCATCGATGGGACGATCCATGCCGAAGCAGCCAAAGTGGAAGGAGAATGGAGGGGGAGAAGGAACGAAAGCCAAGTTGACGGGTGAGTACGGCGGAGACCTACTGCTCAGGATGGGCGGACTCACCTGGTGTTGGTGGACTTGACCGTGAGGCGGGCTGATGGACGATGGACTTTGGTCAAAGAGCCTCGAGGCAAGAGGCGCGGACCGGGACCGTCCGGTACCGTGCGGCGACTTCCGCCGGCCCCGAGCTTCATTTGCGCCTCCTTCGGCACGAACCGGCCAGCCCAAAGGTCAACGACGAACTTCACCGTTGGCCCACCCTTCAAGATAGACGTTCATTTTCAGGTCTTTTTGCTCGAGAGATAATTGCCACCGACTTGTTTCACTCACTCTAGGTTGAACGATGTGCACACGATGTGGCTCTTTACTACTCGTTATAGCAACGCCATATGTGACTAGTGCCACACATGTTTCCCATGAGGATTCAATAATCGAGGCGACCGACCAGGTTTGAGGGCTTTATGGGCTATTCTCGCTATGGCGGTGTTAATTTCCAAATTTTATACTCTACTTTGCGCTGCTCTCTTGACAATGTCTCTGACCATCAGCTCTCAATACTCAAGGGACCGGATGCCCCTCAAGAGTTCACCGTGATGTATGTGCGTAAACTCTATACCAAACAAATAACGACCCTCATCGTTTGGTAGCCTCCCTGGATCCACGAAAACTCGCTTCTGGAACCTAGGCTCATGAGAAGGCTAAAACTTCTCTCGACCGGTGCTGTGTTGCTGGTCGGCTACCGATGCGCCACCTATCCACTGAACACCACGTCATTCTTCCTACATGCCGTGGAACAGGCTTTCCACTGGCTCTTCGCCTTCGGTCAACACACAATTCCCCGTCTTTTTTGCCTCACATTCCCTCTTCACAGACTCTTCACTAGCTTCTTACCCTCCTGGGCTACCCACTCGACACCCTATCACCGATATCCCTCCCCTCGAGCCGAACAAAAATACTGGGATTCTGCCCTTCGATGGCGCAAAACACTATACGCCTCAGATGCGCGCATGCATCATAGCACATCCAGAAGCTCTGTCTCGGAGTCAACTATCCCTCTTCCAGGATACTTTGTCCCGCGACTGCTCCCTTCGTATCGCGAATCGCGAGAGATTGACCCGGAGTCGAGGGAGTATGAGCTGAGAGTTAAGGATTACATGAAGTGGAGGGGAATGGTATATCCAGAAAAGGTTCGTATATTCACAGTTGGAATTGTTCGGGAACATCTCCTATGTGGCCTTCTGATACTGATATCGAATACAGCGAGTCCCGTCACTTCGCCATGCACACAAGATGATAAAACAATACAGTACACGTGATCGGAGAGAAATATATAGGATTTCGAGAATGGTCTCGGACGAGGAGATCTGGGGTAACCCGTTTATCTCGACGTTTAGGTATAGAGATATTTGGGAGGAGTATTTGGAGAGGAAGGGACCGGATGTGGCGATTGTCTTCTCGTGACGTGGATGCTCTGCATGTAATGGTAGGTCTTAAATAGCCTACGTTTGAGGATGATGTGTTTCGTATAATAGACAGTTTCAGACCCAGATCGTTTTACCCTGTATTGAGCCATAGATTCCCTGTAGTACGAGGCTCGTAGTCATCTTCGTGTCTTTACAACACTCTGATACCAATAAATAGGCCAGAACGCGAGTACGTATGGTAGATATAAACAGTATACGCAGTCCTGATATTATACTCATTGTACAAAATGATAGAACCAAAAGAGCAGGCTCGACTCGAAAGTGGGAACAATCAACTTCGATAGAATAAGTGCATCAAGAATTGAAAGAGTGTGATTTAGGCGTCACTGTTCTGTTGGTGATAGAGCCCCAAGGAGACAAGGAGAAGTTCGAATAAATAAGAAGAAAATACGGAAGGAGAGGTGGTAGTATGATTAACAATAAGTAAGTTGACCGTTACGAATCAAGGAATGAGTGAAGAAGTCGGCACAGCGATGGTGCTGATGACAGAAACGGCAGCGGGGGTAGGTCCCGGAGTGGTCGAGTTGAAGATGGGGCAAAGATCCTTCCAAGCAGCTGCATATACACCCGACACACGTCAGAAGTATGGTATGTGGGGATGGGGAAGAGACGCACCAGGCGTAGGATCGACCAGTGGCACATCTTGCACGTCTTCAGCGAATACCGCAGCAAAACCAGCTACAAACGAACAGTCCTAAGTTCAAATCCAACGCCTCTAAGGGAAGAGAACCGGAAAGTAAGCACGTACCGTTCAGATGCCAGTCAATGTGGCAATGTAAAAACCAAGGTCCAGGGTTGTCTGTAAAGAACCTGATGGTGACCTGATCGTTTACCGTCGTTCCGATGTTGACGACGTCACGCTTAACGGGATTGTCCCAGTTGTAGGAAGAATTCCCGGCACTGCGAACAACAGAGAAGGTGTGCTATTTTTGGGGTGGGGTTGGGTATAAGTGAGTAATAACACGCAAAAAATAATGGGCGTCCGCATTAGGGTCCATAATATGTAAGATTGACACGTACCCCATGGAGATGGACGGGATGCTATACGAGGCACAAAGCACGGATATCAAAGCCAGAAATAATACGTGTCAGGGCGCATGGACAATAATAAATGAGAGCGAATGGGCGTACACCACCGCCGACAGCGCCACCCGGTATCACGAGTTCAACGGACTTGTTGGGCGCCAGAGAGTAGATACTTCCGGCCGGAAGAAGGTCTTGTGCGCGCTGTGCTCCGCTCAAGATTTGAAGGAGAACAGGCACTGTGGGAGGTACGAAGGGCACGCCGTTGACGTCGAATTGACCGTGAGCTCCGTCCTGCAAAAGTTCGTGCGTCAGTAAACGAATGGATCTCGCTCAATGGTATGAAGAGGAATGGCGGAACTGTGGAAGGATTCGTACGGAAGAAAACGTACGAAGGTGACGTTGAGGTTATAGTTGATGTCTGCGCCTCCGGGAGTGTGTGCACCGGGCTGTAGTGGGGGAACAACGTGAGCAATTTAATCTCATCTCCGCTACGAATGAAACGGGTCACTGACAGCAGATGGATTCTCGAGCGCCTGGATGACGACAAAGCTCCGTTAGTACGAGGGCCTCTCAAATGGATAGGTAAAACGACATACGTGGAGGTTGGTCTCAACCATGGGAAGGACGGTCGCAGTTTGATTGGTGGTAGGATCCCGGAGAGGAGCACCGATATACCTCAGGACAGCTGAATTGATCCCACCGCTTGTGGTCGCATTGACTTCCTGCAAGATCGAGAACGGTTTAGGGGGGTTGGTAATTGTTATGAAATATCAGCAAAGGACATGCATTGGGAAGTGCGCGCATCCAGTAGTTGTTGATCTTCTGGTTTGCGTGGAGCTATATATATTGATCGATGTGTGAGTGACATAACACAGGGAGAAGAATATGGATTGCTTACGATGAAGGAATAGCGTTGACCTGGATAGCGAAGTAGACATGGTGAGGACCACTTGTACGGTGATTTGTAACTGAATTCTCACCCGCATATATCTGAATAGAGTCCACAACAAGAGGTACAACGTTGCTTCCATCCACCTCAATGATAGTCATAGAGTGCTATATAAAAAACTAAGAGTTAGCAAGACCTAGTTGTGAGGTTTTATGGTTGAGACGGACCCCATCAATAGAGAACACAAAGTTTGGATCACACGAGATCGATACAAGGCGGAAGCGGTACCTGTTAATGGTGAGTATAAGCCATCTCATGAAATTAGCGCTGTGGGAGCTAAAGAGTTGCTATATCAGTGGGTGATACAGAAATTGTACGTACCGGAGACCGAAAGCCACATTCACGACCGCGATAGGGCTAGAAGGGCCACCCTTATAGCGTCCCAAGCCGTTAATCAAAGTCGAGTTAGGAGCCCTATTCAGGTTGAAGACAAAGTAGTTCATGCGGCCATTAATCGACGAAAACCAATCGATGTAGAGAATAGATCTCACGGGATAGCAGGAGCATTCAGCGATAAATAATGGTACCTGTGATGGGTGGTTGTCATAGTCAGCTCGTTTCAAAGCTAACTTAATTGGGGGATGATCGCACTAACCAATCCGCGAGAGTTATCACGGTGCTTTCTGCAGAAGAGGGACCATATCAGAATCAGCGGAAAAGAATGAGAAAGAGGCGGCTAAATACCGTTGTCAATATCGTATAGCGAACGGTGGGGGTCCTGGGGGTCGTAGATGACGAAGGCGCCACGTAATCCATCGCAGTATTGATTTCCTAGATGAGAGTGGTACCAGTATGTTCCACTTTGACCGGGTGCCTTCGCCAGAAAACGGGTCAATAGGACCTGTAATGGAAGAATGAGAGAAGGCTCACTTTGAAGTCATACAGGAAGGAGTGTCCAGGAGAGATCGGGCCTAGTACACGAGTGTGCTTAGTACAAAGCAATGTAATGTAGAGCGATTGAAATTACACTGGGTGACGAAGGCTGGACCATCATCGTAGTTTGTGGTGTGCTGAAACAGCCCGTGCCAGTGCTAGAGGAGGTAGAAATGAGGATAACTAAATCATGAAGTAAGCGGAGACATAGACTTACAATCGAAGTCGGAGTGAGCATTCCGTTGGTGTCTGTCAGGTCATCATGGACGTTGAGCTTGAATTCGGCTCCCTACCGGGTCAAGGGTATTAGTGAAAGAATTCTGGAAGTTGAAGACACTCTCATACTTTAAGACCAGTGATAAGTGGTCCAGGGAAGGTACCACCGGCAAGGACAGTGCTAGACAGGGGAATAATTGGTGAGGACAACGACGATGGAGAATCTAATGACATTAACTCACTCCCTAGAGTAGCCGTCGGGTGCGATGACCTTGTTGACAATGTGGAGGTCTGCAACGGGTCCTATAGCAGCGTTGATACCCGCTATAAAATATCCAGATAGAAGGAAGATAGAAGGAAGGTGTGGCATAGTTGAATAATAAAAAGATAGGTCAAGGCGAATGAAAGAAAGCGAACTCGAATCTGCTGGAAATTGCAGACTAACAGGCAGAGGTTTTATACTAGACGCATCGCAGATAGAGAGCCTCAGAACCGCTTTTGCATCTACACGTATGTTCAATTTGGGCAAAGGCATCTCCGCAGGAGTCGGGTCATCGTGGAGAGACGTACATGCCACGGGAAGAGCATCCGTGAACACAATTCATTTCTGGCTATGCGTGAGATCCAGTATTCGAGTTTGCACACCCTAATCGAATGGCTGGTTAGCGAACTAGCCGATATATCAAAAAAGGCTCTCATCGGTAGCCAAGAAAATTGTCTGTTAAGCTGATGAATTCCAGCTCGCGGATCGAAGAGAGAACAAGCCATGATTAGCCTAGACGAAACCAAATGATGGGACACCGTGTCCTGCAGTCTACATCTCTCTGGCTATGTGGCGTCCATTAAAATGATTCGGTACGAATTATGAAATATACCCTCCAGGGACGATCAGTTCTAGAAGCGAGCTTACCTTGGTTTTGAGGGGAGAGAGTAGCAATGGTGTAGGCGGATGGAGAAATCGAAAATGGTGCATCTTCGGCGATGGTAACAACAAGCTAGAGGACTAGGTCAAAATGTAAGTAGACTAGAATATAGCGGTTGTTGGCAGTCGACCCATTGGCGATATCTGTCGGAGGACCACTCGAGACATGAAGCAGTGATTGCAGTTCATGATAGTGCCTGTTCCTTGACTTCAGCGCATCAACGACAGGAACGCTTTGTTACTCTCGATGCGGCAGGGAAATTACTTGTCTTCGCTTTCAATAGCAATGCATACATGAAATGACTAGAGACCTGCGAATCAAAAGCCGGTCAAAACAGCAAGGGCCATCGGCTTGCGGAACCAACGCATCCCCGGGCCAGGTCGGTTGCAGTGAGACGGTGCCGCAATGTAGACTCTAGCCTGAGAGTCTATCGCCATGTAGCCAGCTACGGATTGAGTGACAAGAACACTCTAAAAGCGCAAGCGTGATGTAAGGACACCGTCAAGCCACAACTGATCGCCACCGTACATGTGGAATTTGGTTCCATTTATGAACACGGGCTATTACAAGGAAAGGCTGGAGAAGCAAGCCTAGACACGCTGGTTCAAGAACTCACTGAACCGGCGAACGACATGCCATTCGTAAGTTGCCAGCTCTCTTGCAGGTAATGATGGGTACCTTCGTACCAATGTGTACTATGAAGTGAGTATGAATGTTAGCATATCCAAAGAAATAGCATCCTCGTACTGGCCAACATCAAATTGTCGTTGTCGTCGATGGATGTGGGAAGGATTCAAGTTCACGTGAAGGAGACAAGTCCGGGACGTCCCGGGGACAATTGCAAAACTCCCACGGACACGGATCAGAGAGAATTGCAAATTTCCGCGCCCCTTTCTTCGAGCTTTTCTCCTCGATCTAAGTCGCCATGCACAGTAACAGACTTGTTGTCATTCTCCCATCCGTGAAACTCGAGCAACATGCTAGAATCCCGTATTCCTCAAGAATCGCGTCCACCTTACTCTCACCGTTGCACCGTGACCATCTTAGCTCGGGCACCATATTAACACCGTCGTAGTTGATGCCAGCCACAGGAACCTTGGGGCTCGAATGGGATTTACCTGGAAACCCACGACTGTCGGCATAGCTGTGTTAGGTCTGGGCTCACTTGATAGGGCTCAATGGCAGGCCAAGGAGTAGTTAGTGGCAGCGGATGTCATTGACAGCAAGCATAGTCTCTCCAGGTACACTTCACCGGACTCGCATAGTAGATGGCTCGTTGTACAAACCTCCATGTCGACGGTGAGCATATCTGGAGATTGTTCCGGTCAAATGGGCCATCTTTTGTGCCTAAGAATGATCCCTCTCGGTCTCCACTCCGGAGAGAATGCATAATGCCTGACGCTCACTGTCACACCGGCAGCGAAAATGACCGTCCTGCTTCAGGGACTTTCAGGGAGGACAGCGATCAAAGCGTGACCCTTTTGGAGAATGGATAAAGTGGACGTCTGCACGTGCCTACTCCCGCTCATCATTCGCAAAGTCCTCCGTCATGATCATTATTGAATGGCTGACTTTTGTGCATTGCCAGCAGGGACGATGTCGTGCGAGAAGTGGGGTGTTCTCTCCAATTGCTACAGCATCAGTCAGGTTTTGTGGCACATATCGCCGCCAATTAATCGCTCGCCACATCTTTGGTTGCTCTTGCGGTCTTCACTTTATTCCCGCCATTCTGCCAAGGTAGTATCCCACGAGCAGAGTTGCCAATTGTTCCAATTGGCTGGTGCAAAGGCCTAAGATCACTTGAGAACCACCCTGTCCTCGAAGTTCACTCACGAATCTTGTGTGCGGAATGGGTAGACGAAGGAACACGTCAATCAGAACGAGATTACATTTAACGAGAATATCTGCCCCATGGCTAAGTTGGTCAAAGCGTCCGACTGTTATCTCGGAGATGATCCAGTGCATCGGAAGGTCGTCAGTTCGAGCCTGACTGGGGCAGTCTTTTTGCCAATCTGACGCTTGTTCATTATCACTTTATGCATTCTGGGTTTGCTCAGAGAATTAGATTATGTAGGTACAGCAAGGTAGTACATGAGAGTCAGTCGTCGGTGTGGGCATGCTTTTTGGTTTCTGTGTCGCATGTCACTACTTCTGGATTCAGAGCAGATATTTTATTGGCAGGATGGATCCTAACCTCGTGCTGGTTCAGGGACTCGGAGGGGTGAATGTTTGATTTTGTCGAAAGAGTTTTGTGCTTTGCAGAATGATAATCTTTTTAGTCGAATACTTTTGGAGAGCAGACGGTCGGGTCGGGCGCCATAAATGACAAGGCGGCCCGCGCCACACCCGACTTGCACCCGACTGGAGCATGGAGAAATGAGTTGTCGCGGCACCGAGCTCGACCATCTCCTTCTCCTTCAACTCCCATCTATAAACCAATATTGTCGGCCTGCGAGGGCGCATCCGGTTGTAAATAATCTTGACCTCTGGAGGATAATGTGGGCATCATATTGACGCCACCGATTCTTTCGACTAACGCAATGGGCCTCATTCGCTAGAGGCCCCTTTCCCAATTCATTTTGGTGCACCGACCAGGATAGTAGTGCTGAAGCATGGCTCCTCGACTCAACAAACGCCAGCAACGCGAACAGGAAGAACTCCTCGCCCTCGGAGGTCGAGCAGCATCTCCAGATGCTGAATCATCAGGGGGTGACGATGAGCTTGATCCAGGGGTGGCACTTCCCGAGAAGACGAAGAAGTCACAAGCGGGATTTGCAGCTGTGAGTAGTTCAGTTGTGTCTGTGCGTTCGATGATTGTAGACGGTAAAACTAGCTTATGGCGGCAGACGGACTTGGAGACGAGGATGAAGATGAGGGCGGGCAGGAAGGAGCGGGACAGGTAAAGAGTAAAGCGAAAAAGGTATGTTCGTTTATTTTGTTCTCTCATATTTTCGGACAGAGTGTTATGGATGTTCACTGCCGTATGATTTAATCTAATGACTATATTCTTACTTTGCAGTCGAAAAAGAAGAAGAAGAAAGATACTGGCAACATCACCCCCTCCGTCGCCCCCGCTGCCGCCACTCCAAACCCTGAACCCGAAAGCATCGCATCGCCAGCCTCTCCTGAACCCGCCACGCCGTCTACACCTTCTACATCGAAAGCCGAACGAAAGGCCCTGAAGAAAAAGAAAGCCAAGGAGAAGAAGGATGGAAGGGACGATATTGACAAAGCTCTGGCCGAGCTATCCGTCAAGTTCGTGCTGTATAAAACTCATCGATCCTTGCCTGTCCTAACGTTGTTGTGCGCGAATGTATGGATAGGTATCCCGACCTGAAGGAAGTCTCCACCCGCACCACAGGCCCCTCAGCTCCCGCAACCCAAAAACTGACCCACGAGCTCAATCCCCTCCTCTCTGTCTCGCTCACCCACCTCGACGCTGACGCTGAAATGCGTAAATTCTTCGGTTCCCGCGTTGTTTCCGCCTCCAACCAATCCTCAGAAGGTTCCGGTGCTAACAGAGCGGGTGGAAATGCGCGCAGACAGCCAACGTCTCAGAGGTCGAATTTGACAAATCCGAAGAGGACATGGTGGCCTGCGCAGATGAGGGAGGGATTGACGTTAAGGGCCTTAAGCCCGGCGGAGGTCGAGGAGAAAGAGAGGAGATGTAAGTGGGGAAGGGGAGAGGCGGGAGTAGGCGTTGAGGGGGAAAAGTGGTGGAGTGTTGAATATAGTAAGCGGTATAAAGGGGTTACGTTGAGTTTCATGAGGACGGTGCTATCGGGTGGTGAGTGTATCATTGCGTGGCGTTTTTTGGTGGCGGTCATGCGCCGCTTTCCGATGTGAGGATTGACATCTCTCATAGACCCGGAGGGATTCTATCGTATTGTTCGTCAGATACCTTACCACGCGGATACTCTGCTTCAGCTCGCAGAGTTATCCAATCACCGCGAAGGTGCGTGCTCCTGGTGTGATGTCTGCCTGTTATGGCGGCACCTCCCTCGATACTGACTTTGGCATGATTTGCAGAGCATAGCACAGCGTCGGACTTTATCGACCGAGCTCTATTTTCCTATGAACGTGCCTTCGTTGGAGCGTTCACCTTTACAGGTGGAGGAAACCGTCTCGACTTCGATAGAGTAGAAAACAGGCCGTTCTTCTTGGCTCTGCATCGTCAAATCATGTGCGCTCCTCAATTACCACTCCCATTGCACCTACTGCCGGCCCTGTATATCTCTGTTTGCCTTGGTTCTGACGCTGAACAATTCTAGTGACCTCCAACGCCGCGGTACCTTCCGCACCGCGTTCGAATTTTCCCGTCTTCTATACTCTCTCGATCCATGGGGCGATCCACACGGCGCTCTTCTTCATCTTGACTTCTTGAGTGTCAAGGCAGGCATGGCACAATGGGCTATAGATCTGTGGGCCTTCTTCGAATCTGCGTCCACTAAGTCTTCAACAGGAGGCGAGGTGGAAGATGAGAAGGGACAGAGTGGGCTGTTAAAAGGTAGAGCGAATGTTCTGGCGCTGCCCGGATGGGCTTATGCGAGGGCGCTGGCATTGCGGACGGTTGGGAAGGACGATGAAGTATGTCTTTCAAGGTTTATCCTGTCGATGTCACCTGCTGACCGATGATGATGCTACCATCTTTTGCGTAGGCGACCGAAGCACTCAAACAGGCCATCGTGGACTGGCCGTCGGTCGTCCCGCTGCTAGCTGACAAGGCTGAGATATCATTGTCAACTGATATCAGGGCCCAGAATACATTTAGGATCTTCACGAAGGACTAGTACGTCCCGCTTATTTCGTTTTCTTACAGACGACTGATAGGTAGCCCTACCCCAGCTACTCAAAAGAGCCCGAAGTTCTCCTCAACCTTCTCTCACACCTCTACGTCCAACGCTCCTTCCAACTCTGGAAAATTCCAGAAACCGCCACCTGGTTCCGAAAGACGGTCACTTCCCTCTCCGAATCTTCTTCCCTTCCTGGCTCACCGACCATCACACCGGCCTACAACGACCGATTCCTGCCGCTGGTCACTTCCACAACACCTTCTACGTCTATATTCTCTTCTGCACCAACCACATCGATGTCACCATTCGCGCATTCTGTATACAGGCATGTTATATCACTCGGACCTTCTGCCCAGAGACTTCTCTCCTACCTGCCGGAGAATGTAGTCAGTGGCCCAGGCAACACTCTCGCTTGCGACCCCCTGCCCCCTCCAACCCAACTAACCGCCTACAACGACGCTTTCTTCGCCGGTGCCGACGACATATTCGCCGTTGGTGCTCATGGTGGACGGGGAGGACGAAGAAGAAACGCGGCGCAGGAGCAGCGACTGTTAGAGCAGATGATCCCCGATCCGGTGATGAGGAGACAGTTCCAGGATTTTTTCGATGCGAATCCGGCGATTAGGGAGCAGTTTCCCGGGGGGGTTGCGGATTTCGCGCAGGTGGCGGCGAATCTGCCGGAAGACGTTATGGACGAGATGATGATCGCGGCAGCTATGGCTAACAACGGTGGACAGGGTGGTGGGGAAGGGGGACAAGGGAGGATGCCTGGTGGGATGCCGGAGGATGAGAGGGAAAGGGATTGGGTGCAGTTACAGTTTATTGAAAATCAGCAGGAGGAGGAGAGGGAGCGAAGGGAGAGGGAGGCACAGGAAGCGGAGGATGGGATGCATGAGAGGATGGCAATGGAACTCGAGGAGCAGGATATATTGGATCGACAGGCGCGTGAAGCTGCAAATCAGAACGACGGAGATGACGAAGTGGAAGAAGAATATGAGGATGAAGAGGAAGAGGAAGAGGCGGTGGTATGTGTTTCTTATATGACTCGTCTGTGTTGTTCCAATAGCGTTCCATGGCTGATACGAACGTCCCACAGGCTCTCCCAACCCGGGTGCTTCGAAATTTGATGTCGAGATTCTGGGGTGCTGCACCAGTCGCTGAGGACTCTGACGATTCTTCTGAGGATGACCAACCACAACGAAGAGTGGTTGACGACGGTGGTGTTGATTAGCGGCTCATATCGTGGAGAAACAAAAATAAACGTGTCGCGATGCGCCTTGAAGGAATATGCAACTTACTTTTCCATTCCTTCACTCAGAGTTGTAAGGAATTGCCGAAACTACATATTGGACCAGCTTAATTCAAAGGGTTTCTGCGCTTATATGGCTGATCTTGTTCAACCAGGAACAAGCAGGAGGAGGGTACAGCACGGTGAGAGCCACACAGACGCGATCAATTGTGGCGTCGTGTCACGTGCTTCTGCCCTCGACTCTGAGCACGCCATCGTTCGCCATTGTCGGACTTGGAAAGTCGTTGAGTAGAACGACGAGGTTGTTCATCCCTCTTTCTTTCGTTCCACCACCATCCTTCTCGTCTTCCTCTTTGTCCTTGACGCTTGGAAAAAAAACCCGGGATTTTCTTGTTTTATCACTGATCTTGAGACTGCCATCTCTGGTATCACCTTGTCCTTCAGATTCTTCGTGATCCGTGTTCTCTGCGGGTTGTACTCCTCACGCGACTTCAATTCAAACTATCTTCGTGTTCTACTCGCGGTACACTCTCCATCGGCCTTGGGGGTTTGGGGAGAAAGCTCGGTACCCTCCAAGATGTTTTCTTTCGGCCTCTTACGGCAATAGCAGCTATTACGTCGGCCGATATTATTCTAGGCTCCCTCGTTATCAGCACCAACACGCGTTGAAGGTTCCGCCTCCGAATTGCTCTTGGTGTCAACCTTCGTCTTCCTTACGGTGGCCGTCGCTGAGCTTATCGTCCAATCCAGCCCTTGACGGCGCGGGCGCAAATGAAAAATATCTTCTAATGGATGTTCCAACTGGTATGCTCCAATCCTCGTCGTCGCTTTGGTCTTGCGACTCTACAATTCACTTTGCCGAGGCCTTCTCTGTCGTTGTACCGGCGTCCCGAGAACTCTCCGTATGACCAGAATACACACAGAACCTGGTCACTGGTGCTTCACGTACAGAGGCATCAGGGAACACAAAGGCCCTCTAGTCTGCAGTAGCTCCTAGTAGCTCTTAGTCTCGTTATGCTCAAGAGGCCGTCTTGAGAGGCCGAGACAGCTCTGCTTTGTGTTTTGCAGTACGTATTCTCTTGCGACTGCACGTTCTCCTGCGTCGGAACTTATGTGATCGGTGTGCTGGGGTCGGCTATCACCCCTTTATACCCCTCGTTATCCCAACACATGGAAGGGTTCTCTCCTTGCTATCCTACATGTACCTTGTCATTTACGTTTCAAGAACATCATGTTTTCCTCCCTTCGCATCGTTCCGCGTGTATTTTTCACATCACACTTGGGTCTATATAAAACGTTTTCCGCCTTGTACGGCTTAGTCCCGCCTCTTCCTTCCCTCTCACCATGTTACGCCTGTCTCGATCCCTCCTGCACCGGCGCCTCAAATTGAAGCAAGCAGTCCGACTGCGGTCCAATATGGCTTCCACTTCCACCGCATCCTCCGCCTCAGGCGTCGCATCGGCTCTAAAGACGCCCCCGTCGACCAAGGGATCCTGCGCTCTCCTCATAGGAGGAAAACAGGCTACTCGTCTTCGTGAGCGCACCGAGAAAATGTCCGCCGAAGATAGAATTTTGTTTCTTGCTGGGACTGGATCCGCATCACAAGTAAACCAGTTGATCAGTTCGGCCAAGGACGCCCTAGGGGGCGACGTGTCAATGAAATCGCACAAAGGCGGAAACTGTGAGTCTTCCTATCTTGAGTACGATTCAGGTGATTGTTTAATCCAGACTCTCCAGCTTTATTGGGGAAAAATGCAGAGCCCGGCATGTCTTCTTCTGATCTTACTTTTGACGGACAGGATTTGGATTCCGAGAACGTAAGATAACACGAAAGTTGGTCTTTACCGTCTGGTTCCTAATCCTTCAACTTACAGCTACGCCCCGACACTGCTCTCAATATCTTCGCTAACGCTGGGTTGCGTCCCCTAATGACTCTAAGTCTTACAACTCCATCCGCCTCCAACACCCCTGCATCTTCTACCCTGTCACCGTTGCACCTCTATATCCTCCACCGCGCACCTTTCGTCTTCCCACCAATCTCGTCTCTGGAACCCTCTACGCTGAACCCCACAGCGCACCCCTTTGGCATTCCGACAGCAGCAGAGTTCAAGGAAGTTTGGAAGGCTTGGGATACAGTTACGTTGGGGATGATCCCGAAGAGTATGTTGCATGAGAAGCCGATTGATTTGAGGCATAAGTGCCTGTTTTATATGGGACATCTTCCTACGTAGGCGTTTCATTTGCTATCTGTTTGATCGGGGGCTGATGACTTGCATCGTTAGGTTTTTGGATATGCTATTGAGTAATTTGTTGAAGGAGCGAAATACAGAGCCGTTGAAGTTCACCCAGATCTTCGAAGTTTGTTCATTGTATCGTCCTCGTCAATCGTAGCCAGCAATACTGACATCTTGAGGAAATCCTTGTCGATTCTCGTAGCGCGGTATTGATCCCCACGTCGACGACCCCGACCACTGCCATGTAAGTTCTTCTCCATCACTGTATGCCACCTCACCTATTTATTGACCTTGTCTCTCACAGCGCCACTCTGAAGTTCCGACCCGAGATGAAGACTGGCCCGACCTTTCTGAGATTCTCGACTTCCGTGACCGCGTGCGCGCCCGTCTTCTCCGTCTGCTCGAGAATATCGAGAGCGGAAAGCGTCCGATGACGCGAAGGATTGCCAGAACATTGATCATGATTCTTGAACATGATGCGTGGCATATCGAGGTAATTCCGTTTCTTTTTTCCTCTTTTTCGTGCTGTCCCAGATGAAACTGAATGTACCCTCGTAGACCCTACTGTATATGCTTATCCAACGCGCTGGTACTGGAACCCTACCACCGCCAGGTTTCCCTACCCCGCCGTTCTCACTTCTCGCATCTCAATGGAACTCTATCTACTCTCAACCGTCTCGCGGACTCACCGTCACCATCGGTACAACAGAGCTCGTGATGGGTCACGACGATGCCGAATCAGACGACCTGAAAGTCGAGTTGGAGAAAGACGTATTTGGCAGGAGTTATGGTTGGGACAACGAGAGCCCAGCTAAGGTCGTCACCGTCGATAGATTCAAAATCGACTGGCGGCCCATCACGAATGAGGAGTACTTCACCTGGTGGTCCACCGACAAGGAGAATACCGATACAAAGATGCCACCGAGTTGGGTTATGGAGGGAGACGAAGTGAAGGTCCGGACTTTCCATGGGAACGTGGGTATGGACGTAGCGCGCCACTGGCCTGTGCTCACTTCGTATGATGATTTGGCGGCGTATGCGGAGAGTAAGGGCGGGAGAATACCTAGGGAGAAGGAGTTGAGGTTGTTTTTCGATAGGTTTGAGGTTGGATATGAAGGTGGTGCGAATGTTGGGTTCAGGAATTGGCACCCGGTTCCGTACGTCTTGGCTCTCTTCTTGCTATCAGGGTCCATTCATTTACCATGATGTACTCGATTTCAGGGCTACGACCGGAGATGAAGCTAATGGGGGGAGAGGCTCGAACGGTGGCGTTTGGGAGTGGACCTCCGACGTCCTTGATACGCATGAAGGATTCGTCCCTACGACGATCTTCCCCGGTTATTCAGAGGACTTCTTCGATGGAAAACATCAAGTTGTCGTGCGTATCGATTCCGTCCACACTTTTTCATGCTGTCTATGTAACACCATGCTAAATTGTTTTGTTCGATCTAGATCGGCGCTTCGTACGCTACAATTCCACGTCTTGCCCAGCGAAGGACAGTGCGCAACTTCTACCAGCATAACTACCCGTATCCTTGGGTCGGCGCACGGGTGGCTTATGATGTCTGATGCTACGCTTCTGCGTTCTCCGAGTTCGTTCCGAGACAAGTTTTGTTTGTTGTCACGGTTATAGAAGTGTTTTCATTCCTCGCTTTCGTTAGCTGTTGCTCCTGACTTTGTCTTATCATCTCTCTGTTTGATACTATATTTTAGCTCTAGTTTGAGATTGTCCTTGCTTTAGATGTTGTCCGTTCAGCTCCGTTGATGTTGTACCCTGAATCGCGTATATAAATCGCACTGTTTCACTGCAGAGTACACCATCATCCCATATTAATTAAATAGTCAAACACCTTGTCTTACGATCCCACCAATCCACTCAAGGGCAACAACAATGTCTGCGACTCCGGTATCGTGTTCGTGAAGAAGGTCGCCTGGCTCGTCGCGTTACTGAAGTTTTGCAGGCCACATGTCTTGACGAAGTCTCCCGATGCGAGAGCGCGGTCCTGGTCGACATAGGTGATGAAGTCGCTGAGGGGGCAGGTGGAACCAGGGCCGGAGGCGCACTTGGGGATAGGGACGGGGGCGTTATTGACCTGAGAGACAAAAGAAACGTTTACATGAGCTCATGATAAAACACAGCGGAGAGGGTGAAAGCGCGCAGTCCGATAAATAAACAGAGACATACGCGGACACGAACGAACGTTCCAGTTGGAACATGATTTCCGACGTGGGTAGGGACGCCGCCGAAGTCAAAAGCGGTATGTCGGACGCTGGAATTCGAAGCCGCACCCTCAGAGCAGGTCAGTCGCTCAAGAGCGACGTATCCGCGGAAGCTTACGAGGTAGGAGGAGCGGAAAGTACGAGCAGGGGCGATTTTAGTGTTCGAGAGTGGATAGGTGCCGCGGACGTCGGAGGTGTTCCAGAGCCCCAGAGCGGCGATGATAGGAGGGATATTGTTGTCGTGCTGAAGGATTCGGTATGTGAGCCTTTGGGAAGGCTCATTTTGACGAGGGGAAAGATTATGTGACTCACAGTGAAGCTCATGAGTAAGGGGGGAGGGACGAAGGTACCGTTTGCGGTAGTCTGTCCGGGGCCTACAGCGAACAAGTCGGTGATGGCCTTGACCCAAGGAAAACCGGTAGTAGCAGCGATAGGATTTCCGGGCCCAGATCTGTGACGAAGTTATCCTAAGATTTTGAAGTGATTGACGATGTTGGATGTACTTACCCGTAGTAATAGTTCAGGTCCTGCGCATACTCATAGTCCAACCATTCAGAATCTATGAGCACAATGTCAGCTTTATTGGGCGAATAAGAAGATCACCGAAATACCTTCGAAGATATCACAGAACCTAGTATCACCGTTGATAACGGATGAAAACCCACAAAGGTCCTGCATGACCCCGATATCCGTCGCCGTCAACGTCAGGTTTCCGCTAATGAACTTATTCAGCCGAGTGGCGATCAGAGTCTGGTACGTCGCCCGGTAAGTTGTTGCTTGAGCGGATCCGTTGTTGAAGGTGGCGTATGTCGGACACGCAGCGGACGGAGTGAGTGACTCGGCGAAAGTGTAGTTGACGGAGTCGGGGAACGTGACGACGGTCCCTCTGTTGAGCGAGGTGTTGCTGAGATAGTTGCCTTCAGAGAGATAACCACGGGCGAAGAATGACGCGGTATCTACGACGCGTTGTTGGGCAGCAGCCCTTGATAGCGTGAACATGTCAGGCTTGGGCGAAGAAGAACATGTCGGGGACCGAGATCGTACCAGACAGTAAAGTTGTCGCTGGGCGTAGTCAACCCATACTTTTGCCTCAACTGGACTCCAAGCCTGAATGCTTCCAAGGCGCCCGTCGAAGTCAGGTAGAGAGGTTCGTGACTCTGATCCGCGATATCGACGGGAACAGACCAGGAAGGAAGGAAAGATAAAGGCCCACTCGCGGTGTACGAGTTGTTCTGCAGTTTGCCGAACAAGCTCACCCAACCAGAGAAGGATCCAGGCTCTGGGAACCTCCTATACATGCCAGTATGTGCATCAATGAATGCTCCAAAATTGGAACGTGGAAAGGAGTAATGTCACTCACGCGCCGTGTCGAACGATATACGCTGCCTGGTCAACTGAACATCCCACTGGTGTGTCCGCCGAAATACCAAATTGGTCAGGAGCATCGAAGTACGGAGAAGCGGGACCAGAATGCTCAAGAGGATTGAATGCGGCATGTACACCAGACGAGATGAAGGCGTGGAGGCCAATGAGTATAAGAGCAGGGTTAGAAAACATCGCAGTCGATTATGTACAGGAGCTCGAGGGCGACGGCCTACCGCATCCTTTCACGAGGGCTCAGTTTATGTACCCAGCAGAAGCATCCGCTAATTTCGAAGCGTGTGCGTAGAGATTCCGAAAGAAGAAACACGTTCGTCGATCCGCTCAAGGCACGGCAAGGTTGTTCCTGGGGACACAGATCCCGCCACAAAGAAATGAAATAGTTGGACATTCGAATGTGCGTCGTGTGAGGTCGTGTGCTGCTGAGGTTGGTCGTCAAATTTATAATGTTTGGGAGTGCCAGGAAGGTCGGCCATGTGGGTAGAGACCAAGAACAGCTAACAACGAGCAAGGCTGCCAAGGATAACATCGACGACGGATTGGAAAGGACGGCCGGTTCCGATGATAGCCGGAAGGAAGGAAGGAATTTAGGCCTCTAGAAGGCCCTAGCGAAGAGCAAGAGGGTTGACATGCGATGTTGACGAGGAACGTGAAAGTAGAATGGCTTTTACTTGGACGGAAATCCTAACACTATCGGAGCTCGAAGGATCATGGCGAACGCCGTCGCGCATTTGGTGCCACCGTGGCGCGATTGCACCAGCCAGTTTAATTGTACAATACATTCGAACAAGACTATTTATTCCTACATAAAGCACATGTACTTATCTACAATCACATCCAGCTAGATCGCCTCTGTATACTGAAATCACTGTTCTCTCCGCTCGCCAGACACACCCCCACCAGACACACCCTCCTCTTCAGCCGTCTGAGCTTCCTCATCTACGCCTGTCTCCCTTGCCTCGTCTACATTACCATTTTGTTTAGGAGGTGGCCCATTTACAGTGTCTGGTAATGGATACTCTTTGATAGGTAGAAGTGTGAGTATTAGGAGGATCGCGACGACCTACGTTTACAACCAACCGATGATCAGTACAAGCGACTTAAGCGGTGGATGGGCGCATGGGAACTGAAATGGATGATGAGTACGTACGATCTGCACTTGAAACACGACTCTGAGCGCCAACGCCCAGCTTTCCGTTGCTTTTTGACGGAGCAACGGAGGCAAGATGTGCATGTACTCTGTCGAGTCGAGGATCTTGGATATGATCTGTTGCGAGTCCGGGTGTTGTTATAGAATGAAAGCCCGGGACGGGGAAATGTAGTAAGCGAATAGGACAAGGAACTAGCCAAAAACGAACGAACGCACCTTCGCCGCTCCTTCTACTTCATCTTCCGTGATCCTCACCTTCAAATTCTTAGCGACCAAGGTCTGCAACAAAGTCGACGACAGCGCGACACCGAGGACTTGACCTGTCGTTCTGAATAGGTATGAAACTAAAGTCCGCGTGGTCAGGTAATTATTCGCTGGCGAAAAGACGAGCTATCAGGGCCCAGGGAGACGAGGATGGACGACTCACTCCCGGTGGCGATGGGGATCTGATCGCGCGGTACGCTCGCGAAGAGGGCGAGAAGTGTTGTTGTGAGGATCGATGCGAAGCCGAAGCCCTATACGATCCATGTAACAAAGTCATCTTGTCAGCAAAACGGTTCAGGTGTAGTCCAGCAGAAGGGGGAGATGGACATAGGCATCGGAGCACGCACGTTAGGTATCAGCGTGATATAAAGCACCCATTCCGGAGTCTTATTCGTCCTATATTCTCTCCGTTGTGAGCGACTCATTCTGCATTGCCGATTACGATAATCACCTACCAAGAGCTCAGCAAAACGTTCGCCCCTACAAGCCCCAACCCACAAAATACCTCCAACCACCAATACTTCCCCGTGTGCCTCATGTACCATCCGGCAAACAAGCTGCCGATGGCGATACAAGCAGAGTTGGGGATAAGGTGGCGGCCAGCGGAGGTAGACGATTGCAGGAGCGCAGCGGTGAAGAAGAGAGGGGTTGTATAGACCTGTTTGACGACAATAGAAAGGGCGAGTCAATGCGCATCCCAGGAAGGATGTGGAATTCAGTGCGGAAATAGACGGGTAAACGGTAGATGTGCATGAATGGGTCAACGTGGATGGTTGATTGAGGGAAGAGGAACCTACCGTCGAAAACGAGAGAACCGCGATCAAGAAATTGTTCTGCAGTCGAATGTTAGTGTATGTTCAGTTCTACGAACTAGATGTGCGTACCAAGGCGACGAAAGCCGGGTTACGCTGTTAGAATTGATGCCACACAGACCGAAAACAGGCGCGGAAAAGGATGATGATCAGCATGAAGTTGCTAGAAAATTATGGCAGTGTCACGCGAGTAGGATTGGGCGAAACGTTCCAGGGGAAAACATACCCTCTTCAACATGGAGATTGGCATAACGGGTTCCACGGCGAACTTCACTTCGACGAGCACGAAGAGCACAATGAAGAATGCACTAACGCAGTCAACATAAATTGGCAGTCAGTACCCTTGTCATATTTGTTTGTAGATCATAGAGAAGAAAATACACATACCTAGCTCCAATAAATCCCCACATCCCGGCCTTGCCGCTCCACCAACTCATATTCTCACCCGGATCAGCCAACTTTTCACCCACTGTCAGTCCAACTAACAGACTTCCAAGACTCAACACAAGCGTCAACGGCCCCGCCCAGTCGATCCGTTTGAGCTTTTGCGACATAGGAGTTTTGGAGTGGGAGGACTCGAGGAAGGAGGGAGGTTCCCGGACCTTGAGGTAGAGGAGGATAAGACCGATGAGGAGGACGGGGGATTGGATAAGGAAGGCTGCACGCCTGGTTGGTAGAAACGGTAAAGAAAATTAGCAAAATCTCTGTGGGAAATGGTGCTGGCACATACCATCCAATAGTATCCCCTAACCAACCACCCAGTGGTGCTCCGACTGCGCCACCCAAAGCGAAGAGCAGGTTCGCGACTGAAACAGTGGCAGAGACAGGTGCACGTAAGTTGGAGTAATAAATGCATCGGGAGATACAATGAGACGTACATCCTTGGTAAAGCCCTCTACTTTTCAGAGGGACAACGTCGCTTATAATGACATTTCCGACAACAGCCATTCCTCCGCCTCCGGCGCCTGCAAGCGCTCGGAAGAACAACAACTGAGGCCTACCGATAACAATGACCACGGTCAGAAATATCATGTACATACCACAAACCGCATCTAAATGGACGAATACACTCACATACTGCCTGCAACTCCACACAACGCTGTGCCCAAGCCAAATAGCCCACCCGCCATCAACGCAGACGCCCGCCTCCCTATAATATTACATAGTCGTCCGTACAACGAAGTACAGCCGCATACTGTCAAGAGATAAGTTGTTCCGATCCATGAGGAATACTGAAGTGCTTCGAAAGAAGAGCCGATAAGCGAGACGAGTGTGGCGACGATGGTGGCGTCAAGAGAACCAATGAATGAGAGTGTCCAGATGCCAGCTGTTGGTCGTTGTTCGTGGATATTTTTCTTTAGAAACACTGGATGTCATTAGTTTATTGAGGAGGCGCACCTAGAAGAAAACCGAAATGAGTCTTGCTTAGATTCTCTGTAGTTTGTGGACTTGTGCTCGGAGGTGGTTTGGAGACGAGAGGCGTCCGTTCGTTCGCGTTTGTAAATTCGGTCACCGTCGAGTCCGAATCGGCTCTGGCATGTTGTTGAGCCTCAGCTTCGTTCATGGTTAGTATCAGAGATATTTTTTGGATAGTTTGTGTCTATGCTCCTTCCTTCAACTCTGAGATAGCATGGATGAGTGCAACATGAGAAATGTCGTGGAACGGCGCCAAAGTGGACGGCGCGTTTCAGCGGCCCCCTGTGTGCCACAGCGCGTAAACGTAGGTGGCGCACTACATCCTTCACGGAAATAGAGCTCTTTTTCCCAAGTGCAGCCGCCTCACAAGTACAACGTTGTTCTTTGATATCGTGCCTAGATGAAAACTAACCATCTGAATTAATTCTCAGCAATCACGGGGAGCTCTGGCTAGCGGGCAACCTCTAGTCATCTCGAGAGATACGTAGGCGGAGTTCCCAGTATCGAAATAATAGAATATGCATGGTTGCTCCAGCTGCATACGCTGTACTAATCCAGTCCACGTCGAGATCGTCATCGTTTCGATAATTGCCCAATCAAATCTTCTTTGAAGCTATCTCTCAAACACGCCTCCATGCTCTTTGGCTCCCTGCCCAAGATCCTGCCCAACACATCACTGGCAACCCCCATCTCGCCCCTCTGCATCACCTCGTGCGTCTTTACCCACTCCCTCAAGAATGCCTCATCCCCAAGCCGTGGTGAGTTCGGGTTGAATAAGCGTTGAACGTATTCATCGACGGTTATGGTGTGCAGGGTGATCTTCCGGGAGAGGAGAGTTGAGAGACGCGTGCTAATATCTGAGAGGGTAAGGACGTTGGAAGGAGGGCCAGATAGGAGAAGAGTCTCGTGAGGATGGGAACCCTGTGAATGGAGCCAGGACGAATTATCAGATAGAGGGTCATGTAGATGATATGGAGACATACCTTCGCAATGACTCGGGCGGTCGCTTCTCCGAGTTCTTCTCTCGAAGCCCATGCAACGGGCCCATCCCCAGTAATGTAAATATCTGTATCCTTCTTGTGGTCGAATAAACCTACATAAATCATGAGCAACAGAGCACGCTTGAAAAAGGACCTACGGAACCCGGTGAAGAGAGACGTACCCATGTAGATAGAATAACTCTCCGCATAGATCCCTTCCTTCAGAATCGTGTACGTGATCCCACTCTCCTTGAGATACCGCTCCGTATCCAGATGGCCTCTCATCATCTCACTGATATTCCTTTCCTCGCCCATTTCGCTAGCGACGGCCACGCTGGTGTAGTAGATGTGTTTGACGCCGACGCGTTTGGCTGCGTCGATGGCATTGATGTGCGCGCGGATGCTGGGCTCGTAGAAGACGGAAGGATAGGATACGAGGAGAAGTCTGTCTGCACCCTGAAGTCGGATATATTGAGCGACAACCCGAGCACTGCTACTCATATGATCAAATAAATAAATACCTTGAAAGCCTCGTCCAGCGACCCCGGATCCGCGAAGTCGCCACGTCGAACTTGGATACCTTCGGGGAGCGCAGAAATGAATGAAGACGATGGGTTGGGATTATAGATCGAGAGTATGATCTCGGTGGGCGGAACGTGGCAAGTCTGAAGCAGATGCTTGAGGACTTGCGAACCGATACCACCAGTTGCCCCAGTCAATACGATCATTGTTCGAGTCGCCTAGATGAACGTAGTATAATGCTAGAGCTAGAGATGAGATGAGTTGCCGTGTGAGACGATTATGACGACCTTACTGACGATGTGGGGACTTATATACCTGAGAGGATAATAGCGTTCTCCCGATGGTTCCGACGAGTGTAAGTACGTTCGACAAATACAAGCTAGACATAATCCCGGAATATGTCTAAGCAGAGGTCACCAGGTTGAAATGGGGATTACTTTGTTTTCGGAGCCTGACACTGCCTCAGTGGACCGAATGGTGGACATCTCTAGAATCCATTTACGAATCCATTGCGTGGTTCGAACTCCGGCATGCAGTACATTGGGGTATCCGGGGGTATCCATGGATGGTTTGTCCATCAGAGTTTAGCTCTCGGAAATCCATGAACGACCCCTGACGATTCCTGGCGGTTAAGTTCACAAGAACTCGGAAGGGAAAGCGCTTCAGGGCACGTCAGGACTCCCAGGACGTTAGTCAGAAGAAGTACAAAACCTGCCTAGAGCACTGAAGCTTGCAAGGTGTCTCAGAAGGTTCCAGAGTGCTCTTACTGATGATTGAAAGTGAAGTCGGGAAAGAACAGACTGTCAAAGCGTTGCATGCGAGGCACATAATAATACAGCTTGGTTCAAGAATTTTCACTCCTGACTGAAAATCCTAGAAGAACTCGACAGGTTGGACAGAAAATGTCAGAATCCAGCCAATGTTTGAAACATGCCATTCCTTCAACCAGGCTTACACTTCATCTCGCGTTTATCCCTTCCAATACCTCTCTCCTGACCCACTCCTCAACCCCAGAGCCCTCTCTCCCAACTATCGAGCGCCACAACAGCATCCTTGCACTCAGCGCGCCCCACGCAACGCCCTTGCCTTCGAAAATATTCACTCCCATGGCAGAACGCCACTGATCTTCGACTGCGCGACCCCATATCCGGACCGGATCCACAGGTATTGTTGTGGTCGAAAATGAGGTGTAGGATGTGTGTGGCCCCGTATTGATGACACCTGATTGTGGAGGTAGGTCGAGGGTGTGGTCAAAATGAGAAATGTCGAGATTATATTCAAAGAATTGAAGGAGGGTAAGAGCTTTGGCCATAAGGATGCCGAAGTTGGGGACGGTTGGACCCGGGAGAAGCGAGAGTCGAAGAAGTATCCTGGAAGTTATGGACAACAGTTCTGACGATACTTCTACTGAGGGTTGGAATATTAGGCACTTGTTCCGCTCGTGATAAAAAATCAAAAGTTACTCACCTGACTCCTGTAACAGTAGCTGCAAACATCTAGCTATAGTGGGGCGCCACTGGCCTCCGGTTGCGGACTCAAACCTGGGAGCATCGGCGACCATGAGGACGTTCTCCACAATCTTGAGCCAAAGCAAAGCCTCGCCCGACAAAAAGGATTGAGACTGTAACACCATCTCTATCCAAGGCAGCAATGCCGACTTCAAGGTCAATGACGTCGTCATCCGTCTACTGCTGGTGATGTTAAGTACCACCTATGATAGCAAATCGCGGTCAGCAAGAGAAGAAGGGAGAAGAAAACAGAGACATACCTCCTGTACCCCATGCCTAATAAGTCGATCACCTTCTCCACTTTGCCACGCACTCGCCAACAAGTCCCAGGTATGTCTCCTCCTGAACACCTTCCACTCTGCCTCGCCAGCACCTAACATCGCATCTGCTAGGAACTTCACCATCCATCCTCTCTCTTTCTTCCAGTCCTCCGAGCTGCTGTAAAGCATGGAAAAGAGCATGGGCACGTCGGCAGAGTCGAGCTCCGGACGTTGCAGGAGAAAGCGAGAGGTGAGCGGATATATGAAATTGGCGGGATAGAAGACGCCACGGAGGGAGTGGGCGAGGAGAAGGGTCGTAAAGGTGGGTAGGCGGGGAGGTGAGTCAGTCTCGGGAGACGACCGGATAGCATCTCTCAAGAGGTCGAAGATGTGCATAACGTGGGGTTTTTCCTGCATGTCTGCGTCCTATACACAATGATGAGCTTTATCATGTAGGAAAGTAATGATCGTGACAAACCTTCGACGCTTTTGATATGGCGGCCATCTGTGTCATCGCCACGTCCCTCAATGCATCCTCCTTAGACGATAACATCCGTATGACCAGACTGATCGCATTTGTCCTGAATAACTGAACCCATTCGGCCGCTGATGAGGGAGGGCTGGACGCGAGGACTTGGGTAACAAGCAAAAGTATCAAGAGAGGATCGTAAAGGTGTTCATCGGAAGCTGACGTAGCCGGAAGTCCTTCTTGGTTGGTACCGACAGTGTCCAACTTCCGCCAAGAAGGATAAGTCATGCACGTCCTGAAAACTCGATTTGAGTCAAGCCCTTCGAAAGCTTCCAGGGCGTTATTCGATACCGTGCCAGGGGAGGAGGACCATTGCGAAAAGGCACCCGCGATGGATGTCTTCCTATTTTCTTCGAAGAGCTTGAAGATGGCAAAAATCTGGAGATCACTGGATGCCAGGGTGCCGCCATATATCTGGATGAGGGGAAGGACGTGGCTTGGCTGGCATGTGTTGGAAGGGTGAAGATGGAAAAGTGTGTGGAGGAGGGAGATGATGGACTGTCGGGCGGGGGCGGAGGGAGAGGCATGTTTATGGAAGGAGGGATGTTGGAGGATGCTTTGAAGGTGGCGATTCACGAGCAGAGGCTGAAACAAGGGATCCGTGAGACTAATATTGGTGAAAGAGAAAGATTCGCCTACCTTCAGCGGAGATTTCTTCAAAAGGACAGTAGCGAAGGAAGATGCTGATGGATCAGAAAGGCGATGCTGGATGGCGGCAGTCAGAACGGGATCGACAAAATGTGTCTTAACGGTGGCGTCTGCCTTTATCAACGCGGCTACGAAGTGCTCCATTAGCACGGAACGCCACGACAGAAGGCTAGACTCACCAAGCCCTTGAACAACAGGCGCACTCAATGCTTCATCACTAGCAAAATGTCTTGAGGCCCATTGCAGGCCATGGTCCACACATGAAGCCACAAACTCCCTTGTCTCCTCCCTCGGTATGACCTCGGAATCGAAGAGCCGCCTCGCCACGAGGACGGTTTTAGCACTCATAACATCGAGAGACTCGCCTTCTACCGCACGTCTCAGGATTCCGATTAATTCTTCTCGACTCTCGGAGAAGCAGGTTACCATGAAGATGACACAATCCACGTCACGAGCCTCGTCGGAAAGTTTGGACCAAGTCGATGGCTGGATGACGCTTCGAACGAGATTTTCGAAGTGTGTCTTCCAGACGCCGGTAGCTTTGACTCTTTCGATAGAGGTTGACTCTCCCAAGGTCGTGATTTCGTCGAGTGTGGCGTGTATGAGAGGCGTGATGCTGACATTCTTCTGCTGAGCAGAAGTCTCCGTCGAGAGCCAGGTGTAGCATGCAGCTCGTGCTGCCTTTTTCGAGTAAACCAGGCCACAGATAATTTCAACGTCCTCCGAGCTAAGCTGTCCGCGCGATAGGATAGTCTCGACCTCGGTATCATGGACATGATCATCCATTCTCCGTTCCCAACGCGCCGTCGACTTCGAGATCAGCCGAGAAAGGGATAGAGACGGTTCTCCGCTCGTGCTGGTTGGCGGAAGCCCATCAAGTCCAACCGGAAGCGAAGCGTGCACGATGAGCGCGATGATCTTCTTTGCTGCGTTGCCTTTCGTCGAAGCTTGATCATCGACATTGAGTAGGCTGAACAGCAGGGGGAAACGAGAACGCATATGAGAGGCGATTTCGGTTTCCGAGCATGTGCTCGTCAGAGTTGTTAGGATCGCGCAGATAAGTTCGTTGCCGTCGGTGATCGTGCGAGAAGCGAAGAAGTCGAAGAGCTCGAGGAGGCTTTGAGTGTCCATGTAAGGCACCCAAAACTGTAGGGTTGAGTTGATCTGCAACGAAATTAGTATAAACCAAACGTATAGAGAACAAGTGGCGAAATCCTACCGAAGTGATTTCCTTCTGCTGATCACAATGACCGGGCACGACGGCAACCATATGCTTCACCAGCGGCTCCACGATTTCCCTATCCCTGGCTTTCCTCGAGTCGAGTGACAATTTGACGAAGTTCTCGATCACTTTGGAATGACTATATCAGTGCGCATTCAGGGCGAAGAGCGAAATCCAAGCAGACATACCTTCCTTCCGTTCGCTACTCACAAGGAGCGTCCCAAGAACATCCTTGACCAACTTCAATGAGAAAGAATGCTCTACGAAGGGATAATATTGCTCATCCGTGAACGTGCGTTTCAGATATTCCATCACGGTTGCGGCCCAAGTTATCGCGTCATTGACGGTGGTCGGATCGTTGGCCGACATCCTGTGGCTGATACTCGTTATCGCTGCCTTAGCCTGGAGGACGGCGTGAGGTTCGGAGGTGATTGTGGTGAAGAGAGCGTGCAGTTGTTCGTCCCCGAATATGGTACTTTTGTGGCGAAGGGTCCATTGCATGTCAAGCCAATGGAAGAGGAATCTAAGCAGATATTATAGTCAACCAACAGTTCTAGTGGCATTTGGAGAGAGAGAACTTACGGTGGATGCAAATTAGCAAGCTCGGACTTCACGACGCTCTCATCGAGCAGGTGATTGGACCGGGGATCGATATGACAGACGAGAGCGTTGAGCGCGGAAGGATGCAGCTTCTCAATCGTAGAGACCAGGTGAGCGATATCGTTAGAGGTCAATGTGCATTCAAGAAGGCGAATCCAATCCACGAGCTCGTAGGCCGAGGTTTGCCGTGCTGAGGGTGAAGTTGCTAGGGGAGGTAACGGTGAGAACAGTAGTCTGGTCAAGAGGGAGAGAAGAAACTCACGTATCGGCAACTCCTCCAGTTGACCAAGAAACTCCTGTACCGCCGGATTCGACATCTCCGCCACTTGTGGCTCCAACGGCCCATTCCTATAACTCTGTAGACACGCATTCAAAATCTCCACTTCCCGTCGTATTGCGCCGCTGACGATTGGGCTCCCCTCAAACAACTTCGATATCTGACCGGACACCGACTCGACGATCTTCTCCGTGAACTTCTCCAGGGATCCCAAATCCTCCAGCTTACTAGCCAACACCAGAACCAACCTCCTAACAAACGACATCACGGCCAATGCGTCCGAAGGCGTAAAGTGGTTCCCTAATAGTTTGGCGAGGAGCTGTTCGCGGACGGTCATTAACAATGGGCTCAGAGATGTCTCTGAAGCCTGTCCCTGTTGTTGGCTGTTGCCACCTTCGTCCTCCGGGCCAGAAGTTAAACTCTCCATCTCCTCGATATATCGATGTGGCGCCTTCAAACACCTCTGTACGCATTCGTCCAAGAACGTAATCACCGCGTCGTCTTCGTTCGTGAGTGGCGTTCCGTCCGGAGCTTCAGCACATGGCGCACGCTTGATCGAGGGAAGACAGGACATCCAGAAGTATACTTCGGAGGAGTCGTGTGCGAAGAGGATGGAGGAGGAAAGGACGTGGCTCAGGAGGGAGGAGATGGCAGTGCGGATGGAAGGGGTTGGGGTTGTGGTGTATGATTTGAGGAGGGTGGAGAGGTGGGTTCTGGAACCTGTTAGTGTAAGACGTGAGTAGATGCCACAAGAAGATGAATTGAATATTCGCGTGACGTACCGGTCTTTCCTGTCCACGAGAAACCTTCATTCTCCTTTAGCAGTCTGAGAACGTGTAACTGCCTCAACGTTCTCAATCCAGCGATCGACGAGCTCACAGACTCCCCGTCCTCAATCGTCGTTGGTGAAGGAATCAAGTGCTGTAACAATTTCCCCACGTCGAACCGCGCCTCCGCTACCAAAGACGGTAAACAACGATTATACAACCACAGCAATCTCGTCGAGCTCTCGGCCAACAACGCTACCTGCGTCTCGTTCGTCTGTTTTGTGGTCGGGGCCGGGGTCGCGGTCGCGGTGGTGGTAGCACCAACATGCTGTCCCATCGCCACGACGACCTGGAAATCTGGTACCCTCTTCCTGACCTCCCTCTCCACCTCCCTTCTCCTCCGACTCCATTGTCCACCTCCGCCTGCACTTTCACCCACACCTCCAAACACTCCCGAGCTAGCAGCGTCACCAACATCCTCTTCCAACACCCCTTCAACCTCCCTAAACCACTCTAAGACCTTTTCATACTTCATCAAGCATTTGCACAGTGCTAACGCCGTACAATGTTGCACGAGGGGTGAATTCGACTGCAATCCTTTTGAAAAATGGACTTTGAGAGATAGCGAGGGCAGGATGTTTTCTAGTATGGTGTTTAGAGGTGGAGGAGTTGGTTGATAGAGTGCGGTGGATGTAGAGGTTTGGGTAGACGGGGTGGAGAGGGAGGGAGATGGCGGGATAGGAAGGGAGATTATGGAGCCGAGGAAGGAAATGTTGGAGATCCACTTGGAGGAAAGGCGGGGTTCGAGAGTTGGGGCAGCGGAGGCCCAGTATCTGTGTATTTCCAAGCAGACCGGTCAGTTAGGGCACTGAATGTCAACAGGGGGGCTTGAGACGTACCCTGCCACGAGCTCAGGGCAGGCCCCCAGAATCTTGACAGCCAACTCCTGCTGTCGTGGATCCTCATTCACCCTCAAGGTCTTGACGACATTCGCCAACACCTTGTTATATATTTTAGTTCCATGTCCTTTCGTCGGCGCGTTGCCACCATCGTCTTCGACACCACCGACCGCAGTAGAACGGACGTCGTCCTGGGATTCACGAGGGTACCATCCACGGTCTCTGAAACAGATGCCGGTGCCGGGACGAGTACAGATGGCGAGAAGGAAGTGGTGGACGAGGTCAGCCGGGATTTGCTCCTCGTCAGATCCTTCTGTGACTTCCGAGGAAGAACGTTCATAGAGCTTTATGAGCTATGTGCGAAGGTTTGATCAGCCAACGGCGCTCATAAAATTAAAGCACTTGAAAGTACCTGCGACAAGAGTCCTTCATTGAAGATGTTTATCTTCGCAGTTCTCTTGATTTTGGCGTCCGACCATATCCCGGCCCAACAGACCTCCAAAATCCGACGGATGACGGCGTACGAATCTTGGTTGACGCCCTTGAATATCGAGGCGAGCGTATCTCTTCGTTGGTCTAGGAATGCAGCTTTGACGAAAGTGGGCGCGGTGGTGTCGACGAAGGAAAGGATGAAGAGGATATAGAGGGTGCGTATGTCTGTGGCGTATTGTGAGTATGGGTATGGTGCACAGAAATTGGAAGAAGACCGACCTGGCCGTGCGAGAATATCGATGGAGTTGGCATCTTTGCCTCTTCGACGCATGGAGAGAAGTTTCGGTAATGACTGGTAGTTTAACCTCGTAAGTATCACTGTCACCATCGCGCCACACTATACTCATGTGCCACGCATAGAAGCACCGCGTACCTTGATCTCCCAAGCAAATCCCTCAAACACGGCCTTTTTCTCGCTTCCAGCAGCAAAAGAAGACATTGCGTTGAGGAGTTTCAAGGTATTTATGATGAGGTCGTTGTGTGAACCTGCGACGTAGGTGTTGAGCTGCTGCATGCATTGCTGAGACAACAACGTCTTCAAAATAGTGTGGCCATGAGCGTGATGGCTGTAGTGTGCTGAGGTGATGTTGAGGAGTGCAGCGAGAACAGATACGAGCAATGAGAGGATGGATAGCTGACGCTGTAGATTGTGGCGTCAATATGTATTCCCTGGCGATTAATTCACCGAATTAGACGTACCTGGTTCGTCGCTTCCCATATCTCAAATATATCGTGCGCTCCTGGTGACGTTTCTAGCCATGACTGGGCCAACGTTAGCCTGGCGTCCTGAGGAGAAATAGGTCCCTCGTTTGGCTTGATCGTAAGTTGGTTGCGGATGGACGTTAAGGCTGTCTACTTCGTCAGTGTACGGATGCATTGTAAGGTATAGTCAACACACCTTCGACGAGAGCATCCTGGTTCTGATTTTTCAAGCTTGCTCTCAGCTCGCCTGCGCTGGAGTACCTGTAGGTCCCTCTCGAGTTCGCGTCGAGCTTTGCACGTTTTCTAGGGGCTTGGGCATCATCTGCAGTACGTTTCACGGTCATTCAAGCAGGAGTACAGTTAACACCAGATTATCCTAGATATAACAGCAGCCACCTAGTCCAGCCTAGTTGAAGTATGTCCTGCAGCAAAAGTATGAATGAGAAATGAAGGCAACCCTCTGGAAGCGAGAATGTTTTCAAAATCTAGATCTTATCTTATCTCAATTTGGTTCCCACGGTTTGATCAGGCCGTTCAACTTTCCCTTGCCTTTCCCTCAACATGTCTCTGAATCTCAGTACTCTCTCTTGAACGGTGTTTAACCTGTCGAAACAGCTCGTATAAATATGGCTCAGTCTTCGTTCACGGTGTCTATCCGTCTATTCTTGTGACCTGGAACGCTGTCGCTTCAACCGGGCCTGAAAGGTGCCCCAGTTTCTCGGTGACCTGCTCGTGGAATGAGCAGCCTCGAGTTGCATAGATGGTGAAATAGGTGTCCATCATTCTCATCGCTGTTAATCGTCACTTCTTACGCCTCGATTCGTCTCTGAGAAATGCTGACTATTACACTGTGTCCACCCTCGAACTATTCGTCATGTATCACTTCTGCTGCTCAGCCTTCCATGCCTCGATGGCCGGTTCCGCCGCACGAAACCTTGAAGACGTATTAGTTTTGACATAAGACGAAATGATTGGTGAAACTCACGCTTCGAGACCTGTGGGGAACCCGCAATAGGCCATGATCTGGAGCAATACCTCTCTTCACAATAGAAAGCCGTCTGCATCAGCCTTCGTACGCGGCGACCATGGTACGCAGCACGAACGCACCTGATCTCCACTTCGGTCAACCCGTTATTGAGACCACCACGAACATGTCCAGCGAGCTCCTTTGTATGTCCTCCAGCGGCGAGAAGCGAGATGACTACCAGCGAGCGTTGCTTTCGTTCCAGTCCTGGACGCTCCCAGATGTTGCCCCACGCGTTCTCGGTCACGTACTCCTGTGCTGGTCTAGCGAACTCGGATACTCCTCTTGCCAGTGCATTGTCCACGTATGCATCTCCTAGAACGGCTCGTCTCTTCAGAAGTTGAAGAAGGGTCAGAAAGCGTCGACTGGTTGTCGCACAATGGGACATACATTGACCATACCGGCATCGTAGAGAGTCTTGTGAGCATCTTCCTGTTTCTTCGTGTCGGACATGTCAGTGGTAGTGGTGGGGATCGATGTCGTCCGGAGAGAATAAGGGTATGTGAGAATAGTGATGTCAGCGTCAGCTGTTGTACTATACGTCCTGTCGCCTCTCCGTGATTCCGTATAAACACACGGAGGTACTTGACCAAATGTACAGGTATGTTGACTTCTCATACTTCCCGTTCTGCCTTCATCATCAACTTCCTCTAGCAATGACTGACCAGATCGTCCATCCAGATTCGTTTGCATTTATCGGTCTGGGTGCGATGGGCTACCCCGTTAGTTCGTTTATAATAGAGCCAGTTGAAATTCGTTCATCAACATATGACATAGATGGCCCTAAACCTCCGAAAATTACTTCCTCCGTCCAAGCCCTTCTACATCTACGACATCCAACCTTCAGTCATGGACCGTTTTGCCCTCGAAACCTCTACCTTCGGCGGCGCCACATTCGCCACCTCACCTGCAGACGCAGCCTCCCACGCTTCCTTCGTCCTCTCTATCGTCCCCGAGGGCAAACACGTCGAACAAGTCTACCTTTCCCCCTCCACCGGGATCGTCCCATTACTCACCTCTTCCGACCTCGCCGACAAGATATTCGTCGAATGTTCAACGATCGATGTCGCGACGTGTCGGAGAGTTGCGGATAGGGTGAAGCAGAAATGTGAAAGTGCGGCGTTTTATGACGCGCCGGTTAGTGGAGGGACGAGGGGAGCGCAAAAGGGCGAAATCACGTTTATGATTGGGGGGAGGGAGGAAGATGAGAAAATGGGGGTTGTCAAGGAGGTATTAGGGAGGATGGGAAAGAATTTGTTTGCGTGTGGAGGGTTGGGGATGGGACTGACTTGTAAATTGTCAAAGTCTGGATTTTTCCCTCCTCTTTCTCGTCATTCGAGGTGCTAACTTGCTATATCCGCAGCAACTACGTCTCTGGTCTCATTGCGATAGCTCTGTCAGAGGGAATGAATATAGGCATGAGCCACGGCGTCGACCCAAAGGTCCTCTCTTCTATATTTGCTGTCAGCACCGCCGGGAGCTGGGTCAATTGTACGTCCTTTTATCATTCCTGGTCTCCATATACATATTGCTCCTGCTCACCATACTGTCCGCTCGTAGCTCACTGCAATGTTCGTCGAATTCTTACTCTGGGTCGCAATCTTCCGTGAGCTGAACCACTCGCCACAGCCCGTTCCCGGAGTTTGTCCCGACGCACCACCTTCGAACGACTATAAAGGAGGCTTCAAAGTGCAGCTCATGCGAAAAGACTTTAACCTCGCCGTCGAAGCTGGTCTGTCACTCTTCCCCTGTCACGTTCCCTTTCCCTTCCCTCTCTCCGCACTTGTTCGCTGCAATCGCTGCAAAGCTGACTACTGTGGCGGCGCGAACAGCGAATGAGACTGGTGTAAAACTCGCCTTGGGAGAAGCTGGTCTAGAGGTATATACAGGCGCTGCCAATGACCCGAGATGTGTAGATCGCGATTCGAGGGTTGTATATAGATATCTCGGTGGGAATGAATGAAGCTTGGGGTAGAGATCATACTCGAGAGTTATTGCTGTGTGTAGTTATTTTTCTACTCTTCTGTCCAGAACTATACAAAACCCTGACTCTCTTCCAGGATGTTTCCGCCAATGGTCGTTTGAACGCGTACTGACGCCATTGGGCACCCTGCCGCTGGAAACAATATGACGCCACATTATTCTCTCGACAGCCAATGCCTCGCATCGGTCACGCTTCTGGCTTCTACTTCGCCTCTGGTGTGAGTTTATATATAAAGACTAGACTGCCCTTGTATATTGTTTCAAACCGCTGGGCATGTATGAACTCACCCTTCGCATTTCTCACTCGCTGGGAATACTGGAGACCTGCACGAACCTCACATATGGATGCACTCTCTATGTTCTAGTTTTGTTCTATGCTGGCCATGTATACTGGAACGTCTACAAGAGAAACTGACGAGGCTGTCATTCTTGCACAGTTGCACTGGGTGCTGTTGCATTCGTCTCATGGGTCATATAGGCATGTCCACTCGTGTGGCCCGGGCCGCCTCTATAATAGATCCTCGTTGGGTTCCCCCAAGAGTTCACTCCTATAATGTCTTGTGCTTCACGGACTGGACATGAGGCACGGTGAGCAGTCTCGCTTCTGCCGTTGGTCCTGTAATAGTTAGGTCGAGCTCAAGGGCGACCCAGTAATATCATACTCATTTTGGATCTTTGTCTTTTCTAAGTTTCCAACTGCTTTCGGCGCGGCAAACTGGCAAGACTCAAGTACATAGTCCAAAAATTGCAACATCTGACGACCTTGGAAGCCACGGTCACGTTTGCCTAACTTGACCCACAACGGAATGACGTTTTTGGGTCGACCAATTAGGAAGCGCGGCTACCTAAACCGAGACAAACCGTTCGCGTTTGCTTTGCCGCATCCTCCTTCACGGATGTACTTTTGTCCTGCGCACGTACACATGAGATGCCTTCGTTTTGCGCCCTCGTAGCTATCCCCGTCAGCATTGTGGGCTCGGAGGACTTGGCCACCGTCGAAGTGCTTTGGTTTATGGCGCAATCGAAGCCACGTCTGGCGACTTGTTTATCTCCACAGCGCCTTGACCTTGACTGGAACCTACTGATGCTCCTGCTCTTTCAGGAGCTCTCGAGTCTTCTGCCTTCTACAGGGTAGATGGTGTCATATTCAAGGAAGCGCGATCAGGAACATCGTCTAAGTCCTATGTTATATGTCGGTCGGGTCAGACCTTGGTGGTATCGGGACGCCTATCAGCCGTTGCAACCCGAGTACATCGACATGACATCTAAGTCAGTTACTTCGCTCAGCTCGACTGTTGACCGAAAGTCCCAGTCCAAGAGGCCCTGGTACAGTTATGTCTGGTAAGTCGGAAGGTGTCCTATAATTTCCCAGATTGCTGATTCGTTCTGGTGCGTCTAGGGACACATGGGATAAACCCGCTGATGAGAGGAAGTTTCTGGCCAAGCTCGATGCCTGTGTGATCACCTACGCAGCACTGTCCTATTTCTCCAAATAAGTCTGTTCTACTCTGATCCATCGAGGTGGTAGGCTGATGATGTGTTTCTTCTATCCACATATTTGAACCAGCAGAATATCACGAATGCATACGTCTCGGGAATGCAGGAAGAGTAAGTTTTTGATAAGATTGTGTCTGCCTCCATCTTTCCTCCCGGTGAACTGACCATGTTTCTCGTTCGTACAGACTTGGCCTGTAAGCAGGACCAGCCATTTGGAGACGATACTTGAATTTGATCCGTGTCCCTTTTGCAGACATGGAAACCAGTTGAACTACATTACCGCTGCATGGACTGTCGGATACGTAGTCGGCCAGATTCCCTCTCAGTGAGTGTATTATATCCCTACTCGTTTGCGTTCTCGGAGTACTGAGACTCATGTAGGATGCTTTTACAAAAAGTCCGGCCCTCGGTCTGGGTATGTCTTCGATTATGATTCACTTGGGGTCTTCGACCTCTAATAATTTCCCTTCATAGATACCTGCTATGGAGCTCACCTGGAGCATCCTCACCTTGACTTTGACGTGGTGTAATGGCTGTACGCCCCTTAATGACACCTTGTCCTTGGTTTATTTATCGATCAATCCCATTTATCCTTAGATTCCATGCTGGCTGCGATGCGTTTTTTCATCGGACTCGCAGAGTCGACATTTTACCCTGCCATCCAGTATGTGATTGGAAGTTGGTACAAGAACGAGGAGTTGGCGAAAAGGGCCTGCATTTTCCATGTAAGTCTCTTCCTTCGACAGAGAGTGGATGTGACCTTAATCTACGGTCTCGTAGACGGCCTCAGCGCTTGGCCCTATCATTTCAGGTGAGTCCAGCGTCGTACATTGGATATCAAGAATCGAAGCTCATGTGACGACGTGCGCCGCAGGATTCCTACAGACAGTGCGTACTAATGTGTCACCACCGTACGGCCCACCTTTACTGATCTCAGGATAGGGAGCGTATAATGGTCTCAATGGTGTACATGGGATGTCTGGGTGGCGCTGGCTCTTTGTCTGCGATTCAGCACTTTCCATCCCAATAGCCTTGATCGGATTTCTCATCATGCCAGGTCCGTCATCATTAAGTCACAGCTTCGTGAGTACGTCTGGAGGACTGATCTCTATATGCAGATGTTCCAACAAGACAGCGACCATCTTGGCTATACAGCGAGCACGAACTTATGATAGCACAGAAACGTATGCAAGAAGTGGGTCGACGGCCGCCAGGGAAGCTCACGAAGGCGAAGGTATGTCTCGTTCAGGCGATACACTACATAACTCGAATGACCGTCTTTCGAAGGTCTTGGGGTTTTTCAAGACGTGGCATTTATATGTCCTTGTGATGCGTGAGTCGTTGTCCGTATTATTCTTTACACCTGCGATCGACTAACATGAATGCCTTCCTCAGTGTACACCTGCGTGAGACCCACTTTGTGACAGGCAGTATTCTTTGCATTCACATTTTATTCTTTAGTTCAACAACAGTGCCGGCGCATCTAACTCCATGATTTTCTGGTAGGATCCTTGCTCGATCATGTCCTGAGATGCCCCTTACCTTGCGTCGCAGGCTGAAGAGCTTCAACACTCGGGCAGGCCGCACTGTTTACACTGTTGGCCAGATCAATGTCTACCCGATACCTATGTATGTCGTCCAGATGCTCACCAGTAAGCTTCCTTGCCCTAGATCACCTCTAGTAGACATATCTGATTTTTGTTGTTTATGAACAGCATACGCCTGGGCATGGTGGTCAGACGCTATCGGATTACGATGGCCACCCATCGTCTTTGCTGGCGTGGGTCTCTTTCGTGTTCTTCCTTCCGCATGTTACTTACTAGCGTCCGTTCGACGTCAGGTATGGGGCATAATCGTGACTTCAGTTCTAGCTGCTACACCGGTGTATACCCACATTGCAAGGTACGTCAACTCAAGGCTGTCAATCATGTCCGGTAAATTGAGTGGCGCCAATTTGTAGGCGATGGGCGTTTTATTACATGGTACGCACAAGTTGAAACTCGCATCTACCGTCATTCTCTTATGCAACCACGCTTTTAGACCATTGTGCAAGGAGGACTGAGTGGTATCATCCTGGCTTGGGCTAATGAAATCACCGGCTTCAACAACGAACGTGAGTGAACTGTCTATTTCTTCCCTCATTCGATCTAATATATACTCTTTCACTAGTTCGCTCGTTCACTGTCGCAGCTTGCAATACCTTCACGTATGCTGTTCAGGCATGGCTGCCCATCCTCATTTTCCCACAGGTCGAACAACCAACGTTGGTCTGCTTCTGACTCGTCGCTGTATGCATGACCACTAAATGTTCCCTACAGAGTCTATATCGGGAATGTCACCTCCGCCGTCATCCTGGCTTTCATGAGTACATATTACCCAACTGTTCATACCTCTTTCCTTGCATTTCTGATGTAAAATTTCATTACAGTCTTTTTCGCTTTCCTAACGCTATACCTTCAACGTCGGGATGAACGGAATGGCGTGAATGTTGTAGGAGGGTCAGTAGAACCGTTCCCAGATGAGGAGGCAGCGTATGAAGAGGAGGCTGGTTCTGACGCGGATAGCAAGAAGGCTGTTGACTCTACGGTGACGTCGAGAGAGCCGAGTGCGGCCCATGTATGAAGTCTTATTCGGGGAGGTTCGTTTCTCTAGGTGAAGCCAGTTTTGATAGGTCGAATATCATGATTTCTACGAGATATACGGATGTCTGTATGATGTTACACGTTGTATAAAATGTGATGTAGAGTGTTGTGGGTGAAACACCACTCCATGTGGCCTGACGGCGTTGCTGTGGCCAGACCAATGATACGGCTACAGGACTTGCGTTTGCTCGAACTCGACTACAAACTTCCCCTTCATGCCTGGTTGGTGCAGATCGTGAACCATCTCCGTCACATCGTCGAGTTTATAAGTCTTGACCTATGCCGTATGTTAGCATGACGGCCGGGTAAAAGCTGTCTTCATGTAAAGCTATGCGAAGAAGCCGATTGGGAGCTCACCTTAATCTCTACGGGATGTAGAGCGACGTGTTCGATGAGAGCCTTACAGTTCTCAGGAGAAGCCAAGAGGCTACCTTTCACCTAAAGGAGGAATTCTCGATTTAATCGTTCACTGAGGGTAATAAATACAGTCGAGCAAACCGTGATGTCCTTGAAGATGAGGTCGGAGAAGCTATAATGATAATGTGAGACACGCATCTCGTTAAACCCGATGGACGAGCACGAACTGGAAAGGTATCTTCTCAGCCGGTTGTCCAACCTATCTAGCAAATAATAAGTGGTAGTTGTTGTAGATGCGAGGATATTCGTACAACTATGAGAGTTCCGTGACGCGTTAGGATATCTAGACCATACTGAAAGGAGGGGATCCAATCAGTCGCCACAATGCACGCATCCAGACCTAGTGTCCCGTGCGTCAATTTCGATGTATTCGGAAAACCAATCGTATGAATCTCCTTGCCTGGGAATGGTTTTTCCGGGTTCAATGCGGCAATCGCTTTGGTCGCAGATTCGACTCCCTCTCGTGCGTCGAGACACAAATGGGGAGCTAACTTCAGGCTTTTCGCTAATTCGATGGGCTCATCGCGCGCATCAACGCCGACGACCACATATCCCATGCTCTTCGCAAACTGTGGATGAGACTGTGAGGGATGCCCATGAGATGTGAACGTACGTTAGTTCTCACCTGAACGCCGAGGTGGCCCAATGCACCGAGGCCTACGATGCCCAGAATAGCTCCCTGTGGTTGCTTGGCCGTTAATATTGCGTTGTACATCGTCGCTCCGGCACAGAACAGAGGAGCTGCCTCGACAAATGACATAGTATCGGGTAGTTCAACGGCAGACCTGTAGTCTAAGACAAATACAAGTCCAGATTGCCAATTAGAACAAAAGTGTCTGGGACGAGGGTATTGAGACGAAGACTAACCAACGAGGCAATACTCAGAAAACACTCCTTGACAAGACATTCCGAGGAATCCCCCGTCACTAAGCTTGGTACAATAATTGAGCCGGCCATCCTTACAATCCGGACACGTCCCTACAATATATTAAGTCACAAATTTTGTGAGCGATACCGGACGGTGTGAGTTCGTGGCAGCGTAGTACATACCGCAGTAGCCCATGTAACCGAGGGCGCCAACTCTCTGGCCAATATGCCAACCGTATTTGGCTGCATCTTCGCCTAGGTCAACGACTGTTCCGGCAGGTTCATGGCCACCAATAAGATCGTGCTTGAGGGAAACCGGCATACCGCCGGTGCGAATGAGTTCATCGGTGTGGCAAAATCCCGCAGCACCAGTTCTAAGCAACATCTGGTAGGGATGAAGCTCTGTTGGCACCGGAACGTCCTTTACCACGTACGGTTGGTTGAAACTTTCCTGTTCGCCGTTTGACGATCAACATCTAGATTTCGTGACAGTCTGTCATTCGGTGGCACGGCCCAAGGTACGCACAAAGAGAGCCGCACGCATAGTGCTTGGTATACTGCCATTTCCCATTGTATTTGGGTTGACCTTGGCACTGTGAAGCAGTTAGATTCGTTGGAAAGTTCTGAGATGCCCTGCTTTGGTCGTGGTAAGAAGTGAATGCCTTTCGGCAAACGCCGGCCATGCAACGTGTTTTTTGCGCCACACAACATCGACTATCCCAATTCGGACGGCTTTTGTCTCCCATAAACTCAGTGGCCTTCCACTACAACTATGTCTTCAGTCTCTTGGTACGTGCGCTATCGTTTCAGTTATTTTGAAGAGGGTTGTGGTCTCTGCTCAGAACATCGAGCTCACGCTTCGAACGCGATGATGGCGTCTAAGGACGATTTGAACGCCGATGATGGAATGAACTACTGACCACGGTTGATGGGGGAAAGGTCAGATAGATCAAGATTGTTTGTGATACGAGCGGATAAAGCTTCACTCATACTTCAGCTAGACGCTAGTTGAGACAAAGTCGAGAGTACGGAGTATTGTTGCAAGCTATCGGCGTGGCTTTCCATGGCGAGCACTCTCTCCACGATTGCACCATAGCGTATCCGCCCTCGGCAACCCTTGCTATTATCAATCACTCTGTTATCCAGAGTACTGCTGAAAGTCTCACTCGAGAACCGCGCTGAGTGTCAGCTGCTTCGTCGATTCCTTCCTATTTTTGCTCGACAGAGCCGTCCTCAATGGCGCAATCTCTACATTTCGTATTGCAGCCTCACGGGGCGATTCCCGCTTCCCGCATTCTACTACGGTGACAGAAGTTGTTCTGTTTGCAATATCGTGGTCACTTCACTGCGTTGAACGCTTTGCGGTCTCATTCATCGCAGAAAGGGGGCTGCGTGACAAAACAAACTTCTGTTAGTCGAAGTTCATTGGTCAATCATTCCATCGCTCGCCCGAAGGCGTCCAAATGACTAACGGCACATGAGAATGGTATGCTTTTTGCTAAGTCTGTGGAGGGTACACCCACACACCATAAGAAGGGCCGTAAATATATGACATGCCGATACTACCTTCACCCCATCTCGTCCCATCGCGATCTGTCCCCTCTCACAACTCCGTGAAATATGCCCGTCCCAACACAACTCGGTCAGTTCTCTTACGTTCCTGAAACAAAGTGAGTGATGACTTGCATAGACTGAGTATCATGTTCCAATCAATGACGTATAATATATCTCCCTTCCAAACGTTTAGGGAAAATTTGGACTGGGGTACGTCACTTATTAACTCCACCCATCCACTGGAACGAGAAACTCATTGTCTTGTTACCTCAGCCGATCTCTTGACCGTCGACCTTTCTCTCATCAACACGCCCGAGGGAAAGAAGAAGCTCGCTCAGACATTGCTTGAGGGTGTCCGTGAGAAAGGATTCTTCTACGTGAAGAACTTCAACATCTCTCAAGAGCGCGTCGACCGCCAATTCGCGATCGGTAAACACTTCTACGAGCTCCCACTTGAGGAGAAACTGAAATATGTACCCGATCTTGGTGAGTTCTCATACTGTTCCTGCATGAGCCGGTGTTCACTGAAGACTTCGTTACAAAGCCGCTGGCCAGTTCAACGGCTACGTCCCTGCCGGTCGTCGCGTGTAGGTTACCTTCACCAATTACTCCTACCATGTTGGCTTACGCTTTGGACTCTAGCGTCGACCCTGAGACAGGTCTGAAGGATCGGGTTGAGATCTACAACATCCCCAGTACGCCCTCATTCCAAAACATACCTCTCCTCTCTTCTCATACTGGCCCTTTTCTCTAGAGTTCAATGGGTTCTTCCCCCATAACCATCCGGCACCTGTCGCAGACCACATCGAGGAAATCGAGGAGTTCGCAAGGGTACGCTTTAATATCGCCTCATTGTGTTGAATCATTCACTGACGGAACTCTCTCATCAGGCTCTGCACTCCGAGGTTCTCGATCCACTCTTCGTTCTCCTCGCTGTTGCTCTCGAACTTCCGGAAGACTTCTTCACGAACCTGCACCAGTACCCCAAGAAGAGCGAGGTAAAAGGATATTATTAAACTACTATTCCACTCTTTACTGACATCGCCGAACGCTAGGATCACCTCCGCTACATGAAGTACTCCAAATACACTCCGGAGGAAACGGCCAGACTGAAGACATGGACTCAGGGTCACACTGGTACGTCTTTTTCTGATATTTTTCTGACCACCATCTAATGTTCCAATTTTCCATCTGACTCCCAGATCTCGGCAGTTTCACGCTGCTTTTCAGGTAGTGCCTTCCTTCGTACCTCTTTGCATTCACGTCAACTGACGGAATTTCAGACAACCGGTGGCAGCACTCCAGATCCGTGACCATAAAACCAACGAGTGGAAATGGGCAAAGCCACAGGATGGAACGCTCACTGTCAACGCATGCGACGCCCTGACATTCTTAACCGCTGGCTATGTCAAGAGCACGATTCATCGTGTCACAGTGCCGCCGAAGGATCAGCAACACGTCGACAGGCTCGGGTTGTTGTACTTCTCTCGGTGCGTCCCCTTTTTATGATTGCCAATCTGAAGGGATGTCTAATGACGAGTTTTCATTGTGAGATAGTCCACACAACGATGTGCCGCTCGCTACGATCAAGTCACCCCTCCTTGAGCGCGAAGGCTACACTCAGAACGATTATGAGAAGACCGGCAACCCTGTCCCAACCATGGAAGGTTCGTCTTACATTCGTCACCATCAGTCTCGTTAAGTCTTCTCCTCATGTCTTGCCTTCATCCAGAATGGACATTTGCGAAGCAGAAATGGCAACGCCAACCGAAGGTGGTTGGCGACAAAAGCCACGAAACCGCGCAAATTCTTCCGGGTTACAATGAGAAGGTGTATGCTTAAACGGGGATGATTATATTGTTACTTGTTGTCTTTCAAAACGGAAGGAATTGTAGACTTTGTTGTACAAGTATATCGGAAATGCCATGGTTTAACCCTCCTGGTCTGCACAACCCTCTGTTGCCCTCGGCAAAGTCCGAAAATGCAAACGCCGATTGGGAACGAGGCTCTTACTACTATCTCCCACGACCTTGCAGTAAACTTCCAACCACCTCTCTTTCGAGCAACTTTCGATACTCATCTTCTTATTTATACGTTGTTTCTCTCTTAGGTGAAGAGCACTGTATCACCTCAATCTGAGATTCAGGTAATACCATAGGACACTGTTAATTGATACTCAGAATCTCCGAGACAGCAAATGTTCGAATGGGGAACGGATCGTGTCACGGTGAAAGGTTAGCCCCATTATTGTTTTTGTCGTACAAATTGGTCCAATAGTTCTGCCATACGCATATACACAGGCTATACCGAGGCCTTCGTAGAGCTGCTTGAGCGTCCGGAACACCGATAGCTTTGTGAGGCAGGCAGCGTGGCCTTTCATGGCGAGCGTCCTCTCCACTATTGCATCATTGCATATCCGCCCTCGGCGACGCTTTCTCTTAGGATCAGTCATCCTGGACGATTAGAAGAGTCCTTCTCTGTCGATATGTTGGCCTTTTAATTATGCCCGCCTCCTTCTCATTTTCGCTCGACAGTGCCTTGCTGGATTGCGCAATCCTAACAATAGTGCGCACCACAGCAAGTTCGAATTCGCGGGACGAGTCCCGCTTCCCGCATTCTACCATACAACGGACAACGGCAATCAAAGCCGCAGTGTTTGAAATACCGTAGCTTTCGCTGCAGTGAATGGAATGGTTTTGCGGTGTCGTGTACCGTGGTAAGGGGTCGGCGCAAGTTGATATCACTTGGTCAATCATTCCATCGCTCTGCGAGAAGGCGTCAGAATGGCCCACGATGGTATGCTTTCTGTAGCTTCTCGTGGGACGGAAAAGTATCATAATAAGAGTCGTGCTGAAGATAAGACATACTCATACTACCCTCATCCCATTCCATCCCATCGTCACCTGTCCTCCTTCCACCACTACCACTTACAACTCTCGTGAAACATGCCCGTCCCAACACAACTCGGTCAATTCTCGTATGTTCCCGAGACGAAGTGAGTGTCGAAGTGTACGAGTTTGGTGGTATACTTAGACTGATGACATACGCTTCGCTCTCCCCGCACACCTCAGGGAGAACTTGGACTGGGGTACGTCATTTATTAACTCTATTCATGCACTAAAACGAGAAACTCACTGTGTTCTTACATCAGCCGACCTCTTGACCGTCGACCTTTCGCTCATCGACACGCCCGAGGGCAAGAAGAAGCTCGCTCAGACATTGCTTGAGGGAGTCCGGGAGAAAGGGTTCTTCTACGTCAAGAACTTCAACATTTCTCAAGAGCGCGTCGACCGCCAATTTGCTATCGGCAAACACTTCTACGAACTCCCTCTCGAGGAGAAGTTGAAGTACGTCCCTGATCTTGGTGAGTCTGGCCCCTGTGTCTCCTCAGACGCTGGTATTGAGTGAAATCGTAACTGCGTAGACGCTGGAAAGTTCAACGGTTATACCCCTGCTGGCCGTCGGATGTGGGTGGCTTTTCTTTATGTTTTGGCATCTTTTAGCTGAAGTTCGCGCTTCAGCATCGACCCCGAGACCGGATTGAAGGACCGGATTGAAGTCTACAACATCCCCAGTACGCTTACGTTCGAAATCTTATCTCTTCTTTCTTCTTACAGGATACTATTTGCTTTAGAGTTCAATGGTTTCTTCCCTCGAGGCCACCCCGCACCCGTGGCCAACAACATAGAGGAGATCGAGGAGTTCGCAAGGGTACGTCTCCCTATTCCCCAACGTTTTAAGCTAAATATAGACCTAACGCCGTCATTAGGCCCTGCACTCCGAGGTCCTCGACCCTCTGTTTGTTCTCCTCGCAATCGCCCTCGAGCTTCCCGAAGATTTCTTTACAAACATCCACCAATACGAGAAGAAGAGCGAGGTACGCAGAGTGCTTATTACTGGTCCACCTCGTTCCCCATCACTGACATCATATGGCCTTAGGATCATCTCCGCTACATGAAGTACTCCAAATACAGCCCTGAGGAGACTGCCAGGCTGAAGAATTGGGTACCGGGCCACACCGGTATGTCTTTCCCAACTACTTGTCTGGTCTCCATCTCACATCCTCGCCTTATAATACTTCTAGATCTCGGAAGCTTCACGCTGCTTTTCAGGTGAGGGACTCCATTTTTTTCCTCATCGCCTTCATCTTTGTACTGACCGACCGATTCCATAATAGGCAACCTGTGGCAGCGCTCCAGATCCGCGACCACAAAACCAACGAGTGGAAGTGGGCCAAGCCGCAGGATGGAACGCTCACTGTCAACGCGTGCGATGCCCTGACGTTCTTGACCGCTGGATATGTCAAGAGCACGATCCACCGCGTAGTTGTGCCGCCGAAGGATCAGCAACATGTCGACAGACTCGGATTGTTGTACTTCTCTCGGTGCGTCTTCCGTTATGAATTGAAGCTAGTATGAGAAGCTGACGAATGTACGATGCCTTCGTCTTGTTGCATAGCCCGCACAACGATGTTCCCCTTGCAACAGTCAAGTCGCCTCTCCTTGAGCGGGAAGGGTACACCCAGAATGAGTTCGAGAAGACCGGTAACCCTGTTCCGACCATGGAAGGTATGTCGTATACTACTTCATTTTAAGTCCCGCTCTCATCCTATTGTCCCTTAGAATGGACGTTCGCGAAGCAGAAGTGGCAGCGCCTGAGCAAGGTCGTTGGCGACAAGACGCACGAAACCGCTCAGATTCTTCCGGGGTGGAACGAGAAGGTCTACGCTTAGAGGAGAGTAGTGTTGTGTATTGGAACAAATGTAGCTGCGAAGATGTACGCGTTTATGTTGTAGACTTCACTGTAGGAGTATATTGCGCCACCAGCATGGATTTCATTTGGGTCTTTCTTGCTACGTCACTGTGTGCCACACCTCTCGCATTGTTTGTGCCTGTTGATTTCGAAAGGCATTGGACAACACGAACAAACAACGCCTGACGGCTTGCGGGAATGATCTGCAAGCTTGAGCCAAGCCTTTCCGCCATCTGCCGTACACACTCTCAATATCTCTAATAACTACCTAGCGGTCGGCTGAAAGGAGCTGTAATACCTCATCGCTCTGGTTGCTGGTCGCCACATCTCACACTCATTCCTTCATGAATACAACCGACGACGAGCCCCGCACACCCGTCGCCGTCAAAGCCCTTGCCTCTAAATTCGAACGGCTCGGGCTCGACACATCACCTGCGACGCTGAACAAGCTACATGCCACGAACGGTCATCACAGTATTCATGCCAGCATCGGCGGGCAGCAATATCTGTCGGCAGAACCATCCAGTCCTCGACCGCGAGCCCTGTCCAATTCGCATGTCGAGCCCGCCAATTCACCCTCCCGTTTAGTTCGCCAGCATTCGTCGTCATCAGATCTCAAGAATGGCATGAAACGACCCCCACCGCCTCCGCCGCCTTCGAGAGGTCTCAAACCGTCAGCACAACCGCGGTCAAGCTCACCTTCGCCGATGGCCTCGCCTTTACTGCGTCCTGTTCCCGTTCCGGTGCCGTCAACTTCTGGATATGCTTCCGATGCGTCAATCTCGAGCCAGGCTTCATTTTCTCTCAAGCGGAAACCACCACCGCCTCCGCCGCCGCCATCTGCCCAGCCACCGTTGGTAGACTTGGATCAGGAGGAGACTGCCCAACCTCCGACAGGAGGTGTGGCGAACCTTCGGAACAGATTTTCGTGAGTGTTTATCCTTATTCTATCACTTCTGTCTATCCCCTAGCTGTGTTTTGCTGTATTGTGAGGGCTGCGGTCTCCGAGACTGTTATTGACAGGAGTCGCCGAGGCACTTTCGGTGGACTGCGTTGTCACGTGACACGGGCAGTTTTCCATACCCCGTTACAACGGGAAGGCCTCGCAACAGTTGCCCTATAAAACGTGTACACCCTTGTTCTTGTTTATCCTTTCGCACTCCACCGTTCTGCAACGATCGAAGCGATCGAGAGCATTCTTCACAATGCACAACCGGGCTGTTTTTGTGAGGACGGGTATCATGGCTATCATCTAACACTTACAGGCTATTCGCTCGAACACGGCGTTCCATGTATGCTCTATTTTTGCTTTTGCCGGTCTTTGTCGGTAGATTAGAATGGGCGGTGGCACTTGCACTGCGTCCTGCTGCGTCGCGCACAGGCCATTTTACCCCTGTGGCGCACCAGGTCTGGGCCACATTCCGCGCGTACATTGCGTACCGCAAGGGTTTAGTGAGATATTTTTACCTCACGGTCATGACGTTGAGCTCATCTCTACGTCTATCATCTGTCCGACTTAATAATTCCAGGACAAGCACTTCATTTGAGGAGATAGCTGCTAACCTGATCGCTCCAGGGGTTCCCCGATTGCTTCACCGCCCAAATCATTGACTCCCAAGCCCCGAATCGTTCCGCAAGGGACTTCGGTACAACCCAACATACCACAACCTGCACTATTCGCTCGCAAACCACCACCGCCACCACCATCGGCTCCCGGTCCCTTTGGCTCCCCTCCCTCACCAACACACTCTTCTCCCAACTCTTCGAAATCCCCGAGCATTAACATACGAGAATCCTCGGATTCAGGCTCCGACGCAGAAGATGAACTGGGCACCGTTTTTGCCGATCGCTCCATAGCTAGCGATATCTACAACCTGCGCAATAACGTTCGGGACGATCGCATGCATTCTTCTCCTATTCTTGAAGACCACACGGTCCAAGCACAAGCTCCGTACGACTCCAATCCCACCTTACCATCTCGTCCTGCCCCTCCAAGACCACCTCCCCGCCAGCGAGCGACAATGGCTACAGGTCTTGATACTCCAGGTCCTGTAAATGGTTTCGTTTCGCATACGAATCTTACGCAGATGCAAGCCAATCCGCCTCCGCTCCCCAACCGTCGCAACACTGCAGGAGTGCCGCCACCGCCACCCGAGCGCATCCATCACCGTCATATCTCAGTCGACGAAGAACCTCACGTCTCTTCTCCTCCCGACGACCTTGCCTCTCCTCCCACCGCCGCCGAGAACAACCGTGTGCTGAGCCGTCTACCTCCGCCGCCGACACGCAAGCTCGCACCAGGCGACAAACTGCCTCCCGCTCGTCGCAACACTTCCGAATCCTCAGACGAGTCCGATGCGCCAGACGACGAGAAATCTCGCGCGGCGGATGGAATGCCCGATACGTCGCGCGCATCCCGTCGTGCGCCTGTGCTCGTCGCGCACTCGCATTCGGAGAGCCATATACATGTGCCGGCGCACGTTGGCTGCGTTATTCAGGCGGCGCACGTCGTTGTGGTGGGGAATGGACATCAGTTGAAGGTGTTTGATCTGAGTATTTCGGAGATGCCGATTAAGGTGATTAAGGGGGAGGACGTGAGTTATTCGAGGGAGTTGAAGCCGAGCGCGTTGCAATGGCGGGGCACGAGCGACGATGAGGAGAGGGGGAGGTATCTCTGGATAGGGACGAAGGAGGGGCATCTGTTCGAATGGGATGTGTTGAGGATGTGTTGTACGGGTCAGAGGCTGGCGATCCACGCGGGTCAGACGATATTGAAGATCATGCGGTGTGGACTGGCGATGGTGAGCGTGGACGAAGCAGGGAAGGTGATCGTCTGGGTGCCGGCGAGAGAAGGGATGGAAGGGATGAACTACATGGACACATTTAAGGTCTTCCGCATCCCGGAGAAATCGACGTGGTTCGACATCTTTGACGCGAGACTGTGGACCGCGACGAGGGAGACAAAGGGCGAGTCGGCGGGACGGGGCCCGCCGATCAAGTGCTATTCGTTGTTCGATAAGGCGGACAGTATCGGGCGGACGCTGCTCACGTCGGAACATACGGCGCCTGTGCTCTGTGCGTCGATGTTGCCCTCGCAGCCGGACACGATCTATGTGGGCCATGAAGGTGGTTTTGTCTCGATCTGGTCCTTGGCGCTCGAGGCGGACCGCATACCGAAGTGTGTGGAGGTGAAGAAGATCTGGGCGTCGGATGTGTTGTGCATGAAGGGTGTGGGCGATAGGCTGTGGATGGCGGGTAGGAAGGGAACGGTGAATTGTTATGATGTGGGGGAGAGCGCTGAGGGCGAGCAGGATGTGCAGCAGGGTGGGAGGAGGCCGTGGGTGCTGACGAATCAGTGGGTTGCGTGTGGGAAGGTGGAGAAGGGGAAGGAGGGGACGCCGGTGACGGGTCTCGAGGTGGATATGGTCGGTCTGGAGAAGCTGGGGAGGTTGTGTGTGATGAGTTGGGGGAGAGATGAGAAGGTCAGGTTTTGGGATGGGTTAATGGGTGACGATTGGATCGGTAAATCTTCTTTTCTCTTTTCGAAGGACAGCTAACCAACATATGGATCATAGATAACGAACTCATCAAACGCGAGACGTCTTTCAGTACCTATCGCTCTCTCAACGTTCTCATCGTCTCCTGGAACGTCGACGCTGCCAAACCCGACGCACTCACTCAGCCTGGGAGTAGCCCGGAAAACATCGCCTTCCTCTCTGACGTGCTCTCCACCGTCGATTCCCCCGACATCATCGCCTTTGGCTTCCAAGAACTCATCGACCTCGAGTCTCGAAAGATGGCCGCAAAATCGGTCTTCCTCGGTGGTGGGCTCGGTAAATCCGACACTCACGACAAGGGAGGAGACGACAGTCCAATATCGGACAAGGTGTCTAGTTCGTACAAGAGGTGGCACGAGAGACTGGTATTGGCGGTCAGACTGGCCATGCCGCCGGACGCGCCGTATACGGTGATTCATACGGAGAGTTTGGTGGGGCTGTTTAGTTGTATCTTCGTGAAGAATGCGGAGAGAGTCAGTTTGAGAGAGGTTGCGACGGCGACTGTGAAGCGCGGTATGGGTGGACGTTATGGGAATAAGGTCTGTTTTTTCATTCATTCTCGAGACCGAGTGTGTCTAACCATGTGTGCAGGGAGCCATCGTATCCAGAATGGTCATCGACGACTCGTCGATCTGTTTCCTCAACTGCCATCTGGCTGCCGGTCAGCATCACGTTCGTCAACGTAATGCGGATCTTGCAGCTATGGTGGAGCAGAAGGGACTCTTCCCAGAGTCTGAAACCGTCGAAGACTCGCTCGTGTTCGTTGGTGGTGGCGATGGGTCCATGGTTCTTGACCATGAAATCGTCTTCGTATGTCCGCTTTTCCTATTCACTAAGGTCCAGACTACTGAAACTCTGTTGACAGCTCAACGGCGACATGAACTACCGCATCGACCAACGCCGGGATGCCGTCATCTCCGCCATCCGTAACGATACCTACCGTTCCCTCATCGTGCACGACCAACTGCACAAAGAAATGCGACACAACCCCGCCTTCCGACTTCGTTCCTTCACCGAAGGCCCGCTCACCTTCGTACCCACATACAAATACGACCGTCATTCCACGGAATTCGATTCGTCCGAAAAAGCGCGTATACCCGCTTGGTGCGATCGCGTACTGTGGAGGGCGAGAGATATGGAGCGCGTGAGGCAGCTGCATTATCAGAGGTACGAGCCGGACGTGAGCGATCACAGGCCGATCAGCGCGGCGTTTGAGATGACGGTGAAGAGTGTGAGGCAGGATGCGCGGGCGGCGTGTAAGGCGGAGGTGCAGAGTTTGTGGGTGGAGGAGCAGATGGAGAGGTTGGGGATGGCGAGGGCGTTTTATGTGGAGCATAATTTGATGTGATATGGACTGGGTTTTTGAATGTTGTATTTTTCTTTTTCTTTTCGATTTTTCTTTTCTTTGTGACCTTTTCTTTTTCTTTCTTTATTCTAATCAATGGACTTGGGGTTTCGTTTTGTCCGTCTCGAGACCGTTCTATGTTATTTTTTTTCGGATGGCTTGTACCTTTTTGCGGCACGTCTTGATTCATACTTCTTTCCTCGCTCTTTTCTTTATGTGTTTAGACCGGAGGGGTACGCCCGTCAAAGGGAGCTCGCAGAAGTGTATATGTGTAGGAGCGATGATGTGTTTGCACGGACTCCGCAGTCGTACGTATCGTGGTGGGACCCCTCCTCGGACCTTTCGATAGCATGCATGTAATTAGCAGTAGCACACAGTAGAGTATAGCTAGCACATTATAATAATCTTTATTGGACGTTGGACGATGTATATTGGTTACATGGAAGGGCTCTAGTTAAATATAAGCACTACAGCGCCGGCAAGGAATCGTACACATCTTCATTGAATTGAATAAAAGGACGTTCAGACGTTCTCACCGACATCTGCCTCTCGTACCCCTCTGATTCCCTCACTCAAAACCCCCATCATCTTCCCCCATCCCTCCCTCATCCCGCTCATCGACATCGGCACCAACCTCGGGATCGCACTGTTCCGAAACGCCATGACGAACCTCTCCGGCGAGCCGCGCGATTCCCAGGAGGTGAGGAGACACCAGGCGACGAGGACGGCGACGAGGGTCCAGGTGGAGCCGATGGTGGCGCGGGTGGTCGTGGAGGAGGTCCAGAAGCAGAGGAAGGAGCAGGAGGAGAGGAAGGAGAGCATGCTGTATATGGGGGGTGGGAGAGGAGAGAGGGAGGTCAGACAGAGGGAAAGATGAAGTTAGAGGTGGGAAGGAAAGGAGGGTGGGTGGAGAGAGAGGACTTACGCCCAGAGAAGGAGCGCGTAGGGGAGGGTGTAGAGGAGCGCTAGGGTCTCGAGACCGCAGAAGGTTTGGGACTGTCTTTGTATGAATTCGGCCTGCACGGGTGTTTGAGTGTGATACCTATCTCTTGGGACTGCGAGAGCGAGAGGGGGTCTTACCGCTTGGTCGATGCGTTTGAACGCTGGGCGACGGTGTTGTCTTTGCAGGATTAGTGCTATATATCGTTTTCGCATTAGCGTTCTCGCCCTTATATTCGAGAACACAGATGGGTAGAGTAAGGGGAAAAGGCGTACAGAGGATGACACAGCCGAGACTGGTGATGAGCGACATGTACGAGGCGATCTGGGTCGAGGACCGGTTCGAGCCTGCGTTATCGACGGATTGAATGGCGAGGAGGCCGACGTTCGCGGTGAGGAGGACGGTTCCCTGCCCATGAGATTAGAGTGGTGAGTTGAGAATGACTTCACCGGGACTAATCGACATTACTGGGAGCAAGAGAGGATATGGAAGTATGGAGGGAGCGAGGACGGGAGGGCGCAGGGGATAGGGAAAAGAGGGGAAGAAGTAAGAAGGGAGGACTGACGAGATTCGCATGTTCCTGCCATTGTGTGATCAGCTCGTCCTGAAACACAGCCCACGAATGTCGATTGATAAGTCCGCATTTGCAGACTTGTTCGAGCGTCTGCAGTTGGGCTTCCTATGTACGTACGCACAAGCCCATCCTCAGCATCAACAAACATCTTCATCTTCCGCCCTTGAAATCAGGATATGGCGGGGAGACTTACGGGCGCGAAGAAGAACAAAGGCGAGACAAGCGTGAGCAGTAATGAACGCGGGGTGCAGTCTGAGTCTGCGTTCAGGCCGTGGTAGGGGGACTGGTCCGTGCTCAGACGAGCGCCGGGTTGGCCGTGCAGGTTTAGGAAGCGGTGTTGGGCTTTTGTTACGAGGTTATTCGATGTTAGGTTTGATAGTTCGGGAGGAGTAATAGCAAGAGAACTCTTGCGTACCTAGTTCTCTCATGAATCGACCTGGCGAAAAAGTCACAGTGGACATGCGATAAGTGTCTGGCTCATGGTGGCACAGGGTCACAGATCGTAGAGGGTGAAGAGGGAAGCTCACCGATCGCGCATGCAGACCCAGGGGCTACGTATCCTGCGTTCTCTGATCACCATTGACAAAACATACACATGAACATGCATTAAATTTTAGATTATGAAGTGGTGGTTATTGTGGGAGTGGACATCGGGAAGGATAATCACGTACTTTCGATCTGGTCTACGAGACCGTGCAAGGCCTGGAGGTCCTGCAGCGCGAAGGGGACGGTGCTCGTGAATGAGGTCATCACGCCTATCCCATTGTCAATATCAATATCGTCAAACAATGCCCTGAGACTTGGGTATGGAGGTGTTGAGGAGGACGAAGAGTGCCAAGAAGGACCGCTCACCAACGACACCATGCGTGACCTGATCTCGCAATTCAGCGATGAGCGGGCCTGTGACCGTACGCAGATGAGGAAAGAGATCCCAATGGGTCCAATATTCCGCCTCGACCTGATGTCCTACCGCACAACGTACACCATTAGCATCTCTTCCCTTTCCTCCTTATCCTCACTGACACTTAGTGGACAGGAGGGGAGGTTAGGAGGGGAGGTTAGGAGGTGGAGGACGAGAAGGAAGGGATTCACTCAAGTGCCCCATCCCAAGCACCGGCATCCCCGCCGGACACAGATACGCCGTCGGCATATCGTCAAACCAATAAACGAGCCGGCGCGCGTGCGAGACGAGGTAGTAGCCGCAGACGAGCTCGGCGTTGGCGTCTCCGTTGGGAGTAATGTCGAGGACGAGTTCGGTATCCGTATCGAGGGAGGGGGTGGGGGGAGAAGAGGAGGACTCTTTGTTTTTAATGGAGAGGGCGTCTTGGTTCCTCACAGATTTTCCCTCGCTGCCCTCATGCTGGGGTAGAAAATATTCATTCCCGTGCTGAGAGAGAAAATCCCGGATGGAGCGCACGAAACCCATCGTCGCTTGATAAGTAGGGGCGTCGTGTAGGTTGGCCTCGGTGAGTATGTGCTGTGGTGTGGGTGAGCATCGGCTTTTCAGCGGATAATGTGTGTGCCAGTGAAAGTGAGCTCACGTATTTTTCGTGGTAGAAATACATCGCGCCGAGTGGATGCGTGTATTCTTTCCAGCCTGAGGGCGGGAGATGACTGTCGATGTCGAAGGAATGCACGTCAGGAACAGTTATAGGACAGGATGCATTCATCACAGGCGTGAATGAGAACGGAGGAACGGAAGGGGGGGGGGAGAAAGAAAAGAGGAGATATGGGAAACGGGGAGTGAGTAATAGAGATGAGAACTGGAAAAGAAGGGAGAACTGACTCCGTATAATCCATCGTGCACGCCGGTATCGACTCTATCTTCGTTTCGTTCTCGCTATTTAACGCATCCATCCGTCAGCATCAGCCTTTCAAGCTTCAAGTCCGCAAAATCCAAGTCGAAGACATAGTCGCATCAGGAAGAAAAAGAGAAAAAAACGCACACTCTAACCCCCCTCTGAAATCTCTCGAAACAGGACGGCGGGATGGGGTATACCATCGGGTTGGCGGAGAGGTGGGCCTTTTGCGGTTGCGGTTGTGAGCGGGGAGGGGATGGGTTGTTTGGGGGATTGTGAGGGGCGGGCTCTGGTGAGGGCGATGGGGAGCGGGATGAGGAGGTTGACGAGAGAGGGGAGGGGGAGGGAGTAGTGAGAAGTGTCGAGGATCCGGTGGATGAGGTTGAAGAAGAACGTGCAGAAGAGCGTGCAGAGGTAGAGGAAGAAGAAGAAAAGTCGGTTCGATTCCTATCTTCATCTTCATCTTCGTTGGAGGGCGGGCGGGATATATGACTCGGATGAGGATCGGACGGTAAGGTCGCCGTTGCGGGTGGCGCTTGCACTTGCGATGGTACGCAAGACGGAACAGATTTAGACCCAGACGCAGGTCTATCAACTCCTCCACCATCTCTCGCTCCTCCTCCTCCTCCTCCTTCAGTACGCGCACCTCCTCCCCCGTCAGCACCAGCATCATCACGAACACAATACAACGGCAACGACAACACCTGACCCTCCCTCTGCCTCGAATGCCCAGGTGAGAAAGAGGATAGGAATGACCGAGTGGTTTTCCATTTGAATTTGGATTTGAACCCGCCCCTGAGGAGACGGAGCAAGAAATGGAGGAGGTTCAGGGCGCGTTGGGGCCAGTAAGAGGAAGGAATACGAGGGCGAGGAAGGGTCGAAGGAGGGGGAGTGGCTTGGACGAGGGAGGAGGAGGGTTGGGCGGACATCTCAGGCTGCTGTCAGTGACTCTGAGCAGATGAGAAAGCGAAAGAGAGCTGCAAAAACAGATGACCTCGGACATCATCCGTCTTCTGTCTTAGGCTCGTCACGACGGGTCAAGGACGGGTATCATGTCCATGAGGCCTGAGGTATCGTATCGAAGAACGTGAATGGCCACAGCCTATGCATGGGAACATAGGATAGCTTTAAAGGCGTGGCGTTCATACGACATGAGAGACACAGCCGCCGATACTTGGGTATGCTGCCAGCCATTGATAGTCGTGATACTTACACTGGTGACTCGGAGTAGTAGAGCTGCTCAGAGGTTTGGATGCGGTGTATGGTACTTATATTCAGAGACAAGGATGCTGAGACTGATCATCGTCGAGGTCATCGGATTATTGCATAGGAATTGAGTGTACCGGGAGAGACCGCCTCTTTGTTATCTGGCCAGTGTGAGTGCGGGAGGGAAGAACATGACGGGGTTTGCCGAAGGTTAACACCGCCGACTATCATGGGCTTTGTCATCGTTGTCTGAGTGCTCGGAGGTACAACTGGCTGCGGCACAGGAGCGAGTAGAGGATCAAGGAAGGGGGCGGGCTGAGAATTCATGGCAGCGGGTCGTCGAGGGGATGATGCCGGCGACGCTGATGCCTTCTTGCTCAGGAAACGAAATTGGCCGCACCCGCCAGCCTTTTTATCACACTGTGCATGTATTGATTCAGTCTTTGAGGTGTTAGCTCATACAACAACGGTCAAACGTACGGAGTAGTAAGCGCGACCAAAGTTTGCTTTCCTTCGGTCCTTCACTACCCGCCAGGAGCACACGCGACTGCAATCGGGGTTCCCACAATAAAAGGGGTCGGAAGGCGGAGATTCCAATATCATTATCGATGAGGATGTAAAGATAAGAAAGAAAACGAACAAGCGTAGGGAGATACACCCTGGCGGGCCTGTCAGAGAGAACAAAAGGTGGCGCGGGAGGAGGACACAGAGCCTGTACGGCGCTGCAGCTATAAGTAACTCGACGGGCTGTGCGAGCTTCGAAGTTCAACATGATCTGATACATTAGAAGACATCTATATAGACGGAGGATGTGACGATCGGATGGCAGACCGGACGCCACAAATGTTGCACACCCGATTAGGCATTGAGTGGAGTGGCGCGATGGAGTGGAGAGTGGAGGATGCGTGGAGAGTCGGAAAGCTGACTTTTTTGCGACTAGGAGCCTTTCTATCGTCTCTACAGCTCCACCGCGACGGACCACTTCTACACCGCCTCTGCGACCCAATTAAACAATGCTGTGAGCAGCCGTTCGAGTCGGTGTAAGCTTGGATATATCCGAATCAAGTGTGCGGGAGTTTGCCGCTGCTTAGGGCTTATAATGCGCAGGGGACGCACGAATGAGACGGAGCACGGGAGTGCGCCGGTTGCAGGAGGGGATAGAGGCGAAGGTGTCGTGGGGTATGTTTTACCCGCTTGAGCCTTTGACGGTCGCTATGTTGTTCAGCAAGTTGAGTTGATTATACGATTCACTGGACTTGTTCTAATATCAACATTTCGACAGCGAGAGGGAGGAAGTCTGTGCAAAGTCTGTGTGCGCGATTTAGTTATGCTACCACATAACTCACCTAACGAAACGACAACTTAAGCTCGTGTCTCGACTTTTCGTTGTGATGTTGCTACTTAAGCCTGACGATAAACCCAGATGAGGTGAGAGTGATGGACGAGAAAGACGAACCGTAAGAATTTCATGCTGTGGTGAAGATGGGCTCATATCACCCCTCACCACTGTCAGGAAATCACTCCAGCGTCCGCGATTGGTCCGCGACCAACATCGACTTCGGGACAGGATACAGAGAGCTTGTTTCAGGCGAAATTGATTGGTTATTCTAGCTAAGCGGCACACTCAGCGGCGCTCTGAACGGAGCAGAACCTGTTCGTAGATCGTTACATCTGATCACATAGATCCTGACATAGGTCATTCTTGTTCACCTCCTTGATCATCAGACACCCAAGCTCACTTGCTCGTTGCCATCTAACTTGTAGCGCAGCTACAGGGCCTGCTACGGAGCGTATTGTTAGCTGCCCTGCCCCACTTCGTTCTAGGTATTCCATCTATCAAACATGTTACCCGACGACGCTGCGCGGCTGATAGGTGAGAACAGTTTTGGTATTGTAATTATGTTATAATTCTGAGTTTGTGATGTTGTAGCTGAGAGTGTTTTTGGACTTTATGTAATAGTTCTAGGTGGGTGGTTCGTGTCGTTATCGCAGCTCGGTTGGTTTTCGTTTTCTTTCTCTTTGCCGCCTTTCCCCTCAATATTCTTCTGTTCACCTTTCTCTCTCTCGCTATAGCCATCGTTGTTGTTGTTGTTGTTTGTGACACTGGGAAGGTGCGCCCCAAGTTCACTGTGGAAGCGAAGGTACAAGGATCCAGTGAAGAAGAGGGCAAGGGAAAAGAGAGAGAGGGAAGGGGGCGAGCGTACGTTAAAGTAATTCGTTCGTTTCGTCTGTATCCAGGACTTTATCTTGACCAACAGATGACGGAACGCGCCAAGTATAGACGAGACGGTTGATCCTGTCCACGCATTGACTGCCGTAGTCCCGGGTATGTAGATCAATCCGGTAAGACATGTTTTGGAACTTAACACAGATTTTGTACCCGTCTTGATGTTGCTGACTGCGACACTGGCAACCAGATCTTGGGGTGTTGCCGTTTCTCGTTGTTTGAGATTTTCGTGAGAAGCACTGAATACATATAAATGTCGTAGGATTCGGGATGCCTACCCATCGTTTGAGCACAATACTTCCCCTGCCATGTCCTCAGCAGCAGATCTCTTGCAGCAGATCATCCTCGAAGACCGGTCATGGTGGGTCATATTCAAGACATAAACATCCCACATTGTTCTAATAAGTAGCACACTCTAGGGTCATAATAGATTATATAAACCTATCTGCAATAAGTTCGTAGTTTTGATTTCTTGGAGTTCATCGCAAAACCCGAGCTGATGATTATCTCTGTAGCTCTATGGCTAGTCGATTTTTTTGACACCCTAACAATGGAGATCGAGGCCGCGTGGAAAGGGAGAATGACAGGGACTGCAATAATCTTCATTGTGAACCGCTATGCATTCGCAGGAAACCTCATCGTTCAACTTGTATTTCAGAAGCCTGGTCTTGCGTCTAATAAAACGTAAGTTCTCACCTAGCTTGCATCCAACAAACACATCAATTGATGTTTCAGTTACGTTCCTGTCAGTTGTAGCTCTCTCTATACCGCGCTTTCATGGCTGTCGATCACTGCACTTGTGGCTACAAACCGTCAGTGCCAAGCAAATACCGCTCATGCAATTTATGATACTAATCCGTTGTATTTGTTATTCTCAGTATTGTTCAGCCTGAGAATCTACGCCCTGTGTGGCCGGAACAAAGTGATTCTTACCATAGGATTGATCATGATAATTGCCAGACTCGCTGTTGACACTTGGGTAAGCTCCTATTCTGAGGTAGTGCATGCGAAAGAAAATGCTCATCCTTGGTTCATCCCATGGTCTCAGCAATATACTTTGAGTGTGGGAATATCCTTGAGAGGCACTCAATATGATGTGTTTTCAAATTGTGGAGGCAACTCTGACCCAAGCTCTTTTGATCGGTGAGTTTTTTAGAATGCCGTTATGGTACCCTTCACGTTGACGCAACCACGAATTAAAGATGTACGTGAACCAGATGTGAACACCCACGATCAAGTAACTGAAGTCAACCCTTCGATAATGTATTTGACGCAGCCCAAATCGTAGTCGTAGTCATGCCTCTCCTTTTCGACTCATATGTGTTCGGAGTAACACTTTTCAAAACATACCACCAGGCGAAGGAAATGCGTGAGCTCAAACAAAGAAGCATCACTGAGCTTCTCCTTCGTGACGGTACTACTCTGTATTTGTTTCTCTTGCCTCTATGGTACTCACAGATGATTAGGGGTCTTCTACTTTTTGTATGGGACACATTCAAAGTTATGCATATCAGCTTTCAAAATACGCTGATTATATGGATCATAGTGTTGTGTTCGCAGTCTCGGCCGCAAATCTTGCTCTTAATTTGGTACGCATTTTACCTATGTATTGGTATCGTCACTCAAATTGACACCTCAGATTTCATTAAACGAAGTAAGTCACATTGCCCTCTTGTCCACAAATATCGATTGTATGTCCACTGCCAATAGAACACTTCCGATGCTGTGTATCTGTTGTCGAGCAGTCTAACTCCGTACTTCGCAGTGTAAGCTGCAATTCTTCTTATGCATGATGATACTATGTCAACATTCACGTCGTTTACACAACTATCAGGCTTCCGAATCTACTCATCAACCGTTTATACCTGAATCTTCGAACCTGGAACCTTCCACCCGCCTCTTTTTCAAACCACAGTGCTTTAGGAGAGCCTGCGTTTGCTCAGAACCGCTTTCTCGGTAACATCGGGGAGCCTCTTGACCCCGACTGGTGGAACACTCAATTCGACCACAGTGACGATACTGCACCGGATGGAAATATGGCAGATGCCTCGGAGACGACGGATATTCGGGATAGAAATACTACACTGGTCCCTGTGGTAAGAATATTGCTCTTGAGTGATTATGCAGAGAAACACTGAAATGTCGTATAAGGTCTACGGTGGGGGAAGCCAGGGAGAAATAGAGATGGTTCCGCTTCAAAGAGAACCACCCGTTGCGGGTCTGTCAAGCTCTTCCGCAGATATGGCTTAGTATAGACATTGTCGCTCCTGCTGGTAGGTACAATCCGGTTGCACTTACAAATGGTAACGTGGCTTGCTGATGTGTTCCGATTTTAGCCTTCGACTTGTCCAGGCTTACCGTAAGGTACAGGGGCGTACAGGCTCATTCAACCGCCTGACAACTTATCTCTTGCTTATTATTTATTCCATGACTCGCATCTAATATCTATGACTCGAGCCATTGTATCTTCGACATATCTTTCTTGTTCATCCCCGTGAGCTAGACTCACTAGGATCATCTTGGTATATATATAATCGCATTCTGCTTGAGTCTGAATAGTAACTTTGAATCTGGTGCGATTTTATACACAACAGAGCGTGGCCTCCATACGAAGATTTTACAGCTTCGCGCTGCAAAATGCTGTGATGGCTTTCTTAGACAGAAGATAGATAACCTGTCAGATATCTGAGTAAGGAAGAAATCCAATCAGGCCCGGTACATTGAGGTTTTCGGAGGTATGATCTGTGGCTACTCTGTTTGACCGTGGCAAACCACGAGCTCAGCCGCCCAGCTGAGCTCATCATTCTACCCTCGGCGTACAGACTCAGTACTGAGAACCTTCCAGAAAATAAATCTTGGACACCCCACCATTCTCAGATATTATCTGAGCTCAGAAGACCTCGCAGAAGCTAGTCTACGCTCGTAAGATCCCAATCACGATCAAATTGCCTGTTGCAGTGGGCGAGAACCTGCTCCGATCTGGTCGGACCTAAGACGACTTGTGCGACTAAAGCTGATGCTAACGCCGGAGGACAAAGTCGGACGAGCTCCGCCGAGCTCTGACAAACGGGTCTGAACTGTAACGCGTCCGAGCGCGTCGTCAATTCACGTCCATTTTTCTCTGAGCTTCCAGACCTTGAACAACCGCGAATAACCCCAGAAAACCACGTCTGAGCTCGTACGTGCTCTTCTGCGTTCAGCCAACCTCGTCGAACCTCAGAGAAATTTAAACAACTTCAACTTCAATGTACGTGACCCTCCTCCATTTTCCTTTGTATGACCCCATTTTCAAAATTACTACTAAAGAACTATTGTCCAAGAAAAACCTCCATACCATGCACTCACCTCTTCTCTTGAGGCATGAATATGTCATGCATAGACGTATATCGCAGCTCGCTGGAGTTCTTCCTCGGCACTGACGTGACTCGGACCAGACTAAGGAAAGGCGCGTAAGTAATGCCAATGCGTAGTCCTTAGACTCGTGGCTCATATAAGCAGTCGGGATTTGATCTTTATATTATCTCCAAGAGGTATGCTGCTCGAAGGCGAATATCATATCATCTCAGATTGGGCTAGGGCATATTTGTAGCGATTCGCGAACACCAGCCCCCGACAAGACCCAAAACCCCACGCCAAGCACGAAGAAACAAACAATTTTTGTAACACTCACATCAACATTCCGACACTTATTCGGCCTCGCCAACCTCTCAAACGGCGTCTCTATATTCTCTGAATCCGCCGGTATATACCGAATCTCCTGGACCAACCACCACTGATAACTATTACTATCGTCTATCAACACCAAACTATCCCCTTTCACAACACTCACCTGGCCTTTGACCGTCACCGCAAAGCTATGCAACGAATAGACCAAGTCGAAGTCGTGACTCGTGAGTCGTTGGGGATGGAAAGCGAGGAAGAACGGTCGTCGTCATCGTCGAGGTATTCTTCGTGCTCGCCTTCTTCGGAGTCGTCTTCGAAAACATAATGCTCCTCGTCGGACGAGTAGTTGTCCCCCATGTCCCTTGCACCTGAAGACGCCATTTGCTGCTGTTGAAGCTGTTGATGCGGTTGAGGATGTTGGTGGTCTAGGTGGTCGTCCGTGACGATCTGGTCCCGAAGGTCAAACGTCGCGTATAGAGTCCGGTACGCACTACGCACTACGTATGCCGAAGAAACGAAAAACGAAATGAAAATGGAATAAAGCAAGGACTGGGTGCGGACGAGGACGAAGATATCTGGGCTGCTGCTGCGTGGCGGGGCTGGCGCTTCTTTCTTAGATACCAGGAATTTCGAACTCCGATGTGGCCCATCTTTTTTGGTTGGACTTGAGTTCTACCAGTGTGGCGCAAACAAGCACACTCGATTGAATGCAGAAGAATGATAGGCAGCCTAGTAGTAGTAAGGATGGGCGAATCACTGTAGTATTGCATGGTAACGGAAAGAGATGAGAGGACAGGCTTGATTATTATTCTGTACTACATACGGGGGTTACATCTATCTAATGAAAACAAAGAGGCGCAGGGCTACATTCCAAACTATAAAACTACAATCCATGTATTCCTCTTCTTCACAATTCTACTTCCTCCACGTCTTCAACTCCTCATACGCCCCAACAACCTTCTTATTTTCCTCTGTCCCTTGCTTGAACCCCAACACCTCCTCCACCGCGCCCTCGATCCCCAGCCTCTCCACCTTCCCCCTCAACTCGACACTCTCCTCGTCCCCCTCCGCCTCAAACATAAACGCCGCCGCGATCCCCTTCGCCAGATTATCCCAGCCCAATCCGTACTCGAGCGCATACTTCACCGGCCCCATCAATCTATCGCCTTTCCCCAGTTTACGCAGCGGCTGCCTCCCAACGCGTGTCACTTCGTCGCCCAGTTTCGGATTCTCGAACCGATGGATGATACGCAATATATACCGCGAATGATGTCCAGGCTCAAACCCATACTTCCGCACCAACGTAGCCCCGCTCTCTTCCAACGCACCCTTCACGGTCTCATACACCCTCTCGTCACGAATCGCGGCGTCGATGGTGGTGTAGCCCAGGATGAAACCGAGGTAGGAGGTTATGGCGTGCCCGGTGTTGAGCGTGAAGAGTTTGCGCTCGAGGTAGCCGGCGAGGTTGGAGGTGGATTTGAGGGAGGGGATCGTTACAGCCATTGGGGTAGGTTTGAGGGAACGTTGGTCGACGATCCATTCGTAGTAGCCTTCGACGCGGACGCCAAGGGGGGTTTGGGGTTGTGTGCCGGTGAGAGGGGAGAGTGTGTTGGTGGAGGAGAGAGGGAGGGGGGTGGAGGAGCGGGTGGGCGAGAGGGAGTCAGCAGGGGTGGAGGGGTGCGAGGGGGTTGCGGGGGGGACGATGCGGTCGACAGAGCAGTTCGCGAATCTATTTGTGGCAAGCGTAAGTAAAGCAGAGATAGGCGCTCAAGCTACCAAAAAGACGAACCCAACATTCTCACTAACCCACGCCCGATCCTCCTCATCTTCCAGATGCTCAAACACGTACCTCCGCAGCGTCGCCGTCTGCTGCACCATATTCTCACACGCAATCACATTCACCGGCCCACTTTCCCCCAACTTCCTCCTCCTCGCCTGCAGACCCCGCGCGATCACCGGTGCGACTTTCTTCAACACCACAGGCCCCACCGCCGTCGTCACGATATCCAACTTCGGATCCTCGAACACCTTGATCACTTCCTCGCCGTCACCGCTGGAAAGAACGCCGGAAACATTCTCGATCGTCTGTGTGATATCCGCGCCTGATTCGAGGATGGTGAGCACGTAGGAATGCGTCGCATTGATAGAGGAGATCAAAGACGCGTTCACGTCCGCGAAGATGATGTGGTACCCGGATTCGGAGAGCAGAGGGCCGATGAAGCCGCGTCCGATGTTGCCGGCGCCGAATTGGAGGGCGAGGCGGCCGTCGGGGTTGGGTACCGGTGTTGGGGTGGAGGTCATGCTCGGAGTCGTATGGGATAGTTAGGGATGAGGATGCGGGATGGGTTATGGGCTGGTTGATGAGGGGATGAGGAAGACGGAGGGAAGGAGTTTAAATAGCACACGCCAGGCCCCACTCAGGGAGACCGCATTTGGCCGATCTGGCTGATTTGTTCGCTGTCACTGTCCACGTTCGTTCGTCGATAATCCGGGAATTATATGGGATGAAAAGCCAGGGCGGTCTGGGTGCTGCTGGGTGCACGATGCATGCGAGACGATATGAGTACTAGTATGGAGACTCGAGGGATGAACAGGGATGAAACGGGTTACGGGAGGTTACGGGGGCTGTGTTCGTATGTTGCGCCACACACTCGCAGAAGAACCAAGAAAGATAAGCCACATCATCGGAGTTCGAAAACACTAGTACAGTGATCCACCGGTCCTTTGGGCAGTGTTGCTCATGCCATGGGCCTTCATTCGGCCTACGACAAGATATAATAAAATTAATAATCAAATCCGGAAGCATCGAAAGCCCCCAAACATGTATTATCTATAGGGTTACATGCATACAAAATAAGAGGATGGGCCATTGCGAAGGGGCTCTTTTCGGCATTCTCCGTTTTGGGCACGCACCGGTCCTTTGGGCACCCCTTTTTACACTCTGCAGGTGGAAGAAATCGTCGTCGCTGTCCGGGTCAATAACAAAATCTACTCTTACGTTCATTTATAATTATATGAATGAGAAGTAAATGGCTGGAAACGTTGTCTCGCGCGAGAGGGCAGACGTTGCATTTTGCTGCCCAAAGGACCGGTGCATCACTGTAATCTACGCTTGTCATCAACTTGTCATGGCCTCAGCGATCTCGTTAAGCCACGTTGAGCTCTACTCCCTTGGTTTCAGGGACCCAGTGTGGTGGGTTTCGTCCTCGCGAGGCCATTAGGGCATAAGTATGATAATCATCGCTCTACCGGCCAAATTTGGCGGGGGACAGTGCAAAAGTTAACATCGCTACAAATATACCCTATTCCGAGATGATATGATATTCACCTTCTAGCAGCATGCCTCTCGAAAATATTATACAAATCGAACCCCGACTGTTTATATGAGCCACGAGTCTGAGGACTAAGTGCTTACAGAAGTTACGCATTAGGGCATATATGTAGTGGTTCACATCAATTTCGTTCATCATTCGGAAAGCGAAAAGTGTAAACTCAAAATGTCGGATGTGGTGCTAGGTATAATACTCAGTTCACACGTGCACTGAATTTGGATTCTTGAGACGGTTCTACTCCTCCTCACTGACGACCTCTGGTGCCGTGCGTCTTCTTGATGCTACAGTATGTCGGCCTCCTGCCAAAGTGTGTGTGCTGCTTTGAACCATGACAACGAGCGAGGAGAGGGGGGAAGAGGCCACTCTCGCGTCGAGTGTACACTGAGTGTGAATTGAGCTTTGACGTTCCAACAGGACAAAATTGCGAAGTTTTGAACCTGTCATGGGTGTAGTTCACATCGCATTTTGGCTATGTGAACCGCTACATATGCCCTATTGGCATTACTTACACGCCCTTTCTTAGTCTAGTCACGTCAGTGCCGAAGAAGAACTCCAGCTATATAAGTACGTCTATGCATGACATGTTCACGCCTTGAGAGAAGAGGTGAGTTCATGGTTAAGTGCGAAGCCGTTAAATCTTCGCAGGACCTCGCAGGCCACGCTCTGTTGCGTATAAAATCGTACCGGATTCAAAGTTACTAGTCAGAGTCGAGCAGAATGCGAGCTGTATCTGCAACGATTATGATATATACCAAGAAGATCCTGGTGAGTCTAGCTCACGGGGATAAGCAAGAAAGATATGTCGAAAATACAATGGCTCGAGTCATAGGGGCGAGTCGCGGAATAAATAATAACCCAAGAAATAAGTTGTCAGGCGGTTGAATGAGCCTGTACGCCCCTGTACCTTACGGTAATCCTGGACAAGTCAAAGGCTAAAATCGGAACACATCAGCAAGCCATGTTACCATGTGTAAGTGCAACAAACCCGAATTGCTCGATAGGACCTACCAGCAGGAGCGGCAATGTCTATACTAAGCCATATCTGCGGAAGAGCTTGACGGACCCGCAACGGGTGGTTCTCTCTGAAGCGGAACCATCTCTATTTCTCCCTGGCTCCCCCCACCGTAGACCTTATGCGACATTTCAGTGTCTCTCTGCGTAATCACTCAAGAGCAATATTCTTACCACTGGGACCAGCGTAGTAATTCCATCCCCAATATCCGTCGTCTCCGAGGCATCTGCCATATTTCCATCCGATCCAATATCGTCACTGTCGTCGAATTGAGTGTTCCACCAGTCGGGGTCAAGAGGCTCCCCAATGTTACCGAGAAAGCGGTTCTGAGCAAACGCAGGTGCTAAGGTAGCCTGGTACTAAACCTAAGGCGTCACCTATAGCCAAACCCTAACCAAACCCAAACCAAGCCTAACCCTGTAGCTGAGGGTGTCGGCGTGCGAATGTGAGTACTAGGAGTGCTTGTCCTAGGGGCACTAGCCCAGAGAGAATAATGGGGTGAACTGAGACCGTGGGCTTGGGGCTGGATACACCAGGACACAAAGTCACACTGAGTATGGCGAGAAGCAAAGGAGATCGAGTTAGGGAACTATTCTACGATACAGGTGGTTCTTATATACATCCTGGGCTGACCCTTTAGGGCACGTCCTTACTGTACACTACAAGTGAACACTTACAGGAATCCTTAATGGATATCCAGTGGGTCCAGCAATGGGCACAATGGGTACAAACCGCTGAGTCAACATGCACAAGACTATTCTAGAACGTTCCAGACCTGGTCACATGTCCCTACATCACGACCACAAGGTCACATGCCATCACGTCGCCTACCACATGACTGGTCACGTGCCT